AGGGGGTGGGGGGGTTACAATCGCAGGCGGGGGGAGCGGGGGTGGCCGCAGGGGGCTCCGCCCAGTGATGTGCGGAGTCATCCAAGAGCCGCGCTATAAAAGCAGCACGGGAAGAGGCGTCGTTTACTCACTGCTCCCATGTACGCCGCTACGGACGAGAGCTCTCCGTGTCTGTGCGTCTACTGAACTGGGTCTGCCCCTTCACTTGAGCTGCTCAAGTCCTCGAGGTAGGATGCGACGCGCGCGCGCGCGTGTGAGCTGGCGTTCAGTGTGGGGGAGCGGTGGCGCAGTGGTTAGCACACCGCGGGACGAAGCTTGCGATCCGGGCAGGAATCGCGGGCGCACGCAGTGGCAAGTGGTGGCAGGGCCGGTGTCTGTGTCTCTCCGTAGGGTTAACTCGGCATTAAATGACACCCTTGCGCGGTATGTAAACAATCAGCACTGCGGGGGGGGGGAGCTCAGGACGGCCGCCTCCTCGTGCGCCGTGATGGTTCACAGGAGTCGTGAACAGCGCTCGTGTCAGCAGTCTGCTGAAGGCTGGCAGTGATTCCACGAGGGGGTGCCGATGTGGAAACAAATCCCAATTGAAAGTGGGGGGGGGGGCTGCTTGACAAAGCTCGGATTTTGTATGCGGCATGAATAATGACGGGGTGATTGGGGTCTTTGGGTTGTTGTTTTTTTATCTTCAGATAGGTCAAGAAGAGCTACTATTTTTGTCGAATTCGGGAAAACTAAAAAAAAAAACCTGAATAGTTCAAGAGCCGCAATGCATCACGCGGTGATTACGAGACGGCGATGGTCCTTGATAAATAACGCCACGAAGCCGGTGATTATAAAGAGCCCACGACGGAGGTGTGATTATATCCTCAGATGGGTGATTGATGTACACGGGAGCAGTGGCTCAGCGATTCGCATGCTGCGTCGTAACGCCGCTTCCCCAATTCGAATCTCAGCCACAACACCAAAGCCACATTGACCTACGTGGTGAAGTATGGCTAAACAACTCCCCCCCCCACCCCTCCCCGTGATCTATGTACACACCGTGTTACCCCACTAACGGGACACGGTGTTACAGGTCGTGCACGACGGTTTTTAGGGAGACCTGAAATCAGCTCGCGTGTTTAAATGTCGCGGTTAGCGCTACGCTGCGCTATGAACCTGGCGACTCGGGTTCGATTCCCGCTCACGGCCAACACCGTTGATAGCGATTATCTGAACCGGTCCTGGGCCTCCCCTAGGTCGCCTCGGCCTCAAATGAGTACCTGGTGCGGTGTGTCGTAAACATCGGGCGTGGTGCTGGTCACCCACCCCCTCGTGTACCGTCCCCGCCTTCATAGGTGCTACTCGCTAACAGCACTTGTCCCTACAGTCCGTCAAGGCTATGCGGGGGATCTTTGTCTTTGTTTTAATGGCTTGAAACGTGACATTCATTTACCTTCAGATCGACAGACGGAGAGAGGCCACCGCTGTCTCCGAGGAAAGCGACCAAGAGGCGAGGGGACGGGGGGTGGAAGCACGCGAGTCGCTCCTTCTACCGACAGCAATGGCCCTCCCGCTGTGGAAGATGAAATCGAGCGTTTTCAAGATCTACCTCATCGGCGTCGTCGTCTCCTTCATCACCCTGCTGCTGAGCCTGGCCGACAGAGCCACCCAGAGGAGGAACGACGACGACGGCGGCGAGAGGGAGGAGGAGGAGGCGGCGGTGGACAGGCGAGAGACGCCGAAGAGGAGACGGGAGCCACGTGTCGTGCTGCCGTGGCTGATGATGAATCACGGCGAAGGGAGCGCCACGCTGCTGTTGCGAGGCGGGGAGGCGATCCGACCGGTGGCAACCCGCGTCTCCCGCAGGACTCGAGCCTAGTGGGGGGGCCCACGTTGCTGGCCGAGAGAAGCCACTCGAAGTTGGCTCTTTGTGTGTGTTTTTTAACGAACAAATAACCCAGAAATGCCTCTGGGTCTTTAGAAGCTAAGCAGGGTTTTCCGCCCGGTTAGAGTGTGTTGGATATTGTGAGAGACCGGTGACAGACTTGCCTGCCTGACTGCCTGGGAATGCTAGGCGTTGTTTCTCGGGGGCCGCGAGGTGGTGTGGAGATGGCATTGCAGTAATGATTACTTGAATATACATCCCATCGTTTGCACAAGTGGTGTAAATTCCGGTGTCCATGCGCACGAAGCCAAGCAGAATTTTTATGAGAATATTTATTTATCCTGGAGAAATCCGATGAGCTATGAAGCTCTTTTACGTCCAGCAATATGCTGGACTCGTGACCAGACTTGGCCAAACGTCCCAACGCAGCTACCTCCCGAAAAGGAGGCTTTAATACTCAGGATTTCGTGGTTAAGGGATCGTGGAAGGGCATTACTGTTTATTTTTTAATATTCTTATTTCACTACTAGTAGGTCAACTTAGTCGCATTGCGCTGTGCAATGTGATAGTACTCGTCTGAGTGGCGATGCATGTCAACTGGCATCTCGAGTACGGTATCGTATCGTGAGATAAAGGCGCAGCCCTGCAACGACTTGCTCACGCGACTGCTGGTGGAAGGGCCTGTGGGTGAGGAAGATCTCAAGAGCTCATCTCGAGTGTCGCCAGTACAAAACATGAACTTTGCACTGAATGAAACGTGAAATTTGCGGCTTACGGGCCCTGCAGGTCAGTACGTTTAGTCGGGTTGTTGTTGTTGCAACGTAACGCGTTTTCTTTTTAATGCGGTTCTTGTGTGTTGGTGCTCATCATCGTGGCCATAGCCGATCAATGCAATCGCCGAGGTGTTTTATGAGACCTGAATGTGAAAGGCGAAGAGGTCCCACGGACTTTTGGAGCCGTGTGACCCGAGTTAATAAAATCTAAAAATACTGCAAACTGGGGGGGGGGGGGGGGGGGGGGGGAGCCGTGTCTTGCAGCATGGAGAACACGAAGGTTCCTGCTGCCTCGGTGAATCGCAGCCGGGGTGGGTAGGCTGCTCATGCTGCTGCCGCTGCGTGTGTACACAACGTGCAGTTACGGTAGTCTTGTCAGCAGCTCAAATGTGTTTTTCGTGATGCTGCATTGGCAGCGGTGCACTGAAATATTGGCCAAACAACTCCCACGACTGACGCGACATTGGAAGACATTCATCCAGCGGTGGATGGGAATGGGGCTAAGAATTACCGTGCATTGTCGCAGTGCTTTCGTGAAGGGTCGTAACGTAACTTAATTGCGCCGTATGGATTTGCATTGACAATTGGTGTATGGATGTCGTTGGATGCATGCCCGTTGTGGACGAGTGTCCATCCCCACTTGTAGCATTTGCAATGGTCTGATATGTTGTCATGCAGACGCATCTCAAGACTGATAGCTCAAAGACTATCGCATTCGTTAATAATACTGCCCTGAAAATAGTTATTGTAAGAGGCGACGTTTCGCGCAATGGGCCTTCTTCGTTGTACGAAGGCGCAGAGTTTTTGCTGCCAATTCACGCGGCACGTTTCGCGAGTTGAGGCCTCGCAACTTGTGAAGGCCCATTCACGTGTTGGGGGCCGTCCATAAATGACGTCACGCACCTGGGGGGGGGGGGTCAGACATTTGTGACGATGTGTGACGAGGGGGGGGGGGGGAGAAATGTGACGTCATATCAAAATGCGCAACTTTAAATAAATATAGAATTGTCATAACACTAATTGTCAGAGGTGTGGACTCGAGTCATGTGACTTGGACTCGAGTCATGAATTTGATGACTTCAGACTCGACTTGGACTTGCATAACAATGACTTTGTCCCACCTCTGCTAATTGTTATAACAACACTCCTCCAACATCAGTGCAGCACCACATTAAATACGCACTACAATGACAATAGATTAAAGCGATTTGAAGCATGTTTTATTTTCAAAATGGAAATATGGTATTGGGGGGGGGGCAGAGCTTTGTGACGTCATATTTGAGGGGGGGTCTGACTTTTTGTGACGCCGTGTGACGAGGGGGGGGGTCAAAAAATCGTCCAAAATCGCGTGACATCATTTATGGACGGCCCCTTGATGGACACTTGCCCATCCACAAGGTTTCCAATGCAGAACACCGATGAGGAATTAATGCGATTTAGGGCGAATCTTAATGATCGTCTTTTGATTAAATTGAGGAACTTTTACCGTTGTCCCCAAAATTGAATTAATTATCATCTTTTTATTTGTTCAGCGGTCACTACCGATATACGTGAATCGCGACAGGCGTTTTCACGCGAGCAGCCCGATTAATACTCCGACTGGATTAATATTGCCACGTGGAGCAGCTGACGTCACAGGAACGTTCTGAACGACCACGTCTGCGATAGGATAGATTTGTATTTTAGACCACGTGTAGTAGCAAAACTCTCGTCACTGCCACCCAAGTGAATTTATTCGACAGAATATAAAGGTCGTGTACATTTTATCCTGGAGGAGGGTATTACAAGCACATTTCTATCAGTTTACTCGCATAAGCCACGGTATCTATTCGAATTAAAACCTTGACTTTTAAACCCGGTTGATGTCTTAATCACCACGTTTAGTCAAGATGTGAATCGAGCCCGTGACATTATTTCCCACACATTGTCTTACATTGTGTTTCTCTGCGGGTTTCACATTTAATGTTTCTATCAATGAACAATTGTGACCAACGCGTAGTTTACGACTGTTGTCCTCCGAGCGCTGCATGAACAATTGTCACAGGTTAACACTAGATTATTACTCGGTCTACCTCAATTATTGGCCATTACATATGTACAATCGTTTTAATACTCACTTTGAAACGGCTGCTTTCTTTTAATACGCGATGAGCAGATGTGATATAATTCAAATATAGGTTTACAACAAAAACCATCGCTGTTTACCGATATCTAATACTTGAAGCAAATTGAAGGCATTGGTGCCAATGGCGTATAGTGGTTAGCATGGGCCCTAGTGAACCCCCCCCCTCCCCTTTGCCCCTGTAGCGACGGAATCTGGGGCCCGGTGCAGTTGCACCGCCTGCACACTCGAGAGCTGACGCCACTCGTGGGTGCCGTAGTGCAGTTTGCCGTGCGCGTCGCATTTAACAGAACGCAGCGAGTGTTGTGAATGTGCATCCGGGGATAACACCTGGTTGCATTGTCATGCCTGGTCGTATCGTTGTATACTTGCCAACATCTCAAGTCTTTTTACTACTGTGCGTTACATCGCAAAAATAAAATTATTTACCGATGACAACCACCACCACCAGCCTGTGTGTAACGCGTTTTAAGTGTTGCGATTCGTCGCGTTCGAACGATTAATAGGTTTCCGTTGCCAATACATACAAAGGTATTTGTATTCTTGGTTCTTTCGGTAAAGTCACGTAGAAGGGAAATAATAAAATAATACACATATTAAAAAATGATACAATTAAAACAATAAAAACATTCTATTTTATTATTTCCCTTTTTTATTGTTATATATTTTTATTTTATTTTATTATTTCCCTTCTACTTGACTTTACCGAAAGAACCAAGAATATGAATCCCTGCAGTTACGAAAGCTTTAAATCTAAATGTAAGAGTATTTGTGTTTTGGGCCACGTGGTGGTGTTAGGTTAAAAAAAAGTTCGTCTCGTCATTCACAAGCCTCCACCACCCAACAATCTTTTTGTTTTGCATAAAAATATAAGTACCACGTAGCACACACCCAAAAAAATATAAAGATTGCGTCACACCCGTGTTTTAAATTTGCATTAAAAAACAGGGGGGGGGGGCTTCGTCAGTCGCGGGTGCAAGGAGTTACCACGTGACGCTCGGAGGCCAGGAGCCCTTTTGAAAACAAATATTCCACGTCGTGGAATGATTCGCAATTGAAGACAAATCGGATGCACATCCCTCTCGTCAATCCAGTGGTGAATGAGGGCTCATCTCCACGCCACCGTGTGAGTCGTGGGCGTTAATTGGCCGCACACTTCACCACCGCTGTCTCATCGCGAGTTGGTGAATGCAGGGCACAGACACGTGGTGCAGTACAATGGGATTTCCTCGACTGTACTGCCAAAAAAAGGCGATCTCCCCGATTGTAACTAGCCATCTGCCCCCGTGGATCGTGGTGATGATGCACTGCCCTCTGTTGTCCATAACGTAGCGTTGCAGTAGTCGATAACACCTGCTGTGTACGGATTTCTCCCATCCAAAAGCATCATCCAGGCGCAGTTCTGCTTTGGCTTCTGGGGAGCTGCCAAATATCGGGCACATTCGGCGATTTGATCACAGGTTAAGATGCAAGTGCGAGACACAAAAAAAATGTGGCGTCGTTTCAACTCAAACATTAACTGCGTACAATTTATTAAGTTCAAAATATCAAACAATACTTGCGTTGAAATGTATGGCTCAAATTGTGACAACTCCACTCGTGTGCGTGCCTGCGTGTGCGCACTCCCTCACACGTTATATAAAATTATTTAGGATGCGGTGACAACAAAAAGCATCGAAAAAGGCATCATGTACAACATCAACACAAACAAGCTCCCCCAAAAGTACAGCCTTAATATTTTAAAACTTCCATTAACTGGTTTAACATCGCACGGGCAGAAATTGCCTATACCCCCGATCTTTGAGAAGCTATGAATATACTCATAGGAGGTAACGGGGTATAGGCATTCCCCACCCATATTATATCACCTGCATTCAACACCAAAGGTGGATGTTCTTTTGCTAAGAAAAGCGTGACTTTAAACTCCACCCAGTCCAGGTAATAACGAGTTGATGATGAATCGTCACAACTTCTGTCATTTAAATTTAGGATTATTGTTTAACACTGGCGACTGGAGCGGCCACTTGTGCCTTTTGGGCTAAGTCACACTCGCCGATCGCATACGACTCAGGTATCTGAGAGCTTGAGAATGAACGCGATGCGTGGTCACGCCACGCTTTAGCAGTCAGCGCGATGAGGCAGGTGGTACATAAAAGCACATTTCATTAGGAGGGGTGCATTACGGAATGAAATGGGAGCACACGAACAATTTCATTGTAAATTATGAATGATATGCTCCACACTCTCTATAAGTTATAACAGTATTAAGCCACTGTCCTACTCCAATAACCAGGTCAATGTGGGTAACAGTGATGGAGCTGAATGACGAAAAAAATGTAACTACATCAAATGATAATTGCGGTGTTGGATCAATTGAGAAAAATGAACCAGCAACCCTGTGAAACCTTTACCAAATGTTATCAAACACTGAAGCACACAACTACAACGAAAACTACATCCAAAGAAATAACTATGAAACACATACAAAAACCTACCACTGCCAAAATAAATAACATGCTTCCTTACAATTAATCACGTTCGCAACCTGGCACACGACCTGCTGCTCGGATGCACGAGACCCACTGCTGCAAGAACACCGTGGGACTCGTCCAAAACAACACGGAGCTTTCTCGTAATCAACAAACAACAAGTCGACAAACACACTTCACAGGCCCTGGCGACAAACGTGCCACTCGAGCATTGCAGAACCTGTGCACTGCACTTTGCAGAAACGCGATCTTTCTCGACAGCTCAGTGGGATTAAGCGTTGAATGGGTTCGCAAGCCGTCACGAGTGGAAAATCAAGGCGGTGCGGGGGAGAAGGCCCGGATTTTCTTCTCCCGAGCCCGTCTGCGATTCCGCATCGACTCGCAGCGCTACTTGTAAGGATTGGGAATGGACTCCCCACGGTACCTCCCACCCCCCCGAGCTACTCTGCGTATTTGCGGCGGTATACGACTCCAACGATGAAATTCATTTTCGCGATTCGATTAACTAATCGATATCTTCGCACTTTGCTGAATGTAGCGGCCACTGGTGGCTGCTAGGCGGTGGCAGGAGGGTGGGGGGGGGGGTCACGTGAACCCATGACATAAAACACAAATTGAAAAACATTGATTGTTTATGCATGCCGCTTCTGTGCAAGCTGAAGGATCAATATTGGCAGATCGATGCGGTTGTTATACCTCGACTGCATTCGGCGCTGCAAGGCCCCTCTGGGGGCTGCACGCACACAGCCAAGCGCACAGCCTCCCAGCCGCTTCACTCGCAGCAGGACAAGACAGCCAAATGGCGCTTAGAAGACGCCAGGTGATTTCAGAGCAACAAGGGAGGGGGGGGTGAAGGGTGCCCGCTTCTGAATGTCGACGCCAAATATGACCAGTCGTGGTACAACAGGCCCACGTGCAGACATGCAAGAGGCATGTGCATTTGCCTTGTGAATGTGGATATTAACAAAAAACCCACAACGATGCAGCTTATTTATGTTAGGTATAACGTTAACACTGAACGAAGCCGGTTACTACTTTATTGAAGTTGTCAAATGTAGTTGTTTGAAGTTGCTTGACCTCGGAGGCCTCCCTCGATACCGAGACTTCCATCTCAAAGCGACCTCCCCCCCCTCCTCTCTCACAGCCGCTTCTAAACGGATGAGCACGGGAGGGGTGGGGGGAGGGGGTCAGGAAGATGAACGGGGGGAGGGGGCGACATTCACTCCGCCATCGCCACTCCGCCGCCATCGTTCCCGCCGACCGCAGCAGCCGCCGTTGCCGCGTCGGCCGCCCCGTCGAAGGAGCCAGAGAAGTGGACGTTCTCCTCGAAGGCGTAGTACACGAGCGCGATGAACGCGCACGCCACCACGAAGGCGACCAACCGCGCCCACACGGGCACGGAGGCCGCCGCCGCTGCTGGCCCGGAAGCGGCAGCTTTGTGGACGGAGCCCTGCCCTGGGGGGCGGGAGATGGGAGAGGCGCCGAGGTCGTTCGACGATCTGGACGCCAGGTCCGGGGAGAAGCCGCCCCAGCCGTCCCGAGCGCAGCCGCGGATCGGGCGCCGTCGAGTGGCGCTGTGGAGACGGGAGAGCTCGATAAGGGTCGCCCGCCACCGTCATCATCATCATCATCATGTTCAATCCACTGGAAAACAAGTAGGCCTGGCCAGGACACATTGCTACGATGGTTGACAGGCAGCAGGACAAGACTGGTGATGGGGCTGGCAGCCAAACGAGGGAAGACGCTTAAGAGAAAGACCAGCGGAGACGGAGCCACGCGATCGGCTCGTGTGCAGGAGATGACAGGAGATGGCCTGTGGCATCGCAGCACCGCGAGAGGGACGGTGACGCCTTAGCAAGGCCTTCATCAACAGCGGATAGACCCTGGCTCACGATAATGACGATGATAGAGCACCCTCTGAGACCAAGAGTGACTTCTGTATTGACCGTGTGTCCGGCAGGGTGGCATGTGCGGCGACGCTGCGCAGCGCGCAATCTGGAGGATTGTGAGAGCGAACAATACAATCGTCATTAGACCTTCTTTACCAGTACCAAAATATAATAGGGGTTTTTCCCCTTTTTTTCTGGCAACAAAACTGAAACCTTTTTACAATGATTCATGTCTGCATTAACCACAATACCAATTGGGTCGAGGCTCAAAAGAAAGCCGTCCCTTGGTGTGGACCAATCAGTTTCAAGGACAATGCATATATTATCATAGTATGTTTTTTTTGCATTTTGACTGCAAGTATTGTGGTTGATGCAGACATGAATCATTGTAAAAAGGTTTCAGTGTTGTTGCCAGAAAAAAGGGGAAAAACCCGATTATTATCGAACAAAACAAGTTACCCTTCTTTATTTGTTACGTCAGCATCGGTTGGTCGATTAGGCAACTCGCCCACGCCACACGAACGTGGAATTTCCACGATTGCCTCAGGGTTGCAAACAGGATGTGACACCACCTCACGTTCATCTGGGTAGCCAACTACTCAAGACTTGTTCATCCTGTGTACCTGTGTAAGTGTATGATACGGTCGGACTGTCTTTGATGCAGTCCCACCCCACCCCCCTAAGCGCATTTGGTGGCAGGGGATACGACGCTGTGCCGATGATACCAAACAACGATGGAACCAGTGCAAAACATTTGCGAGGGTTACCTCATGGTCATAAAATATGCTTAAATGTCAGCATTATCGAGCGACGGGTCTTGTTCACACTCATTTGATTTTTTAAAAAGTCAATGACGAGGTCTCTTTAATCTGCACCTGCGTTCTCCGCTTCACACAGTTCTCCGCCTCGCCCGTCTCGCGGTACCGGCTGTAATAACGAACAGGGTAGTCGTAGTAGTGATAACAATTATAGTAAACGACCTTACGAGGCTAGCCGATGACACTTGGCGTAATGGCTTCCCGCGAGACACGTGACGGCGATTCGTGCCCCTTGTGAGTGAACTCATTGTCAATTTCTTTTTACGGCAGGGGGTCACAATTTACTTTTAAAAATAGTTTTCTATTTTTTAAACAGTGGCCGATTTAGCACCTCTAGCTGGCTGCAGGGGTCACAGGAACCCATTACATGGGAGTGTACAATTGGAAAAGAATCAAATCGTATACGCATTAATGAATGCATGCATCCATCATGAGTATTCAAAACCGTCTGACCGATGCATCATTACGTGCCAAGTTCTAACACTGATTTGGCACTCAGTCATTTATACCGCACCTACATTTAGCAACGTACGGTACAAAAAAAGTTCTACATAGATATACGAAAGAAGATAACACAATGTGTGCGGTGAGGCAGTAGCACAGTGGTGAGCGGAGCGCGCAATAAACCCGAGCCACCCGAGTTAGAATCCGAGCCAAGGCAAACACGAGCGGTGAGCAATATCTGAACTTGTCCTGGGGACCCCCCCCCCCCTCACCTTGAACTAGCACGAGCCAGCGTGGTGAAGTATGGTCAAACAACCCCCATGGCCAATGATACGGTGCAGGAGGGCAATGGTTGAGCAGTTGATTAGCAAATGTGCTGTAAAAATGTAATACATTTTGTAAAGTTCGCATGAAGTCCCTTTAAGTGGGAATCATAAATCAACAAAATTACTGAAAACGGGCACACGTGTTACGCACAGCGAGCGAACGGGAGCAAAGTTCACGGAGAGCCCCCACCCTCCCCCCCCACTTGCGGTCTCGTGCGACCAAACGTTTCGTCACGGTCTGTCACGGACGCACTGGGGAAGTTGAGAAACGGGCAGTGACATCACTACTGAAAGATTATGAATGAACGAGCACGACTATTAAAACGAGCTCACGCATCGTCACCGATACCCTTTGGCACAGTTCTGATACGTCCCCGGTAACCACCGGGGTGCTTACGGAGAAGCGCGGGTTTGAGTGTCCTCCCTTGTCACAACACCTCGCCCGTTCACATTTTTGCGGCGACGCGGCAACGTTGGAAATACGCTGAATCGACCGAGTTTAGAGTTCCGATTAAAATGTACCCAAGCAAATATTAATTGTCGTCGGCGCTAGGAATAAAAAAAAATAGGATCACGGCAACAACCAGGACGAGAGGTGAAATGTTACATTTCCGCGGCGATGATTTTGCAGCCAAGATTCAATAAAAGTATAAATATGTTTTTGTTTACGTTTTAGCCAATGTAGACTCTCTAGCTGTTGCAGGGGGAGAACAAGAACCCCATACTTACAATGCACACGAATTGAAAAGCAGACTCTTGCGCGAATCAATTCGACGCATGTACCGCGAGCTTAAAGAACTGATATTCATCGACGAATCGATACACGCCCTAAACAATTCTGAAAATTTCTTCAATCTTAAAACTTACGAGTGGTGTCGCAAGGCTCTTAGCACCAACGGCTGATATTGCCCTCGTTAATGCCGGCACATGCTGTGAGCTTCTCAAGTGATTCATAGAACTAGGCGAGAGCCACATGCGACCACGAGTCTAACCTTCAAGGGGAGAGACTTGCAATGCAGGGTAATGCAAGAGTAAGAGATTTATGCTTGGAAATACATTGAGAAAAAGAACACGTGGATTCGAGGGCACAGGCAGCTTTCATGTCATCATTCGTATGATAGAGAAAAGTAATATGGGGCTTGGCAGCAGGACATCGATCAGAGAGATGACAGCCAATGTTCGATTAATAATTATGGAGTGGCAGGTAAGGTATGGGACGCATCCGAGAGTACGGACACCGAGGATATGGGAGCGATGAAATCGGTTAGTTCGCAGACGTTAGGTCGATTGTTTGATCGTAGGGTCACGAGAGGTGGCAACAACACATACACCCAGCAGTGGATTGATCATGGTTGATGATGATGACGACGATGACGATAAGCGCCAGAAGGCAATTGCGCAACGAAACGCAACATCACATTCGTTGGCAAAACTTAAAAAAACGTGACGTGTGGCAGCGCCTCACCTTATTCCCGATGGTGAAATAAACAAGTCTGCATCGTTGCCTCCACCAAGCTTCAAGTCCTGAAGAGACAATAACGGAGACAACAGCCACAGGATTACACAGGGCACACGTGCAGCGTGGTCCCTCCACCAACACAGGTAGGCCGGCCTCAACCCTGACCAAAGATCCCCCCTCGTGTAGCCTGTATCAGACCTCTTGGGGCGCACGTCCGATTAGCACGGTTGGCTACGTACGGTGCGAAAGAAGTTCAACATACACACAAGTGCCGTTAGCATGCAGCACACCTATGGATGTTGAAGTTCACACGCGCACAGTCCTTTGTGTTGACCCACTGCCGGACGAGGGCTTCACCATGCCATGTGTGTGGGCCGTGGGAGTTATTTGAACATAATTCACCATGATAATTGTTTTTTTACCCTTCTATCTGGCAACAAAACTGACACCCTTTTTTACAAGGAGTCATGTTTGCATAGACCACAATACCTGCAGCCATAATGCAAACAAAAAACATAACTCTGATAATATATGCACTGTCCTTGAAGTTGATTGGTCCACACCTGAGACAGCTTTCCTTATAGCCTAGTCTCACATGGGTTGGACCAGATGACGCCAAAAGGCGCACAACTTATGGCTGCAGGTATTGTGGTCTATGCAAACATGACTCCTTGTAAAAAAGGTGTCAGTTTTGTTGCCAGATAGAAGGGTAAAAAAACAATTATCATATTTTTTACTGGCAAAATAGGTTCAAATGGTGTAATTCACCATGCCCGTAAATGTGGGCTCGTGTAAGCAGCAGAGGTGTGGAAAACACAGGACAGAACGACGACGGATTTTGCTGCATTGCCCGCAACTCTAGGAAAACCTAATAATCGGGGTGTTCCCCTTTTTTTCTGGCAACAAAAATGAAACCCTTTTTACAAGGATTCATGTCTGCATTAACCACAATACTTGCAGTCAAAATGCAAACAAAAAATATACTATGATAATATATGCATTGTCCTTGAAACTGATTGGCCCACACCAAGGGACGGCTTTCTTTTGAGCCTCGACCCAATTGGTGCTCGACCAGATGACGCCAAAAGGCGTACAGCTCAAAGACAATGCACTATCAAAGTGATGAGGGCTCGGGGTGAGCATCTACATCATTAGACCTCCTTTGCCAGTACCAAAATAGAATAATTGGGTTTTCCCCCTTTTTTTTGTTGCCAGAAAATAAGTGGAAAAACCCTATAATTATATTTTGGTAGTGGCAAAGGAGGTCTAATGAGCTATGAAAACCTGTCCGTGCATGATGGTCACCCATCTACGAAGCACCTCTCCACCAGGCCCAAGATCTGCTTAGCTTCCTAGCTCCTACGAGATTGGGGCATGTACGGGGGAGGTGATACGATCATGCTGTAATGCACAAAGGAAATATGAAAAAACTTGAGCGTTCCAAGCTGTGAAGCGCGCATCACATTACGCAGGGCACACCATACGAGAGCAATGCGCTACGGCGAAAAATAATAGGGCAATACAGCAACGTGGAAAAAAAAACTCGCAAACCATATTAGCTGAAATAAGGCATCAGCTCATGATGTTGCAATCACAGGCCAGAACATAACCGCGGCGCGTTTTACAATTGTCGGAGCAAATTATCCGTTGCGCACATTTAGGAATCTATGCGCAAAGTTTTGGCTCGAGTTACTCGGTACCCAAACCCCCCCACACCTTCTCGTTCCTGGCCGTGCCCAGCTGTGCCCTTCCCAGGGCACAAGCACACGCACGGCCTTGACCACGGGAAGGCCCCGGACGTCAGCGGGAAAACTCGACGGCAACAAAAACCCCACACCCCAAGCCATCGCCGCTGCGGCTTGTGCAACGCGTGACCACGGAAGCAAAAAGAAATTCCCCCTCCACCGTGTCGGGAAAATAAGCCCCGCGTGACGCGACCGCTCGCACGTGCAGACAGGACACACGCGAAGAAGCCGCTGTGCGAAAAAGAAGAAAAAAAACCCGTCGTAAAACAACAACTCAAGAACCCTCGTGGCGTGTGTTCGGATCGTAATACGTGCTCGGGAGCTCCTTCAGAACTTCCTGAAGAAGCTCCCGTTCTCTTGGCGGCGAAACCTCGGGCCCATTGTTACCCAGTCACGTGCGGCACGACCCGAAAACACATCGGAGAGCTGTACAACAGCGTGAACGGTCAGGCCGAGCGAGAGTACCGCAATGTTTTTGCTCTGGCGGCCTTGGCCTTTAAGGGTGCAAGGAGTTGCACGTTTCTGTCTGCGCTCCTGCGTCGCTGCAATGTCCTCGGACGATCTTCCCTGCAGGGAGGTTAGACAACATCAGCGAGCGCCATTTCCCCCAACGCGCCAGTCAGGCGTCAGGACGACGCCGCCGCCGCCGCCGCCGCCGCCGCCATCAACGGGAGCGGGGGAAGCCGGGACGGGGGAGCTCGCATTAAAAGGACATAACCTGCATCATGGCCGTGTCCAGCTCGCAGAGCCCTTCGCCAGAATCGCTCTTGGAAAGTGAACGTTCTATTGGAGAAATGTTCTTGCTCCGAAACTGTGGGGGGCGTTGAAGGCGAGCGGACGGGAGGAAACAAAAAATACAAAGAAAAGTTGAGTCCAGCCTCTACCCAAGTTCTACCCCCCCACCCCCCCCAACACCTTTGCTTTACGGCAACCTGGCAGTACTCCCACTTGGATGATTGAGACGAAGGCTAATGCTACAGCAATGCCACCATGAAATGCCAGTGTAGATTTACAGCCCCTTGTCGATCCACTGCTGGAAGAAGGCCTCCACATGCCGTGCGGGCCGTTCGTTATTTCACCGCAATTCACAACGCTGGCAAGCGTGGGGGGCCATCAAAGTTGGAAGCAGAGCACAGAAGCACAGTCCAACAATGAATGGGAGCGTAGACGTACACTACAATAGGATTTTGTTGCACTGGCCACCCTCGACACCCGTCGTAACACACGGTGGGTCGCCCATCCAATCACTATCCGGCTCTAACCCCGCTTAGCTTCCAAGATGGGAACAGGCCCGGGCGCACTGGTCAGCATAGCCCCCCCCGTTGCCTTTTGTACAAGCGTCAAGTACTCGCCTGCTCTACAAGGTGGGAAACGTTTAGGCTGTCGGGCTTTTTCCGGGACCGCACCGACACAAAATCTTCTTTCTGCGCGGGATGCAAGCGATTATCAGCACATGCATTGTTGTAATATATATAGCTGCGTACATATGTATAGAAATGTTGCTTAACTCATTTGTTTGGCCAGAATATAGTTACAATGTCTTGATTGGGGGGGGGGGGGGTGTGGGGGTTGTGGCCCTGTGAGTCTATAAAAAGTCAATAAAATTGTACAAGAGGTTATTGTCTATGGCTGGGAAGCCTTCAAGTCCTCTACACATATCCAGTGGTCAGGGAGGTCTGGTGGAAGGCCCCTATAGTACTGACACAAATCTACGTTCACTCACAAAATATAAACTTGTTGATGTCGATATGCATTAGGTAGTTTGAAGCCTCGTTTCAAGGCCTGTTGGAACATGCATTCCAAATACGTGCCAGGTCGCTTCCTTGGATTAAAATGTTTTTTTATTAAAATGGGATATTTAAAAAATAACAGAATTGACATTGAAAGATATTCTTCAAAACTCAAACGAACTAACCTATTGACAATAGTTAACCGATGTAATTTGAGGGATTTGTTCGTCTGTTTGGGCTTTCAACTGTTAATAAAATGTAATCTATCCATCAAGCTAATACACCTAGTTGTGCGCCAGTTTTCAGTCAACAAAAGCAGCGTGTCATGTGACCCTATGCTGTGGAATCCTCTCCGCAAAATCATAATTCACATTCGATACTGAAACAAATATGAATTAAATTAGCATCATTTATTTAAATGCAGATCGCTCAACATAATTGCGACAACTTCTACAGCGCCGGCGTCACATGGCAAGCCAATGCAAGCCTCTCCTAAGCCTTCAAAGCGCTAAAAGTTTAAAATCTTAACGCTTCTAAGCGCACGTTTGCCGTCAATTCGTGCAAGTTATTATTATTGTGAATTTTAATTCGTTATTTCGTAAATATTTCGTCGCGGAAGAAAAATGTCAACGAGCCACGACGATCGCAACAGATATAAACGGACGATTGCTACAATTATCGTGGGGACCTTACACCGTCCGATACAAATCGCAGTAGCGCCACGTCGTGGCAAAACCCTATTGCTGCTCAGCAAGCGGAAGGTTCAGCATGCAAGGCTGCGAGCTCGGGAAAATTACGACTCCTGGGCGAGCGCGGAACTGGTAGGAGAAACGGCAAGAGCGGTGCAATTACTGCCGAGAACCAAGACTCCCACTCCGACGACAAGCGGCGGTCGTCTTGCTTGATGGACGGCCTCTGCGAAACGGTGCCACCGTGCGGGAAGAGGTTGCCGGGCACGGCGCAGGCCGCTGCTGCTGCCGTCAACTGCTGCTCCAGGCCCTCAGACAGCTGAGCACGCGTGCGCAACAAGCACAACACAATTCAGCCGGAGCCCATCCTACAAGCCGCTGTTCATCATCATCACCATCAGCCAGGGTACTATCCCCACTGCTGCATCACGCAGGCATAGCCAAGCCGTCGGCATCTCTCGCGGTCACGTGACGCGTCGGTCCACGTGGCCTCCTGCGCACGAGCCGATCTCACCACTCCATCGCTGTGCGTGCTCTCGTTTGGCTGCCACTCCGTTGCTAGACTCGACCACCGAATGCCGTGCCTTCTAAGCGATGTCCTGCCCAAGCCAACTTTCACCCGTGTCTGTTCCCCGATTAAATATTTTTTTTGTCTCTCGCTGCAATTCCTACGCTTCGTTGCGCACTTTTCACCTTCCGCTCCATTTTTGTTGTTGTTGTCGTCAACCCTCGTGTTTCTGATCCAAGTTTCATCGCATGTAATTCAATGTTTGCGCAGACCGAACAATGGTCCTCGGTCGCCTGCAAATTTGGTCTCGTCAAACTTGACGGTCGGCAGGGTTGGCGTAGGAGTTAATCAGAATCAAAAAGCAGCAGACCCGTGCAAAACGCAAAGGAGTTGACACGTTTTCTTGCAAACGACAACCACCTGCCCATCAACCAAAACCTCAACAATGAACCTCGCTACCAACTCAAAGTCATTGTCACCATCCTAGAAGCTCGCCTGGATGCGGAAGAACGCTGGCGAAGTGAGAACAATGCGAACGTCCAGAATGAACACCTCTCATTCGAGATACAAACATTGCACCTTCTGGCTTTGACAATCCCCGAAGACCCTGGCGTAGCCATCAACCGCATCAGCACATCAACGGGCCGCTTTGCAGCACCATCTCCTTCATGAATAAAAAACTCAAGACAAGCCATAGTAGTGCGATTGGGGCCATGCAACCCAAACTAACTTTGGACCACATAGCTAACCACGGTAATCTGGGAGAGAAAAGCCCTCTCTCTCATGGCGAAGCACATACCGACATTGGCATTTGGCTCCTGAACAATACGCAATAACAGAATAAGCCAAGTAAGAACAAGACACCTTCTTGACTTGACCATTGCTAATTACAGCACCGTGGGGGGTCTATGTGAAGAATCAAACCTCACTGAATGAGAGACAGAATTGAGATAAATACATCCGGGCTGAGTTGACCTCAGTCGGTGAGGTGACTTCTCTTGAAGCAAGGTATCGCAGTCCTCACAATCGATTTCTCGACAGCGAATAGTTACACAAGCCTGATAACACTGAACTGAACGTCCTCCGTTCCTTTCCACCGAAACGATACGGCTCTTCGAGCGACTTAACCGCTGCGTTTATCTGCCGTGCTTTCCAATAAGCGCGAGACTTGGCGCGCAAGGTCACGTGACTCTACCCAACATGCGCCCCCCTCCGCGCCCCCCCAAATTCGTGCCCCCCCCCCTCGCCGGCCCGGCAACACCGTAACCCACCATGGGCGTCGCGATGGCGACCTTTTCTCGTTGCGTCTCCCTGCGGGAGGCCGAGTTGGTGAACATCTCCACATCCTTCAGGGGGTGGAGAAATAAAATGAACATCCCACACACACAACATGGCACCCCGCTCCACAGAGGTGAAGCAGCGCCACCTGGTGCCGGAGTAGTGGTAGCGATGGTAATTACTATTATTCGGAGCTATTCGTTAACCCACTGCCCACTCCGTGTTGACCATGGCGGCAGGGAGAGGGATATTAAACCATACTTCACCTTACTAGGCGTGCGAGGGTTGGGTGAAGGGGGTGGGTGTGGATGGGGCAGGACTGATTCAGACGTCACTCGCCAACTGATGTTAGTCGTGACCAGCAATCGGTGGCTGGGCTAACCACCGCGTGCCACCCCTACCAAGTGACGGTAATGTCCTCGCCAACGCAACACAAATCATTATTAGGGGTCTTAATCCAGGTGCATGGGAATGATTTGTGCAGTTGAGGTGGGAGTTGTGGGAGGGGGGGTGTGTAAGCAGACACAGGCACCATGGTTGAACAGCCAAAGTGGCTCACGGAGAGCTACCGCACTGCTGCTTACTGTCCAGCAACTGGGGAAGAGGACAGTTGCAGTTGCCCATCCAGTTTCCACGCCACGCTAAACACGTGACGTGTACCCCTTTTCGTCTATTAACGTTTACTGCAAGTGGCAATGAAACGTCATGGCATTCACAAGTAAGAGGAATGCGTGATGATTCAACGCCTGTAACCAACACCACCTGCGCTGCCTGGGCAGCGATTTGACCGAATGGCAAGATTCAGGGACACGATTCCAAAAACAACAACAATAAAAAGCCATCGTCTTTTCAACACGACGGCGAACGTAGCGGCCAACAGCAGCCGCTGGAATCGCATCGACCCATTGCAAACGACATGCACAAGACGCGAAAGACTGTCGGATTCGACGCGTGCAATGGGATGCATGTTTATCCACGATCTCCCCAACCCTGCCGTGGCTCCAACAGTGGCATGGGGGAATCTTCGCGTCGAACTTTTCCGCACAGAGTCTTGAGAGGCGACCGCATGTTGACACGCGAAATCCAAATGGTCGTTGCCGTTATTGTTCTCTTAAATCGACGAATGGACGCATCATTTCACCCCTAACCTCCAAATAGCAGGGTTGGCTACGTACGATGCGAAAGCAGTTCAACATACATACATTCAAAACAGACGACAAGTTTAGTTTCCGGAAGCGAACACAACCAATTCTAGACCACAAACAAAATAACTTAACGCTGTTCACGATACGGAGGGACGAGATTTCAACCTCTGCTGGCAATATAAACCAGGCGCAGTTAGGAAACGTGAGCGGGTCGGGCGAGGCGGGGAAAAAAGAAAAGCGAGAGGTGAGAGAGCTCCACCGTGGGAGCACTGCGGCACAAGCAAGCCGTCATTCACGCAGTCACCGGAGAGAAGTCAACGTTGTCGTCCGGGCCGGTGGACTGGAAGCTCCATTGTCGCATCGTGCACGGGGTGCTCTCCTGCAAAGATTCAACGACCTCTGCACCCACGCCGACCCCTCACCACCACCACCACCGTGCACGTGCGAGCGAGCACGCGAGAGAGACGACAGGTGACAATTAAAACCCTCCGCAAGGACGACTACGCTTGCGGCGAGGAAAGCACGCAAGTAATTTAGCGTAATATTTCGCAAGTTGTTCATTTAGTGCAATCTTCGCAATTTGATCATTTCAGCGCATTCGTCGCAAGATACTCATTTTAGCGCAATCTTCGCAAGTTATTTTATTGGCAGGCTCATGCGGTTCGACACTGCTTAGCAAGTAAGAAGGTCTGAGCATTTCTTATTGTGCACTCTTACGAGTGCAGGCCATCATTTATGCGCACTATTTGCACGTGGCAAGCTCTTTGGAACATCATTTTAAGTCCCTTGCTAAACCAGCTCAGGCTCAGGGATGGGTCCCAAACGTGAGCTGGTAACTCTCGTTCCAGATCTTAGGCCGGAGACCCCGAAAAACTGCACAAGCCGTATAGTTTCGTGTAAAGTTTTGCCAATGCTTGGATGTTCATATTCTGCAATCAACCGAGGTGTGTTCTGGAAAAAGTTGATAACCCCCATTCATATTTTACAAAGATAATTTATACTGGCTTCAATGGAATGCTCATATATTGCCATGCAACGAACTTAACTTTTCACTTTTTCCATCCAATCAATCTGTCCACTAGATTTCGTGGGTCATCAATTTTTTTTCCACGAAGCCTCGGAGAGATTGCCGACTGTACTTCACACCATTTGTGCACCCCAAAAAAAACCAACCCCAATAAAGTGGCAAAAAGTAGGAAGAGTTTTGCAGCGCTGTGAGACTGTGCCCAAACCTCGGGCAGAAAACAACACGAAACCACAGGTAAAAAGGGTGTGTTCAAATAGCAAAACAAATTTGGCTGTGACTCTTCCATCCCCAGCGCACCAGCTAAGCGCACACACACACACACAGACCCAAGTGCAAGAGACCCAAGAGAGAGCGGTGAGAATCTCCTGAAAGGCAAGCGCAAGAGCGAGGTAGCTGGGAGCCGCACGCACTTTTGTTATGTCGGCATCAGCACCGCTAACGGCCAGAGCCCTCTGATGGGCAATGGCTTGCCGGTGCAGAGACACCGGGCCCGGCCTCCCCGCGGGGCTGTCCTGCGATGGTCCGGGAGAAGCGTGTGCCTGTGTGAAACCAATAAAGCGCCACGGTACGTGAGCTCCGCAAGAAAAATGTGCGGCCGGTCGCAAAGGCTAGTACTCTCCCGCCCGCCCCCTCCCCGGTGCCACCGTGCGGGGCAGGCGGTCACACTGCCTAGGCATCACCCCTACTCCCGGTGCCAACGTGCGGGAGCAATCCAGCTTCCGGATTTTCTGTGGGTTGTAAACTCTTGCCGTGTCTATAGGAGTCTCCGGATCATAAGACGCTCCGGACAGTAAAGACGCACCGCGCCCCCCAAATTTGTGCTCTGTGGCCATATGGTTATGCAAATGTGATGGCACACAGGTGCAGAGCTGCCGGGTTAAGAGATGGCACAACAACTTTTTGGGTTTAAAATACAGCAAAATGAAGTGTGTCGTACAATCTGGAAAATATGGTGTGCACACACACAGACAGAAGATCCCCTGTATAGCCTTTACAGACTTGGGGCAAGTGCTGTTAGCGAGCAACTATCAAGGCTGGCACGGCACGCAATGGGGTGGGTGTCCAGCACCATGCCCGATCGCCTTTGTCTCCCGAGTGGCGATGATGTTTATGACCGAACAAGGAAGTCATTTGAGGCCGAGCCGACCTAAGGGAGGCCCAGGACCAGTTAATATATTCATAACCGACGTTAGCCACGAGCGGGAATCGAACTCGGTTCGCCAGATTCGTAGCGCAGCACGCTAATCACACAAAGACACACACACACACGTATGTACGTTTTGTTATCGTTAAAGAGTTGCATACAGACCTTGGTAGAGTGCGCTGTGAAGGGCGACTGGAAAGATGTCTGAATCGCTTTTTCGGTTACTTCTCCGGTTTGTTCGTAAACTAACAACAACAACAACGGCGGCGACAACGAAATAAACCCGTGAACAAATTCAACCGAGCCAGACAAACAAATACAATTTCACAGCAGAGTGCCACAAGTTTGCACACAGGCTGCAAGTCACCGCGGCCCCAACGCGATCATCGTCATTTCAAGTTTCAAGTTTCATTTATTAGGTATAGCCCTGTGAGCCATTCGGCTCTTGAATCGGGTGCAACCGCAACAAACAAAAAAACTAAAACATGAACAAGAAAACATCTTAAAGTGACTATGTGCAAACAGAAAATCCAAGAAAAAACAGGAAAATATTGCAGAAAAAGCACCATACACCAACACTGTGTGCAAAAATCCCAGTGGGATGCAAGTCAAACAACAACAACAACCACTAGACAACTTAGATTTAGGCCATCAGTCTAACTCTGTACTACAACAAACAAACATGGCCAAACCGAAAAACTTTTCAAACTCACCCTCTGCCGTCTCCTCCTCCTCGTCCTCCTCCGTGTCGCTGTAGTTATCGGTCTGCAGGCTACCGTTGACGCCCGAGCTCCCGGCGGCCGCCGTGGATGGGGCGGCGTCCCCGTGCTCCAGCAGTCTCAGCAGCTTCTTCTCGTAGAGCTTGCGCGTCGTGGCTGCGCCGCAACGGTGCCAGTGGTTGGGAGAGAGAGGGGGGTAGAGAGAGAGGGGGGTAGAGAGAGAGAGGTGTGGTAACCCGCCAGCAGCATCATACTTCTCTTTTTTAATTGTTTTTTTTATTTGACAAAAGAGCCCAGTATAAACAGCACGAACCGTAACAAAGCAAGGCGGGGGGTACATAAATATTAAGGACCGAAGTCCCGAACTCGGTGCTCCTGGGTTGTAGTAAGCGGAGGATATTGGGCGCACTGCCCCACTCGCTTAGGCACACTGTCAGCAGCATCATACGTCTATTAAAAATTATAATTTATACCTCGAGTTTCCTAGCTAGCTGCTGGCTGGCCGACTTCCCACCCTCAACAATAATTCTGCTGCGAGTGGCTGCGAGCCATTGCCACCGAAACTAGCTGGGTAAGTGGCTACACGGGATTTTCAGCGTAACAAATAAACATTGAGTTGAATTGGCGGAAAAAGTTCTGAAAATTTATCATAATAGATAGCGACACCAAAAGGTGGGAGTAACGAAAACAGAGACTGATATGGTTAATTTAAAATTTCTCAAACTTTTCAATTTGTTCTTCTATGCATGTCATGTTCGCCAGAATATGAACAAATTAACTTCACAATACATATTACCTTGTAATTTTATTACGTAAAGAAGCGGAACACTTTGTGCTCCGAGGTCACAGGAGGATTATGAGAAGAGATTGAAAATGACAGCCGTCTCCTCTTGTTTCCTGCTGTAGACCAACGGGTTCTCTACTCGTTCATTCAACAAGCATGACTGCTGATGAGAAACCAGAAGTTGGGACTGCTGATGAGAAACCAGAAGTTGGGACTGGTTCAGAGTGTGCTCGCTTAAACAAATTCTATTCGATAAAATGTATCTGAAAAGTTGATCTGCTGAAATGTTTGTTTCTGTGTGTGTTTCGAGACGGAACTAAATTCTAGATTAAAATTTTACTCGATGCTGCTCCACAACAAACGTATAAAAAAAGTTAGGAAACAATACAGATTTTTGCATTGAACAAAGCCCCATCGCTTAGACAGAGTGCTCTTGACAATAACATCTGGCAACTCAGCAGAAAGGTCAAAACCCATCCACAGTTTGCTCACTTAAACAAATGCTGCTCGATAACATTGGTCTGGAAAGCCGATAGGCCGATGGACTATTTTTTAAAATATATATTGTTTTTATCCATAATGTTCCACAACAATACGTAATCAGTTCATATCTGAATTTGGGCAGTATTTCGGACACATTGAATTAGAGTATTTGGCTGCAATAAAATTCCACGTGATAAGCCACTTCGTTGAGCTACCGACGCTGCTTCTGAAAAAGAGCCATATAGCTCAATGGGCCTTACCTGGTATAATAAAGATAGTATTAGTTTAGAATCTACATATACGTATGTATGCTGAACTTCTTTTGCACCGTACGTAGCCAACCGTGCTAATGGGAGGTGCGGGGAAGGAAAAACTAAACACAAAAGGCAGTTCTAAAGAAATGAGTTTCCAATATAGATTTAAAAGTGCATAGCTCCAGTGGCTTCCGAATATCAGAAGAGCGTTCCAGACAGCAGCAGAAGCGCGTCTGAAAACGCGCGATGCGCTAACCGTCTTTGTTCGATGGCCAGCCAAAACGCCGCTGCTGCGATGACGACCGCAACGGTGCCACTGCGCGTTTGTGTTCAGGCTTACCGACAATAGGCCCTGGGCTGACTCCAAACTCCCTGATTTTCCTGGCGAGTTCAGCGTTGGAGAGCGAGGACACGTCCACGTCTAGGCCTCCCACCTCCACCTTGCTTGTCATGTCACTCGTTGTGCCGACCTGCTCAGCGACGAACACAGTGGGGGGGGAGGTGGGGAAGGTGGTGGATACAGCACGGGCATCAAGGCAAAGACCGAGCGAGGGGGGGCTGCCACCAGCGAGCTACAGCCAGATACGTGGACAATGCAACGGTAAAGCATGAGCAGCAGTTTTACAAACATCCGTGTCTGCGAGCACAATTAGCGCCGACCGAATGTACGCGTTTGCCCCGGGGCTAATGCGCTGTCAACTACAATGACTGCAATACATTTGACTCAATAAAATAGCAACTCAGCTCTGCAGAAACATTTTTATTTGATGTCATGGAATTGAAAAAGTTTTTGGTTTTTATAATTTCACAAGTATTGTTTTCATATAAATAATAACATTACATTAAGAAACTTATCGGTCTAAGTTTGTAATCGATTACAAAAATGTATCCAACATATGCGCCGCTAAAATAACAGTTAAATGCCAAGTTTCAAAACATGCAACTGGATGGTACCTTCCTTTTCACAGGTTCTTGGCGTTTTTTTTAAATGAACACCGCGGCTATTAATGATGCAAGCAGCGGCACCACTACTACAGCGACTTGGCAAGCGCAGGCTTGATCGCAGCGACTATCGATGTCGGGTTGGCAGAAAAACACCCCAAGATCAAACAAATAACGTATTCCTCAAAGCTTCTCCATCCATCCACCCATATGCAGGCAAAGATGTCAAAAGCCAGCTGATAAACATCACGGACGCCCAATGCTTAGAAAGCAAACGAAATAAGCAGGTTTAAGAGGTGACACTGATGACTAAATCACCCGGTGGGCACTCAGTCTCTGCAGACTATTGAAGCTAAGCAGGCTTTGACCCTGGATAAGCCTTTGGATGGGCAAAGGCAATGCATAAAAGAACAGCTGCAGGCTGCTGGTAAGCTTCCGTTTATTTTGTTGAACTAGATAAGAACTCAAAAGAAAACAGGATAGTCTCATATGTGCAAGGGTGACGCTCGAGTTACAAAAACGACAAAAAGTTAAACAAATTCAGCAAGGCACAGCAATGAAGCACACGAAAGCAGCGCAAACACGTGGGACTACGTGGTGGGCAGCAGTGCAGCAAAATCCATTGTTGTGCCGTACTACGCTCCCTCCATCGATGCTCTCCACCATCACCATCCCGCACCGACCAGCGTGGTCGAGCACGGTCAAATGACCCTGGTTATTCACCCGGCGTGGGGTGGCCCTCATCCAGCAGTGGATTGACAATGGGCCGTACTTGCACGTGTCGAGGATAGGCAGCGCCTAACTTTGGCTGCCGAAATGTCCACCCAAGGCACCGTGCGAGTGCGAGGGAGCCGTGCCACCTGTCCCACCGGGCTCCTCACATTCCACGACATTTATATATAGACACGGCTCCTTCTAAAAGTGAACTTCCCTCACTTCTCTGGTGAACACGTTTCAAACCCTATGCCGGGTGGAACCCACCGATGGCTTAGTACGTATGTACAACTTATTTTGCAATACGTATGTAGAACTTATTTTGCACCATACCAAGCCAACCGTGCTCATCGGAGGTGCGGGGAAAGGACAACAAACTAAACACAAAAAATCAGTTCAAGAAATTAGTTTTGTATGTATGTTAAAACTTATTTCGCACCGTACATAGCCAACCATGCTAATAGGAGGTGCGGATAGAGGACAACAAACTAAAACACAAAAAGCAGTTCTAAAGAAATTAGTTATTTACTGCCCTGTCTCCTGCATGGGTTGGCAAGCTTCCAGCGGCGCAAGCGGTGGCTTTTCACGGCTGACAGTGCTACACGAGATCAGTGAAACCCCTGCTGCAAATGACCACTTTCAACACGGCATTCGTCATAAACTGGGTCAGAACACAGCTGCAGGTGCAGCAAATGCTGTTGGATATAGCACAGTGGTGCTTCTGATACAAGGTCAGATCAGATGTTCGAAACGTATTTTAGTTCTAGGTATCTCAAAGGGCTTGGAATTTTAAAATAGATTCCATGATAATCATGCACACGGCACACTGGAGATGTTTTCTGACAGTTTGAGCTGATAGGTTTCTGCTCGTCAAAGACAATACGGCTACTTTAAAACACGTGCAATTATATTAAATCGTAAATATGCTCCCTTCAGGAAGGTTTGACGGAATCTCAAAGCTCATTTGGGAATTTGGCCAATTCCCTTAATTAGTGTTGGGCAGGCGGGAGACCTGAGTACCTGGAAAAAAACCCATAAAGTATGAGATAAGAGATCTACACAAATTGATTCAAGGATCCATTGCTCTACTACCATCTCCTGGCTACATTGCAGCCTCAGCAAAGGTAGCCAACCCTGCTTAGCATCCGCGATCGGGCACAATGAGGGCGATCTGGTCACAAGAAAATCAATATCACGCACGTCAAACCAGACGACAGTGAGAATATTCCCGCCCATGTCGAGTTCAGCAATGTACAACAACCACCGCACACCGCATCAACAGGTCACATGACACACTTACATAAAACCGCGGCTCTAAATTTGGCTGGCACGGTACACCCGCGGCGCACACGCTCGCTCACGCACGCCGTTATGCAAGTGCCACCCACGTGCAGACTACAAAAAGAAATGCATGCAGAGCAACACCAAAACGGCGGCAAGGGCGGCCCGAGCAGAAAACACAACCCCCGGGGAACTTGCTGACCCCATCCGACGACGAGACGCCGCCGTCCGCTCCGTGCAGCGACGGCGCGGCGCCGCCATCGTCCTCCTCGTCGCTCGAGAAGTCGGCGCCACTTGTCGGAGCCACGAGCCGGTGGTACAGCCGCACGTACACCTCCTTCTTGTGCTCTCCCGCCGGCAGGGCCACCTTGTGCGCCACGAGCTCACGCTTGAGCTTCTCCTTCGTCAGCAGCTGTGGGTCCTCTGCGAAGCCCGGCATTGTTTCCGCCACCGCCACCGACGCGTATCCCCTCTCTTCCTCCTCCGCCGAAGAGCCGACTGCAAAAGGGGGGCTTGCTGTCGCCCGAAGTTAATCCACCGCGGTAGCGCGAGCACGGGCCTGGGCGGACAGCTGTCGGCGTGCTGACATCAGCAGCACCTCGTGTCCCCCTCCCCCATTCCCAGAGGCGTGGGGCGTTACGTGAACCCCAGCGAGGGGCTCCTTGGTCGTAGCGGCTGTTGCCAAAGGGAGGGAGTCCCCGCGCCCGACTTAAATGAAACAGGCGCAGAGAGGGATGACCAGCAATCGTGAGATTTTGCTTTCTCGGTGCAAGTAACAGCGTCACTGGCCAAGCGGAGGTCGACGCATGGGTTGGTGGTCCGATAAAACAGGGTTTGTGATTCTCTCAAACCCGCTAGGCTCCGAGATGTCCAACAGACGGGAGTAGAGCAAGCAGGTTTATAAAACACATCCATGTGAACCTTTGAGGATTATCCTATCGTATGTACGGTGGGTGTTCTAGGAGTGCTCCAATTCCCTCCCACAACACAGAATATTCATTACATTGGTTCTGGCCAAACATCTAAAACACAAGACCCTTGGTGGTGGGATGTTTATAGACCTTTCAGAGCTAAGATAAAACCATGACCTATGAAAGCGAACCCTCGAATTTTTGGTGGAATGTTTACGCAGAATGTTACGACCCAGGAAAGGATGTTCCAGGTGACACTTGAAAAAATAATCTGTGCTGTTGGCACCATGAACATTCACCGAGTGCATATTACTATTAACACATTCCTGCGGAGGGAGCTAGTAGGAACGTTGGGTTGCTTGGTCAATGGCCAGGGTCAACGGTAGCGTGGTGTATTCCCCAAATATGCCCGACTGTGAGGGCGGGTACAAGCCGGTGTGAATAGGTTAAACGTTGAGTTTTATAAGGGCACCACCCAGCCCCTCCCCACCCTCCCCTCTCCACCCAGTCCCACTCCTCCCATTTTTAGATGCACGACGAACAGACACAATAATCCCCTGTGGGCTGGTGTAACTAGGAGGTTCCTACCAGTATCACTTACACCTTCTGATCCAGGAAAGCCTCACTGAGTCTCACAACTCTTATTCAAGAGGGTCCTATCATTTATTTCGTAGTAGGGGGCTCAGTACTATGACCATCACTATTTGATGTATATGCACGTGACCTGCAATGTACTTTATCTCGCAGGTTCATACACGCAGTTGACAAACCTCCAGAACACTGCCAAGACGAACAGCTGGCCGACCTTAATTGGAGGGATCTTTCCGTTGATGGAGACGCCGACCAAATCCTTCCAAATCCGCCACCTGAATATTCGTGCAGCAGATGCCACCCTCGATCTGTGAACCTACTGGGCATGTGAACAAGTATAACCCGTAAAAACAAAGTTTTTCACTCTAAATCCTTTATATGCGTGGCGGCTAGAGTCCTCTCGTCCTCTGGCTTGAGATGGCTGCCACCTATGGGTCAGATGATTGTCTGCCAGTATTAAGCAATTGGTAATTAAATATTTAATTTGTTTTCCCTAAGCAGTGTAAAATTTTGTAAAAAAAAATTCACGAACATTAATTGTCTCGCACAACGAGTCTGTGTGCAAAATGTCAGCTCGATTGGATCACGGGAAGTGGGTTAAAAAACGACCGAAAGATTTGCACGGTCGTAAGCAAGCAAGCAAGCACGCAAGCAAGCAAGCGAACTTAATATAAAGGATTTAAAAATAGCTATAAGGCCCATCGGATTCCTCCAGTACAAATACTGTACATATTCTGATTCCGATGAATATTCTCACTCTCTATAGCTGGCTGTTAATTCAGTCACCATACAAGCCAGTAGCGCCCTCGCCTGGGCAGTGAGCAGATCTCACATCACCATCAGCAAACACAGCCTCATGAACATGTCCGCCCGCAAAATTCCACATTTATTTCCAATTCAAAACGACACTTGCGGCTGGTTAACCGCCAGATATGAACAATTTTTTTAAAAACCTACAAAAAATACATTTAAGTGGGTGTGGAGAAAAAAAAGTTGGAAAAAAAATTCCCCACATTGACCCCGACGTGATTTGAACACGCAACCTTCTGATCTGGAGTCAGACGCGCTACCGTTGCGCCACGAGGTCCCGCGATAGCCCAGCAGCTCCGCAGCCCTTATGACATCGACTCGGCTTCTCGTTCATCCTCCACAAGCATTAAAACACACAAATATTGTTAGTATTATTATTCACGTGATAACGGTACTGGTTTCGGTTATAATTCTCTCCGGAGAGTAAGACGGACCCCCCCCCCCCCCATGCAACGTGTATCTGGTTCCACTGCGGGTTGTAGAGCTGCGGAGCTTTCACCGGTCGTAACGCATCCAGCACCTCGTACAAATCTGCCCCGATTGTGTTGTTGTGTTGTGTCTGTGTTGTGTGTTTGTTTGTGTTGTGTGTTGTGTGTGGTGTCTGCCGAGTTGTTCCGCGGTGCCGTTTGTTCCGTGATATCCGAATGAAACGCATCATCATCCTCATCATCATCATCCTCATCATCATCATCCTCATCATCATCATCCTCATATAAAGACAAAGGACCAACACCTTCCCACACCACCACCACCACCGCCGTATAAACATTAACAGCCTGTTGGGGGGGGGGGGGGGGCGAGTGGGCTTAGCGAGTAGCAAGCGGCGATGAAGGCCGCAACGCCACCACCACCACCACGACAACAACGAGAGACGAAGGTGGTGGTGATGTGGTGGTAGTGGTGGTGATGGTGGTGGTGATGGTAGTGGTGGTGATGGTGGTGGTGATGATGGTGGTGGTGATAGTGGTGATGGTGGTGTGATGGTGGTGGTGATGGTGGTGTGATGGTGGTGTGATGGTGGTGGTGTGATGGTAGTGGTGGTGATGGTGGTGGTGGAGTGGTGGTGATGGTGGTGTGATGGTAGTGGTGGTGATGGTGGTGGTGATGATGGTGGTGGTGATGGTGGTGTGATGGTGGTGGTGATGGTGGTGTGATGGTAGTGGTGGTGATGGTGGTGGTGGTGGTGATGGTGGTGGTGATGATGGTGGTGGTGATAGTGGTGATGGTGGTGTGATGGTGGTGGTGATGGTGGTGGTGGTGATAGTGGTGATGGTGGTGTGATGGTGGTGGTGATGGTGGTGTGATGGTGGTGGTGTGATGGTAGTGGTGGTGATGGTGGTGGTGGAGTGGTGGTGATGGTGGTGTGATGGTAGTGGTGGTGATGGTGGTGTGATGGTAGTGGTGGTGATGGTGGTGTGATGGTAGTGGTGGTGATGGTGGTGTGATGGTAGTGGTGGTGATGGTGGTGTGATGGTAGTGGTGGTGATGGTGGTGTGATGGTAGTGGTGGTGGTGTGGTGGTGGTGGTGATGGTGGTGGTGATGGTAGTGGTGGTGATGATGATGGTGGTGGTGGTGATGGTGTTGATGATGGTGGTGGACCCCGCCGTGTGTCACATCAACATTTGCACGCAACTCCCGCGCTAAACTCAGGACGCCTCAGACACAAAGGCACCTTTGTCATCTCTGTAACAAGTCATACCAAGTCACAAGTCGCCGCCTTAAGTCGACTTCGCAGCTTCACAGAGCAACACAGCTACTGTACACACGGCACTGTACTACCACAAAGATAAAGACCCCCCCCCTCACCCGTGTAGCCTTCACAAACTGTTGGGGCAAGTGCTGTTAGCAAGTAGAACACCCTATGGAGGTACACGAGGTGGGTGGCCAGCAAACACCACGCCCGGCCGCCTTTGTCTCCCCAGTGGCGACGTTTCCTGCACGCCAGGTAACTCGTTGAGGCTGAGTCGACCTAGAGGAGGGAGGTGGCTCAGGTTACCGGTTCAAGAGAATCGTCACAATCGGTGAGAGAGAATAGAAACTCGTAGCGGCCACCGCCACCACCGCCACCATCATCATCAGTGCTCAATCCACTGCTAGATGAGGCATCACACCGTGAAGGACGGTGGGGGGCAGGGGGGGTGTTTGACCATACTTCACCATGCTGGTCAAGTGCAGGCTTTGCCCATTGAGAACAAGGAGGGGGAGGGGAGTGGGGCAAGGCACCGTGACCCACGTCGCGAATTAACAGCGCAGACATCGGACGAGCCGAGAGAATCTCGAAGTGAGAGGTGGTGGAGGTGAGAGGGTGGTGAGTTTCAAATCGTTATAAAATACACGGCAGCTTGGCGTGCCTACATTGCATCGCCAAACAGCTCTCAGCACTGTTAGACCACCCATGTTAGACCACCCCCCCTGCCCACTCTACATGGAACACGTGTGTGGGAAACGGAGCCCGCCATTCTTTCGTCTCGCTCGCTTGCTCACCAGAGAAATGCTGGAAGAGGAGAGGAGGAGGGGGGGTAACGCTTCTTTCTCTCTCTGTATCTTGCTTGGGACGAGCAGCAGCAGCAGTAGTAGTCGTAGAGGAGTCGCAACCAACGCAAGCGGCCTGCTGCAACAGTCGCTTTGCCGGCGAAACAAGAAGCCACGTGGCGGCGCTGCTGCTGCACTTTTTGACAAAAGGAAGAAGCCCCTCCCCCTCCACACACAATCGCCCTCTGTCTGTTCACGAACCCAATGCCTCGGTTTCTAATTGCGGCGAGCTCCCCCGCTGTAACGTAATCGCCCCCACCCACAATCGGCGGTTTCGCTGCACGCGCTGTGAACGAATATGGCTCGTGCAGAAGCTGTGGCAGCAGCGCCAATGATGAGTGTTGTCAATGTGTTGTCCGTGATCTCCAAATCGCACAACAATCTGATCTTAAAGGTGCAGTGAAAAATGTTGATACTCCGACTGATGCTCCTGCTGTTGTGGAGTGACTCATGCAGCCAGCTATGGCTGCAGAGTTTGGTAGTGCATGTTGTTAACGTCGTTTATTGTGAAAATTCGGTCACAGTTACTATGATCACTGTTTCATTGCTTTCATGGCTTTATTTTGGTGATTTTCGAAACTTTTTTGGTTTGGCCATTTTGTTTGTTGTAGCACATGGTTAGACTGATGGCCTTAATCGAAGTTGCCTTGTGGTTGTTGTTTGACTTGCATCCCACTGGGATTTTTTCACACAGTGTTGGTGTACAGTGCTTTTTCTGCAATATTTTGCCGTCTTGTCTTGGATTTTCTGTTTGCACTTAGTCACTTTAAGATGTTTTCTTGTTCATGTTTTTTTGTTTGTTGCGGTTGCACCGGATTCAAGAGCCGAATACTTAATAAAAAAAGAAAAAAAAAGAATTTTTTTAAATGAATGAACCTGGAACATCCTTTCCTGGGTCGTAACATTCTGCGTAAACATTCCACCAATAATTCGAGGGTTCGCTTTCGTTGAAAATGCAGCAAGCCAATGGTAGAGCTCATAAAAACCCTTTTTGACGGAGCGGCAGTCAAAGGAGCCAGTCGCCTGAAATCCACGTCCACCGTGGAGATGGAGCACCTATTGTATGTTGCACTTCTTTCGCACTGTACGTCGCCAAACCGTGCTAATCGGAGGTGCGGGAACGATGTCGTGATTTCGCGTGCAGGTGGTGCTTTTGACCGACGGCTTACCGAATTCTTTATCCAGCAGTGGATTTATCATTGTGGTGATGGCAAACCAAACAACACCTTTTTTGGGGGTCAATCTCCATGCTGAAATGAGGGTTCATGTGCATGTCATGGTGGGTTTATTTGACCATAACTTCACAAAGTTGGTCAGTGCAGGTTTGAGGGCAAAGAGCGCATTTTTCGGAGCATGGGACAATCACCGTTCAATAATTAACTTCGCTGCACTGCCCTCTGCTGCCCACTTCATGGACCCGCGATCGGTGGATTGGCAGGTGCAGCGACTGTCCTGTAGTAACAATCAGCATTCATCCAGGTTCCAACCTGCTTAGCTTCTCATATCCGATGGGACTGGGGAGATGCCGGGTAATCCGATTATTTAGCAAAAAATCAATGGTTCTTCAAAACGTGTTTAATTAAATAAATCGGTACGGTGCGAAAGAAGCTCAACATGCATAGACGAAAGAGCAAGAGTATTGAAAGTTCATGGTTTTTTTAAAGTGACACTCTAGTTCACTTTGCGTGCAGGTCCCTCCATTGGGCTGCGGGGAGTGCGGAGCCCGCGCCAAATCCCAATGTGTGGGCCCCCCAGGGGGAATGCCTTCGGACTGATATCATCACGTCGAAGCGCAGGGCCCCCCAGAGTGCGGGGCCCGAGGCGAACGCAAAAATTCGCCATGCCCTCGGCACGGCTCTGCTTGTACAATTACTCGCTTTTGTATTGCACACACTAGAAAATGGCAAGGCTTTACACAGCCACTGATTAGGGGCTCGTTAACATGATCTTTGTGTGTGTCTAGAATACCCATCTGGATAAACACATTAACTTGAACTGGTAATAACATTCAGATACATTTATTATTGTACCTATCACAATACACACATTACTGTGCATTGTTTCTACATGTATCCCCTTTAACAAGATACACATGTCAATGTACTTTATCGTGTTGAAATGAAATTAATACACTCTACAATGCAACAATAAAAATCGGCATACAAAGAACAAGTCACAACATCCAGCAATCAATAATATATTGCAAGTTTTGGGCAGGTTTGGTTTAATAGTACCATTTGTACATTGTCATAAAACAACAATAAACATTATGTAACAGCAATAATACAATGCAAATGCGTAACTTGTCCATCACGTCACAAGATATAAAAACACAAGCTGGTAGTGTTTGTATTAATGTGCAGTGACGTCTGGCTATTTAAAGCATCTCAAAACAAACAAAATGGTGCGTGTGTTTGTCGATGGTATCCTCAAATTCCAAAAGCTGTTCCCTCCAAAAACCCCCCAAAACCAGGAGCAGAGATCGTATAAGAAAAATCGCAGAAGGCCTTTTTAGGGATCACGCTCAAACAGGGGATGTTCATGCACGAAATGAATCTCACCATTTCAAATGCATCTCTCAGCAGTGTGAACCTCATTGTCAGGAGAAACGTCGTTCAGGACATGGTGCTTTATCCATAGCAATGCCAAGCCAGGATGCACGGGGCAGTTTAGCCGAGGCTATGCAAAGAGCAACTAAGAATCTGGCCAGAATTTGCATATACATGAAGCAGGGTCGTGCATATGGGCGTGGGTGCAGGCCGGTGGCAACCACAGGCCCCCCTCTCTCTGTATTTAACTGAACTCACTGCCAGAAACGGGGTAGAATTCGGTGAATTCGGTCAATTCTGCATAATAGGCATAGGTCATGGATTGCAATGGCTATTCTGGCCACATGGAATCGGCGATTATTGTAATCTTGCCCAGATAGACTCAGCAGTACCTAGCAGAGTTGGATTCACGATGTAACCCCCCCCCCCCCGCCCCATTCTATTATACAAATATCCCATAGCAAAACCCCTGTTAGACTCCCATTTAAATACATTTGAGATTCTGACATGGGAATCACCGATACATCACTTCCGACAGGAATTGTCCGGGGTGGAATCCTGGGAATTAAATACCATATACTTATTGCAGGAATTGCAGCTCTAGTGAGCACACACTGTACATGAAATGCACACCCTGTAGCTTATAGGAGGCATCGACTTTAAATAACGTATCCTGACAAATGCAGTGACATATACACCACCGTTTTCAAACCAAGGTCAAATATGCAATTGCGTTAAAAGAACACCCCACTTAGATGTATGTATAGGCGGCAACACGTTTAGTTTTTGGGTTTATTACCGATTTTCACGAGGCCAGATGCTATACTTTCATGTCCAATTAAGTTCTTGTCATAAGGACAAAGCAAGTGGGCTCAATGGGCGTTAACCACTCACGTGTAGTATGCACAAGCTAAATAAAAGGTTAAAACACACCCAATGGTGACAAGCTTATCAACGTTTGAACACATTTTGTTTGACCATCAAGGCCATCTTGGCCAGCTTAGTGCAAATAATAATAAAATCAGTTTTCAGACAATACTGTAACTTAAGATCGATACATATGTACATTTTACAAATATGTTAACAGAGAAAATCGAACCCATAGTTTGGTTGACATTCGTCTATCGCATATTGCCTGCCTAATTTTTTGCACGTTTCTTAAAACTCATCAGGAGTGTCTGCTGTGGATTTTTGACCTCTTTATTCGGCATTTCTGCCGAATATTAATACCAAGATTCAGCAAACAAACGTGCAGCAAACGTAACCATCAGTACATCACATGTGGCGATGTGCCCGTAAAAAAATGGCAGTCTGTGTAACATTACGTGAGATCGTACCAAACCTCTATAGGTAGTTATGACGGGATTGAATAGTTAAAAAGACATTTCAACATACACACATCCCTATCCAAGACAATACAGTATTTTGATTTAGATTGTAAAATAAAATAAAACATGTGAACACTGACTTTGGTCACTTGAGATGCTGCGGTATTTAGATGAAAACACTTTCAACACTGAGGAGGCAATAACATGAATCAAAATAATAAAATATCATGGAACAAATGCCAAAACAGGTGCACAGGAAAACACCTCCTTGTGTTTATGATTACTCAGCTGCAGTATTAACCTTGCAAAGTCACATTTTAGCCTCTTGGGATCGATTCACTAATGGGCATCTTCACCGCTCCTGCGGGAAACGAACTCTTCGCGCACCCTGCTTTAGGATTTTATCTTCCAAAGCTGAAAGAAATAAACACACACACATAATTTCCCCGGTGTTGGACCTGCACATTTGATAATACAATCCATGCAGTGTTGACTTTGATCAGGAAATGACTACAAGACTGTAATATTTACCATGGCGAGATGTGCGACCATGTGGATTTGTCTAAAAAAACTGAAAGACCAACAATTGGAGGGTAAGCACTTTTGATCTGTGTGAAATTAACAGGTTTCATTTATATTATTTTTGTTACACAGAATAACTTTTATGCAATCTATAATGCAAACTTGATTTTTAAAAACACATTTACATAACACATACATAGGGCTCTTATCAGGACAAACCTCAACATACATGGTGTCCTGGAAGAAAACATTTTTCGTCTCAATGTTTCTGATTATCTATCTTCCTGCATCACAGTTTGTGTGTCCTGTCTCGCTGTGTCCCCTATGTTGCTGTGTCTGTCTCCCTGGTGTCCCTATGATTCTGTGTCTCTGTGCCTCTGTCTCTTCACCTGCATGCACATTCTTCATAACCATAATATATTTTTGGCTCTTCTCACAGCATTACTCCCTTGGCAGCTGCCCTGTTCACCCACACCCAAGACCATCAATATATCATCGCTTGTGCAGGTGTGGCTGATGCACGTGTGTGCAAATTATCACACACTCGTGATCTGCTTGTCTCCATGAACACCAACACACTCACCTTGAGGTTGAAGCCCAGGAGGTCGCTGATCACACCGGAGAAGGCCGACAGAATGACCACGCGCGTAATGTTGTAGAGCATGGGGTTCATTGTGAGGCCGTAGAGCCGGAACGGCGAGTCCAGCTCCTGCAAATGCAGTATAGAGAGAGCACACATGGCCCTTTATTTGAAAGCCACTGGAAGCACACACAGCCAGACTTCCCGGGTGCTATGCCCCATTCTCTCAGTTTAGACCTGTGCCCAATGGCAGGTCCTTGGCTCCCTCCCCCATCCTGTCCGATCTTGAGATCACGTAATAATTTAACTCTACGGACCTAGTTATTTCTGGTTGCCAAGCAGTATTCTTTTTTTTCCCTCTGGGACTCTTTCCCAACATTTCTCTCAGAACTGCCTTCATCAAGCTTTAGCTCCAGAGAATGTCCTATATTCATACTTGTGAATTTTTCCACATTGTTCTAATACTGCTTTACTCCTCCTGAACCTACCTCAGAGCTTCCTCTTTCCATCCAATCGAATTTCTCCAGTCTTAAAAAAACAAACGCACATCTAAAAAAAATATGTTGCCCCCCCCCCCTCCTAATATTATAATTATTGAGTTATCGACGAAATATTTGGGTGTGCACCTTGAGCAGCTTGGTTGCCAGCTTCAACACATTGTTCACCAGGTTCAGCTCTTCCTTCTTGTTCGGCTTCTTCTCCATTTTCAGGTACAAGTTAATCTGCACACAAAGCCAAACGTATCCGACGACGAGCCAGAAAAGGGGAAAGGTCAAACCACTAGAACAAGAAAATCTCAAGACGGTGACCGAACAGCAGGGGTCAGCGACCCACGGCTCCGGAACCGCATGTGGCTCTTGAAATTTTCCCTCAAAAAATGGCTTTGCTTGTTATTTTGGTTGCCGATCTCTGACCATGGAAATCCAGTTCACCATGGGCAGGGGTCGACAACCCGTGGCTCCGGAGGCACATCCGCATCATTAAGGACCGCTTTGTGATGTCATTTATTAAGGACCGTCTCATATTTACGTTCATTTCGGCTCTTGAAAAAAAAGCCTATTCATGTTGTTTTGGTTGCCGACCCCTGCCGTCGAGCAACAGACTTCCAAACATAAGAAGGCGAGTTCAAATCCTGGCTACGGGTGACCGCCCAATCGATACTCCAGGGGCTGGTAGAAAACGTGGCATCAATCACAGGCGTCCTACCTGCTCCGTCAGCAGAATGGACGTGTTGCTGTATTTTTTGTTCGTCTCCGAGCCGAGCGTGACGAAGCGCAACAAGAATATTCCCAGCGAGAGGCTCCACGCCAGCAACTCCCAGTTGTAGTGAACGTCGAGGAAGGTGCTGTGCCCGTTCAACAGCTGTCCGCACGCATGCATGCACGCACGCACGCACACCGTGTGTTAAAAGCACCAGCCAAACGTCATGACGTTCCCACACACCCGCCTTCTTCTTCCATACGGTGGAGAGTTGATCAAACATGTTCATATGTTCACTTCGACATTGGTGAGCTGGTGGATGGCTACAGTAGCTTGGCGAATATCTGAAATGCTGCCGGTAAATTATCACAGCAAGCAGTGGTGTTAATGTGTTCCATCAATTGAGTTCGGTGACTATAGACACAGTAGGCAATTCATTTTCCATTGGTGTAGAAGACGTCCACACCTACTGTGCGATGATCTAATGTGATTTAATTCAGTACCCACTCGCTGACACGGTTTACAGCACTGTGCTGTAAGTTGTGGGTTAAGTCACGTGCAATTACATCCGTTTGATGTTTTTGTAACTTTATCTGGAACTGTACTTGAATCAGGTGCGGGATAATCTGCCCAAGCTGACTTGCACTGCAGGGAGTTATTATTTGGCATTCATTTGTGTTAGTGCAGCGTTTCAATTTCTTAAGTGACGGTTGGTTTTGTTCTGATTTCTCGGTGTGCTTTGTTTCCTCTACTTTTGTTTGTTTTGCTTTTATCATTTTGGTGACCCAGGTCACTCAGGTCACTCTTGCCAATGAGACAATCCTGGTCCCTTGGGTTCTCACCTGGTTAACAAAATAAACAGAACAAATGTTTTAAAATCAATGAATGAGGATAACGCTGACCTGGGCACAGCAGATGAAGACCACAGAGAGCTCCAGCAGGAAGGCGGATGACACGATCACGTCCACCGAACGCTGGGGACCCCGCCTCTGGAGTGAACACAATACACACACGACACTCAGTGAACGAGTTAAAAGCTTCCCAATGCCCTGGTGTGGCCGGGACAATACAGGGTTCACAAAGGCTGTCCCTGGTGTCCCCCAAGCCTATGCGATTTGATCTCACTGTAAAATATTCTGGCCTCATGCTCAACTCAGTTATGGGCAAAGGGCGAGGCTACCTGCGGAGTGGGGAGGGCTTGCAGAGGAGTCTTCAGGGCCTATAAGTGAAGCCAATTTCAGAAAGGGCAAGAACACTCGCTGTGTGGGTGGGGCTCGTGAGTGTGTGGCCGTGGCTATGTCAAGTTGGTGGGGCGGGCAGAGGGAGAAGCTGCCAGCTTACCGTATCTCTGTTGAGCCACCCAGAAAATTAGCAGCTTTAAGATAAGTGCACACTTATATTAAGATAAGTGCGCACTGTATGGTGATACAGAAATAGCCGTCCACCTATTGAAAAGTTATTTACGCGTTAAACCACGTAGAATTCACTTTAGCTTTTCTATTATTTACGATTCTATTCAAAACTAGCAGTCGACCACACTGTTTCAGAGAACGGCCCAAGAAGAAATCAGAACTACGCTGAAGTGACATCAAAAGACCTCTTCATCTGCACTTGGGGGTACATCCTTTCTTTGCACTGCAAGGAGGGTTCAAAGCAAGTCGATCAAAATGACATCTGCAATCATTAAAACTGAAAAAAAGCTCAAGTATATATTTTTTGTAAATACTAATCTTTTTTGTGTGCACTCATTAGTAAACAGACAGTGGCCACCAACTCCCTACACTTGAGGACCCAGCTTAATCACAAGCACGGATAAGATGGATTACAACCCCGAGTCTTAGTAGTACCAGCTCAGTGCGCTGTCAGCCAATCAGACACCAGTATTACCACACAGTTGTTGGAGATATTTAAAATATCATATCTAATCTAAGTGAGCATGCCCCGGGCTGAGCCATAAAATGATGACACTGGCTGTAATATTTACAATGTCGATCTGTGCTACCGTGTGGATTTGTCATCAATCGACTTCACGTTGAACAAGATGCACACCATTTTTCGATTTAAAGCTTTCGTGACTGCAGGGATTCATCTTCTTGGTTATTTCGGTAAAGTCACGTAGAAGGAAAATAATAAAATAATTAAAATAAAACATAATAAAATAATTCTCACGACGTTTCGGCCACAACGCAAGCAGCCGTCTTGCGTTGTGGCCAAAACGTCGTGAGAATTATTTTATTATGTTTCATTTTTATTATTTTATTATTTTCCTTCTACGTGACTTTACCGAAAGAACCAAGAAGAAGATGCACACCTTCAGGTACGAGCGCAGTGAGAGCCACATCTTGATATTTTGAACTTTCTTGAGCCGGAAGTGGGGGATCTCCGACTTGCGCGCCCGTCTGGCCGATGTCAGGTGCCCAAACAGCTTGGCGAACAGATACCGCTGTCGCAGAAACACACCGCACGCGGAGTCAGGTTTGCAGGGTGCACTTGCTTGTACTTCCATGCTGGTCAGTGCGTGGTTGGATTGTGTTGAACAATTAAGACACGATGGCATGTATGTTGAAACTTCTTTCGCACCGTACATAGGCAACCGTGCTAATCAAAGGTGCGGGGAAGGACAACAAACTAAACACAAAAAGCAGTTAAAAAGATAGATATGCTATATGCGTTAAGGATTGTATGACTAAACTCTGTATTACATAACCCGCAGTACTTTTATATGTAATACTTATTTCGTACTTGCACTTAATTATCAATTTAAATAATTTCCTAGCTTCATAAAAAATTGCGTCCAAATTGCGCATTGGGTTGGAGTGAAGTATTTTCTCTTCTAGCTTGGCATCATGGTGCACAGCTATAATCCAGCGATGAGAAGGCATGATGTAAATCAGTAAATCTCCTTAATCTTATGGGTTTTCAAGGCCAAGTGATGACAGTACATCACGTGGAACAATGAATATGTCTGTGCAGACTTTTTCAATTTTTTCTCCATCGTATTAATGGTGAGTTTTCTCCGGGTAATCGATTTTAATCCCACGGATGTATGTATGTATGTTGAACTTCTTTCGCACCGTACTTAGCAAACCATGCTCATCAGAGGTGCGGGGGAAGGACAACAAATAACCTCCTTAAATGGAATTGGCCTAAAGATCTGAATGCAGGACCCTCTGAAGGAATCTCAAGAATCGGTGGTCTCAGTGCCCTTCAACGGGCACCACCGCTATCCACCTCACGCCACCCTGCCCAGCCACATCCGACGAACATCCCGCGGGCCCCTCGCGCCCAGCGCCCAGGCACCACCTGCTTGTAGGTCTTCTCGGCGACGGAGAGCATGAAGAAGAGCAGCCACACGAGGCACACGCGTTGCACGAGGCAGATGACGACGATGGCGGCGGCGGCCGGGCCAGCGCCCAGGCCCAGGCAGCACCAGAGCACGTCGAGGGGGGACGCGGCGCTCGCCTGGTCCAGCCCCATGTGCCACAGCAGGCGGAAGGCCAGCGGGAGCGCACCCAGCAGCAGCGTAACCAGGTTGCTGAACACGTGGTATACCTGGCCTTGCTTGTACGTGTTCACCTGCCACGACGCATATTCAGGGTCGTGAGATTCGAGAACGTCCGCGATTTTATGCATAAGGTCGCAATCGTTACACACAAAGTGCTCGCCGCAACTGAACCACGATAACTTGACGATCTCGTCAAAGAACATAAAGCATCAGACGAACTCCGGCTATCCTCACAGCAGCGGCTTTTGGCTAGCCATCGAACAAAGACAATCACCGCAGTGCGCACTTTCGGATACGCTTCTGCGGCCGTCTGGAACAGTTTCTTCCATGATTAGGAAGCAATTAGATCTATCCACTTATCACCACCATGCACCAATAATTTTCAATATTGAAACTACTCTAAATTGAAGTGTGTGCAACAAATTCCACGCACCACTTCTCATGGCCGAGGGCTGTAAGTATCCGTGTCGATCTACTTACAACTCCGGTCAGCACGGTTGGCTACGTACGGTGCGAAATAAGTTCAACATACTTACAATGTGTTTAATTTAAAGACATTACGGATGATAAAACGCACACAAGTTAGGTTTCCAAAAGTGACGTACATTTCCGATTCGCTATCCAATGCGCATCCCAGGCATCGATGAACATCGCGTGGTGTATAACTTTCGGAGGGGGCATCGGCCTGCATTGGTCTGTGCAACATACAATCACTCTTCAAGGTCGCCGCGCTTGCGGCACTGGCCTCACCCGGTTCATGATCATGCCGCTGATCTCCAGGACGGACATCTCGGCCTTCTTGCACTCGTTGGCCTCCCACACGATGGCACTCACGCGCTCCAGCCCAACGGAGGAGCTGCCTGGAAAGAACAGCTGACTCTGCTGGGAGAGGAACATCGTCCGTGTGAAGACAACGAGCACGCAAATCTCCGGTGGTGGGAAACCCACTGCCCGCCACTTCACTTCGCACCTCCGATTAGCACGGGTGGCTACGTAGGGTGCGAAAGAAGTTCAACATACGTAAGTACATTTCATATGGCGCACGGCCACGGGACACGATTTTTATCTGAGATTGCCAGCATCTCGGCTAAACTAATCAGGCAAGAGGGAAATATTTCCCATCTGGCAACAACACTGATTCCAATATGCGAGTGCTCAGTCACAGCGCTTCTTCATACACAGTCAATACGCACGTTTTTTTTTTATTATTGTCAATGCGTGGTCCCGCAAAGGTATCTGAAAGTACTATTCAGCTCTCAGTCAGGCGCAGAGGTACCAATAACTCTGATGTTACACTCAGCAGTAGCGTTCTTTCTTCTCAACTTGCTACCCATTACGCAAGTTCAGGCCAAGCGGTAACTGTCTACCATGCTCACGTTTAAGTTGGGTAAAACTCCCGAGGATTTAGAAGTACGTGGAGCGAAACGTCGGGCATCACGTCGAACGGCACAAATGAACCACAATTTCTTGCTGATCTCGTCAAGGAGGATAAATCACCACGGCAACTCCTGGTCATCCTCACAACGGCCTTTGGCTGGCCATCGAACAAAGACGGTCACCTGCATCGCGTGCGCTTTCAGATGCGCCTCTACGAGCCATCTGGAACGCTTCTTCTGATATTAGGAAGCCACTGGAGCTATGCACTTTCAAATCATCTCGATTGAAAACTAATTTCTTAAGAAATGCTTTGTACGTTTCGGCAGTTGTCCCGATTAGCACGGTTGGCTACGTACGGCGGCGAAAGAAGTTCAACGCACGATCCGAGCTCTCGACAAGAGAGCTGCACACGCTCGCGAACTCCTGGCGGTGCCGGGGCCAGCCCACCTGCTGGAAGGGGTCGTCGCGCGCGCGGGCCAGGGTGGCGGCGCTCGCCACCGTGTCCTCGCTGTCCGTGGAGCCTGTGGAGCGGCACTCGGCGCCCAGCAGGAGGTCCTCCCACAGCAGCTCCTCCGTCTCCGACTCGGGCCGCGTGCTCTCCGAGTCGTGGCGCGACGTCGTGCAACTGCGCGAGCTGCAGCTGCCTGACGAGCGCAGCACCTCCTGCCAGAGGCGGACGGGGCGGTAGGAGAGAGTGCGGCAAAACGGAGGTGCACAAGGGCACATATATACACTCGTATATATGATATACAAACGTGGCCTCAAAGTGCACCTGGCTTGGCACAGGCGCCGTGGTGACGTCACCATCGCTTTGCGGCAAATGGTGGGTATTGTACGAAAATAATACACAAAGGCAAAGATCCCCTGTATAGCCTGAGCAGACTGTTGTGGCAAGTGCTGTTAGCGAGCACCTATGGAGGCCGGCACGGCACACAAAGGGGTGGGTGGCCAGTACCACGCCCGACCGCTTTTTCTCCCAAGTGGCGATGTTTACACGCCACACCAGGTACTCATTTGAAGCTGAGTCGACCTAGGAGAAGCCCAGGACCGGTTCAGATAATCGTCACTGGTGTTGGCCGTGAGCGAGAATCGAACTCGGGTCACCGAGTTTGAAGCGTAGCGCCCCTACCCGCTACACTACCGCTCCCCACTTTTATATATATACACAAACGCATATACATGTACACACACAATGGGCTGACACGAATAACCCAGTAGCAGCCAAGGAATGGAATACGTCACAGGGGACATCCACCGAGCGAAGAATTTAGTCTGTATGCTGGATCGCCCGAGGTGGCCGTAGCGGCAGCCGGAGCAAAACTTCAGCACTGGATTGGCCATGGCTGATGATGATTACGAAAAACACGAGAACGAGCACACAATGGCCAAGACCCACGCTATAGCCTACACAGGCCGTTGTGGAAAGTGCTGTTAGCGAGCACCTATGAAGGCCGGTGCGGAGCTCGAGGTAGGGGGTGGCGTGGTTAGCACTACGCCTGGCCACCTTCGCCTCCGCAGTGCCGATGTTTAGATGTGATTTCAGGAAATTATTTGAAGAGGCACAGTGCAGAATCAGATCAAATGTGCTACTCGTGTTATCCTTGGCTGCAAATCAAACTAGGATGCTGGAATTGTAGCCCAGTATACAAACCACGGAGCCATGTACAAAGACACACACACACAACAAGCACAGGAAACGGCATTGGATGGGAGAAAATGGAAACAATCTGATGTAACATGTCTACTGTGCACAGTATATATTCCAGTTGTACATCAAATGAAGGTATGTGTCTGTTGTGGAACATCATTTACATTTGCATTTAAGTGCAGATGCGCCATCATGGCTTTGCACGAATACCATTATTTGACAGTGAATTTATAATGTGCATACATTTCCCTTAATTTCATGAAAGTAAAGTGACTTTTCTCCAATGCTCTAACGAAAGGAAAATGCAACAGCTGGACCGAAACCAACATAAAGCAGTGTATTGATTAATAACAAAAACCGCTATCGATCATTTTCTCAGCGCAAACAACACAAGGCAATGTTAAGCAAAATGAAAGAATGACGCAACAGGACAACACATGGATTCAGGAAACCTTCAAAGGTCAAATTAATTCATAAACATTCTTCATGATTGGAACCGTTGGCTAGGCGAACTAGTCGATGGCAATCAAACTGTAAAGCAAAACAGAGACGTTGTTAATCTGGACAGGAAGAGGATGGCACAGGCTTGAAAGGAAACAGGGTCACAGTTAAAAAGCAAAACCTAAATGTTAGTATGATTCACACATACATCAAGAAGAAGCAGGGGGGACATTTACACTTCTCATTTCCAAATGCCACGTTCCATATTGATAACCTCGAAGGTTTTGATAGCTGAAAGGCTGTTTTTAACCCAAGTCAATAAATGTTAACTTGAATTGCACTCAATTCGATGGCCATTTCTTTAAATAGTTGTTGGTGACAGCTTCTCTATCTGTTTGTCACAACCGGACCAGAGGGTGCACACACACGGGTAAAGTGTCCCTAACAGGGAGATCTCGCCAAGCAAAACAACAAGTCCCTCCTGGTTCGTATCACCACACACAGGTGCAAGGGTGAGTCACTCGCTTTCATTGTGTACAGAGAACCTACGGTTTTCAATGACTTTCCATAGAAACTGTCGGGTCTGCTCGGGCGTGAATGTCAGAAACGTGTGAAGTGTTGCCTTTACAGAGGCTGGCTCTAACATTCTGCGATCACGTAGCCACTCGCACAACATTTTTTGTCCTGCGTCATTCCAATTAGACAGCATGCCCCCGAGCAAGGCACTTGCGTACGTCAGTCGTTGCTGCGGCCAGAATTCTTCAAAAAGGTAACAGTTGTGGACGAGCCCAGTGCTCGCGCACACTCGGAATGCAATTTGTAACCTCGGCTGTCACGATGCAATTGCCATTCGGCCAATTTCAGTCAAGGACACTATGCCCTCCGTTCACTCGACATCATGTGCGTTTTCAAGCATATATAAATCATAAGTAGGACTTCTACACGGTTTGGCAAAAGTGTCACTTTCGCGCACACAGCCGCAGGGGTCTCCAGCGTGGCGGCGGGAGAGACACAAATCAAACACAAATACAGAATAGGAACAGAAGGGGCTTCCAAGCCATTGCTAAGGCGCTGCAAGGACACTGAAAAGAGCGACGCAAGAAAACATTGCACGTGCGCAAGCTTCGACGCAGAAGCATCTCTGCTCTGCAAGGCAAAAACGTCTGCGAATATTATTGCAGCTCAGCATTGCCTGTGGTGGCGACGGAAGTGGGGGGGGGGGAAGGGAGAGGTGGGGAGAAGCCCCCCCCCCCCCCACCGTTGGTACCTGGCAGCACTGTGGGAAAAGAAAGGAGTCGTTCTCTGATCGATCACAACTCTCAGAGCCGGAGGCCGTGGCACCGTCGCGGGTGGCGTGCACGCTTCCCTGCACATGGGCATTACGGGTGCAGACACGCACACAAAGACAAAGATCCCCCGTAATAGCCTTAGTAAGCCTGTTGGGGCAAGTGCTGTTAGCGAGCACCTATGAAGGCCGGAACGGCACAAGAGGTGGGTGGGGTGGCCAGCACCACGCCCGGCTGCCTTTATTTCTTTTTTAACACTACACCGGTTCAGATATTCGTCACCAGTGTTGACCATGAGCGGGAATCAAACTCGGGTCGCTGGGTTCGTAGCGCAGCACGCGAACTGCTACACTGCCACTCCCCACACATATGTACACAAACACAAAGATTCCCCCATATGGCCTAAACAGACTGTTGGGCCAAGTGAACACACATGCACACGCATTCAGGCGAAGTGAGCATACATTTCACACGAGCACACGTATGGCATGCAATATCGATTTGCCTTATTAAACACTTGGTTTAGTGATCAAAGGTACAAATAGTTCCATATGAGACTGCAAAGGGTCAAATTCAACTGTCTGTCGTTAAAATAACTTTTTAAGTGAAAGCCACCTGCATTTGCGCACACTCGTGTTTTTCAATTCGCAGCACAGGAAGAATACATTTTAATCAAGCAGCATTGGAACAGGTGTAAGAGGCAATTATTTATAAGTTATTCAAATGACATGCTAATTTACGTTTACAATCATAACGATAATATCAGGGCCAGGACAGAACAAACAAAACAAGACACTACAAAGGATGCAAAAATAATTGATTCTTGAATCAAGCCATGGCTCCCGAATGATAACAATTATTTTAATCTCCTTTGTGATAAATTTGTGTACGCTTGTTAATGAGCAAAGCATTCCCATGTAATTAACACTCAATCAAAACCAAGGGGCTTCTACATAAATGATCACGATCTATCTTTACAAAGCCGATAAATATGCAATTTGACAGCAGAGCAACTGTAACAAAGGGAGGCATGGGTGACAGTTGATGAATTTCCATGGTGGCCATCCGATTGCTCTATAAATGTATTACGAGTGGATGACAAAGCGCTGATGGATCCTCATGATAGACGACCAACCGACAATAACGCGTTTGTTTTAATGGTTTGATGCAAGACTGACAGCGCCATAAAAAAGAAATTATTTACGATTAAGAATTCAAGATATATATTCGTGCTACGCAGGAGAGAGCATAGAAATATAACTCTCCTGTTAAATAAAAAAAAATGCAGTATCAAATTCCCTGCTCAATTCACAGGGAAAATCACAGCATTAGATGCGGATTACTTACTGTTGAAAAGACCGTGGAGGGGGGGGGTTTGAAACTTTTAACGTGAACATTCCTTCCCTCATTTACATAATTGAAACAACAAATTAAATTCTAAATATCCCGCTCACGTTTGGTATGTTAACGGTACGGGTAAATGATGATATTATTTCAGCTGAAAAACATTTTACTTCTGAAGACATTTTTGGAGGTTACAACTCAGTACTGTTATTTTTCATTTGATTGATTATGTTTACAAAATAACAAGCTATTTCTTTACTAGGTATGCAAAAATGTACCCCAACGGTGATTTGTCCGGAGTCGGAGTCACGATGCAATTCAAGAATCAATCATCTTTTTGTCTCTTTGGTACCATCTGTATTGTTTCTCAAATTGTGTGTCTTATTTGTATCGTTTGGGTCATTCCATAATCCTAACGTAACATTAGCATGTCATTTGCATTCAACATAAACAACCTCCTCCCATATGCATGATTATATGTGCCTACCATGAGCGTATAAATACATTTTATTTGATGAATCAACACATCGTTATTAGGCATGTTCTTGACCTCTAAAGGTACATGCTTGGTCAAAATGAATGCAAGTACTTTTGAAGTATACCTTACATCTAAATGTAATATACTCTTTCATTGGTTATTATTACTTAATCTTCTCACGTTATTTAGTATCCCGCATACCCTTGTTACTGTCGATATTTGACAACACGTTGGCGGCAATGCTTTATTTCACCCACGGCAAGTCACAATGGCCTCTCACCTGGTCAACAATCTAACGCGCCGCCACTTTGCCGCGTCCTCCCGAGACACGTTACGCGAGAAAGACGCGTCACGACGGTTACCGCTAGGACAGGGAGCAATCGGCGCCAGCGCCGGGGGGTGCGGGATCAATGTGAGTGTGCCCGTACCTCTGCGGAGCAGTGCTTCCTGCAGTGCGTGTGAAGCTTGCGTTGTCGCAGCCCGTCACACGACGGACGCTCCGCGCCGCGACGGTACACCGGCGTCTCCGGGGCCCGCAGCCCGCCACCATCTTCCTCGCTTGACAGGTCGTCCGAGGCAGCGGGGCCCAAACGGCCCGCCTCCTGAGTCCCGACAGGAGTCACAGAAAAGTGCGTTGCAAGCGGTTTTCTATTTGATTAAATCGCTGTCCAATTCAGGTGAGAAGCGTGTACACATTGGCTCCGTCTGTCCATCTGTCCTCTTGTCCATAGCGAGGGGCACTATTACCCCCCTCCTTTAAGAGGATCTAATATTACCAGACTTGAACATAAAGTTGTGGTGCTATTAGGCACTTGCCCGATTGAAACTAGGCCAAATTAATCCAAAGGTTGCCCACAATTTGGAGAAACGCCAGAGCACAAAAAGGACTAATTACAAATATGCAAAAGATGTTTGATTTAATAGCTCCCCGTTAGTTGCCATGCTAATTCAATATGAAGACAGCACGTACCTAAAATATTGACGTAATCTGTACATATGTTTCTGTGTTTTTTATAATTCTCTTACTATTGTGCTATCGGCATAGTGTTAATGGACAATGCATCCATTCAGACCTCTGGCAGGGAAGCCCACCACTCCTTGTGTTAGAGAACGGTCCGTGGAAGCAGACAGCATCGAGCCACTTGTGAAATCTCTTCACGTGACCGTTCTTATCCATACACTTGAGCGTGCACTTTCTGCTTCAGATAATTTTTTGTTGCATCGAGGACCAATCGATGTTTTACTTTTGAAAAACCAAACATAATATGACGTGTGTTTGTGCAATGATTGGCGAGTTGGTTGAGACAAACTCACTAGTTTTGCTAACCTTATTTAATCACGCCACACGAGTACACATTTTTCCCCACACACGCACGCGCCCCCCGTTTGCCATGCGAGTATATGACGGCACTGCCACGTGTGTTTGTGTGTGTGTTTACCAGGGCACCGCCCGTACCTGCTTGCTATGTGACCCCTGATGGGGGCGGCCCTCTGCAGAGAGGGCCTCCACGCGGTGCGAGAGAAGGGGGCCGCCCCCGGCAACGCAGTGTCGCGAGGCCTTCCCCTCCAGGCAGATGTAGCCATTGTCAGTCTCAGGTGGACTTCTCCTCGTAGCGCTTGCTTTGCTCCGGCCTGGGGGTTCGGAGACGTTCCCAGGGGACTCGTTACTAATTCCCAGGGGACTCGTTACTAATTCCCAGGGGACTCGTTACTAATTCGTTGCGTGACGTTTGTCAATTTCGTAAAACGACGACACATTTTTGAACCTCGGCCCTTCAGAAAACGGGCAGTAGTTATGAAGATCGGCCACCCCTCCCACTTATGTTCTGAAATCTGGAGAGCGGTGGCACAACGGTGAGCACCCTGAGCTATTTATTTTAGGGGCAAACCGAAAATTATTCTTGAGTTTTATCAGAGCTGGTCCTGGGCACCTTCACACATCTGCCCGAACCAGTGTGGTGAAGTATGGGCAAAACCCCTCCACAAATAACATGGTTTGGCATAGCCTTTATTCAATAGTGGATTGTCTAAGGGCTATAAACTATATTTTGAAGAAGAAAAAAACCCACAAAATGTTTCAGCCATGGACAGAGACCCGACCATAAATTTAATCCAACAGCACAAACACACAGGTTCGCATGTTTGCGTGGGAAATGCAATGCACCCATCTGGCTAAAGTTTTAGAAAATCCCTGCAGGAAAAGAGAGATGAGAGATCGATGCTAGGTCCAGGGCAAAAACAGGATAACAAGATCGACAGTGAAATACAAAAATTCCCACCCAAAAAACAAACATAAAACATGAGTAAGCTATCCCTATCCATAACAAATGGGTAGAGTTTTATTGGATAAAAACTAAACCATATATTTTTCTCTGATGTGTTATGTCTGACATGGAAACGGTGTGTTTTTATTGATGAAACCCGACTTAAGAGCTCCTGAGCTCACAGGGTACTTCAAAGTAAACTGAACTAAACTGTACTGAACTAATCGAATGTGATTTGGACTCCAAGCAGACAGGGATAATTTTTCCCATTTAGCATGGGATTCGGGCTCTGACTACTATGAATATAACGATTCAAGTGCCGCCCCAGCGGTACGATTCAGAATCACGATTTGATAAAACAAAAACATTTCTTCGTGTGCCTTGTTTGTTCCATGTCATGTTTTTTTTTTCTGTCAGGTTTGTACAATATTATTTTCTCCATTATCCTACAGTGCTTTAGAATGCCATTTATGTAAAGTTTGCATACATCGTAAATAATGTATTCTCACGTGCATGACTCCATGTACATAATTGCTCGTATAAGAATCAACGTGACTTGATTCATCATTTCCAGCACACTCACGAGTATTGCTTCCAAGTGAAATACAAAAAACGTACCCAGATCAAGTATCATACGCAATCTATTTTGATTCAAGCGGTGAGCGAGTTTTATTGTTGATGTTGTTGAAGTGTATGTATGTGTAGTGTAGTAGCGCCGGCTGGTGACCAAAAGCGGCAACTGTGGTGTATAAACAGTACACACGTCAGTGAGCGACAGTATACACGGGTGTGTCGGCAGAATGGAAGAACTGGGCCAAGGGTCATGGAGGGGTCTATCGGGAAGCCCCTGGAACCTGCTAGTAGGTTCGAGAAGGGGGGCGTGGCCAGGCCGGAGCGAGGCCACGCTGCGAGGATAAAAGGAGCCGTGAGCCGTAGCTCGAGGCTGTTCGTAGAAATCGATCGACTCGTTGCCGTCGTCAATGCCGTCGCCGCTTGATGTCGCACTGCTGGATAGCCTGTCAGCTATCTTAGAGTTAGCACCATCGATGCGAGACGGCTAGTGTTGTGTTAAGGCTAGCGAGTGACTAGTGTGTGTAGTCGAGATCGTGTGTGTTAATAAAAGGTGCCTCCACAATTATCGTCTCCGAAGTCCTGCACTACATATGTATGTTGAACTTCTTCAGCACCGTACATAGCCAACCGTGCTCAATCGGAAGTGCGGAGGAGAAGAGGAGGAAAGCAGCACTGACCCAAAGACACGATGTCTCCCCCACACGCGTCTCAGGGCCGCCAGAACCCCGGGCCCGTGGCTCCCACCGCCTGAGCGCCTGAACTCGTCCTGGTTATCGGTGGTACTCGAACCACCTCCATCTTTGCCAGGGTCACTCTGCGACGCCTTACGCAGTCTCCTGTAGAATTCGGTGGTGAGGGTGGAGGGGGGGTGGTGGGGGGGGGGGGGAGAGGAGGTCTCTTACCACTTTTATACTGGCACACCTGTGCCAATCCAGTGTAGGGCTCTCACGGTTCGGGTGGTTTTCCACTGGCTATTTGCCGAGCCGGAAACCAAACTGCTACTACGCTCGGCTCAAAATTAGACATCTGAACCTAGCTCTGGCTCCAAGCAGGGCCAGGCCCGGGGCTGATGATGCAATCCAATGCGTGTGATGTTAGCCAGTAACTGCGAGGACACGGCGTACAGCATCATGCACGTGCGTCTTTGCCTCGTTCAATGTGGGACATCAGCGGCACAACTCGGGTTCTGCAGTGGAAAACAACTTGTCACCTCCCAAGCCGTACTGGGCTGGCTTGGCGTGGCCTAGGAGTGGCTCAGATGTAGAGTGGTAAAGAGGCATCTGCCGTCCTGCCTGGCGTGGCATTTAGGAAATCAGTTGTCTCACAGGCGACCGCAATGCCTGTGGCCCTGTTAACAGTGTTGAATGAGCTTCGCACCAAATACAGTGAACGATTTATCACGACAACAATACGCTTTTTAGCACAAAATAATCGGTACATTTTCATGAATCGTGGTCATAAGTAAATGTAAGAATTGAATATTTTTGTCTTGTTTAATGTTTCATTTGCATTATCATTTTTTTTTTTTACCTAGCTCGGAGAAACGTTTTCGCCCCATGTGTATAATTTTCATGACTTGTAAATGCTTCATTATTACACATACAATTCAATGCCTCATTTGATACATTTGTAGTGACATAAGAAGGGAGGGGCTGCTGTAGGCTGTGGGTTCCCAGGTGGGTCCAGACGCGTAAGCCTCTGGGCGCCAGGCACTGGGTTCCCAGGGGGTCCAGACGCTTTTAAGCCTTTGGGCGCCAGGCGTTGGGTTCCCAGGCGCTTAAGCCTTTTTGGCGCCGCCAACGGGGGGGGGGGGCTGTGTGTGCTCTGTGGGATATCTGGTGGCGCACACGGCCCCACCCCTCGTCGGACCAGGCATAAAAGGAGAGCTCCCTGGGCCCAGTTGTAACTCAAGACCCAAGACCCACGACCAGCCATCTGAAGACCCTGGGATGCTGTGAGAGCCAGCGCTGGGACTCTGGAACTCCCGACGCTACGACCTTGTGAGGGCGAGTCCAGAGCGTAGCCAGAGTAGAGGATCTAGGCTGTGTACCTAGGCTGTAACAGAGTATCAGGACTGTTGGAGTGTTGTATTGTAATAAAGAAGTACATCTACAAGTGTCTCCGGAACCCGTTACACATTTATTGAAAGCATCGCCACGTACCTACTATAGACATTGCTACGTACCTACTATAAACACTGCTGAAGCTTCACACTGTCGAGTGTACAATTTACCAGAACAAAAGCAGGACTCTTTATACCGGAGGAAAAATGTCCAGTCAACGTGAGAGTTCTCTACCCGGATGCAGCAAAACCGAACCAGAGTTCAAGCAGCACTGCACAAAATCCAGCTTCATCTAACACTGCACAGATTTTTCAAAAGGGCAATAACAAATGTGTCCATTGCACTGGCGTGCATGTCGACTGTGGATATTTTGTATAAATGTGAATATCTGAGTGGGACATTATTGCACGTGTACAACACTTTGGTCAACCCACTGCTGGATGAGGGCTTCCCCACGCTGCTTAGGTCGTGGGGGTCAATTGACCGCACTTGCCGCTGGTCAGTGTGGGTCAGCGAAGACGTGGGAGCATAGAAGTATATTACAACAATGGATTTTGCTGCACTGCCCTCTGCTGACGACCACATAGCATGGCCCCACATCTGCCTATGACAAACTGGCATGCGTGGCGGTTGCCCATACAAATCACTATTATTATCCATGCACAACCATGGATCTTTGCAGGTTGTTGTTGCCCTGGAGAATGGGAGATCGATGATCGATATTCGGTCGCTGTGATTTCTCACTTAACAGATTGGGCCGTGTGAAGGCTGCCATCTTCCAGGTGATTTGGTCACAAGCATAAGGCTCAGCTGTTCCGCAGGCAGCATATGCAGTGGATGTATGGTGGGGGGAGCTATGCCAGCATTCCACTGCCCTGGACGGCCCTCACCGTCGTCGCTTGGCCCCAAGGCTGCTCTGTGTCTTGTAGAAGTGAGTGGAGACGATCTGGCAGTGCACGGTGCCCAGCAGCAGCATGAGCCACACGGGGCACAGCACCTCCGTCCACGGCACGTCATGCTCGCTGGGTCCGCTCACGTACAGCACGACGGCCAGAGCTGCGCACGTGCGCACGCCATGTACACAGGCGGTACAATCAACACTGGCCACTGTGGCGGAAACGTCACCCACACTACCAATGGACTGTGTGCCTGCCGCCGAACATACACATGAAGAGGTGGCTGTGCGTATGTGCGTATGTATGTATGTGGGGAGTGGTAGTGTAGCGGTTAGCGCGCTGCGCTATGAACCTGGCGACCCGGGTTCGATTCCCGCTCACGGCTAACACCAGTGACGATTATCTGAACCGGTCCTGGGCCTCCCCTAGGTCGACTCAGCCTTAAATGAGTACCTGGTGTGGTGTGTAAACATCGCCACTAGGGAGACAAAGGCGGTCGGGCGTGGTGCTGGCCACCCACCCCCTCGTGTACCGTTCCGGGCTTCATAGGTGCTCGCTAACAGCACTTGCCCCTACAGTCTGTTCAGGCTATACGGGGGATCTTTATCTTTATGTATGTATGTAGAACTTTTTTCGCACTGTACGTAGCCAACCGTGCTTATCGGAGGAGCAGCAGGGGAAGGACTATAATTTAAAAACAAACATTTGTTATAAACAAATTCGTTTTCAATCTATATTTAAAAGTGCACAGCTCCAGTGGCTTCCTAATACCGGAAAGGAAAAGCGTTCCAGACGGCTGCAAGAAGCGCATCTGAAAACGTGGTGGTCATCTTTGTTCGACGGCCAGTGAAAAGCCGCTGCTGCGTGCATGACCGGAGTTCGCGTGATGATTTATGCTCCTTGACGAAATCGGGATGGTATTGCGGTTCATGTGTGGCAAGCACTTTGTGTGTAATGGGTGGCTAAGGGGGCAGAGGGCTGAGCTGAGCTGCCACCGATGAGATCCTGGGTTCAAATGTGGGCAGTATGGCTGTGATTCAACTGAGCTTTCTAGTGTAGTGGAGTGTAGCCAGTTCATGGTCTCAGCCTAGTCACAAATGACCGCAAAACAATTAGCATCAGATCAAACTTGGATCTGCACTGAATTTGGCTGAATTTCAGCTGAGAATTATCCATTTTATTGCTGTGCGGCAAAAAAATTCCTCTCATTGGTAGAACAAGTAAGAAAGAGTTGCCCCTAATGTGTGCAACATAGGTCACTGAAAGCCCAAGTTGTGAAATCTGCTTCTATGGAGTATTATCTAACACCCCGTGATGCACTGCTGTGTGAGAGTCTTGAATGTATTGTTGGTCTCATGACACTGATAGTGCAATCGGGTTAACATTTGTGCAGAAGATTTTTTTAATTAATCCATACACAAACTCTGCAAGAGCCAGTATTTAACCCTCTCCCGTTCCTGATTATATACGTATACGTCATCGGAATGGTACCGGAATATAAAATAACTTTATCGGTACCGAGGCTCCCACAAGGCCATGTGGGAGGGCGTGTGGCAGTTTGGCGCCAGCGATCATAGAGTGCGGTCGTGTCATTGCAGTTCTCTGCGGTGAGTACAATGTCTTTAAAAACAATGGCGCTACACCTCTCTAAATAAAATGTATATTGAACCCCCCTGCAACTTCCAGTCATCTTGGAATAGGAAAGGGTTAAACATGCTTTTCTCAGAAGCCACACAAGGTGTAGGCACGTACGCAGCGAGCACACGCAAACAGCACCACAACCAACAGCTTCGGTCACTAATCAAGACGGAAACAATCTCTGCCAACGTTAACGACGAATCAAGCTGAGCAGCAGCATTGAGCTCTTCCCTGCGACATCCCCACCTCCCCTCCCAGGCATCCCCGCCTGTCGTACCCTGCAGCACATAGAGCCCCAGCAGCCACAGGTAGATGCCCGCGGAGGTGACCTGGATCCACCAGCGCGAGAAGAAAGGGAAGAGCAGCACGCGCACGATGCCCTTGCGAGTGATGGCCGTCCAAGCGCTCTCCGGCTTGGCTTTGGCAAACGTGGAGCCTGCACGCACGTGGGGCTAAATCAGAACCCGGGCGGTGCAGCAACTCGACTGGCACACTCACTTCCTGCAGCGAAGAGAATTACAAAGTACTGTGCTCTTCACAATGCCATACGAAAGAAGAAGAAGAAGATTGGTTCAATTCCGACCCTGACGGCTGGAAATTTGTATTTTGCCTGTTTTCCCTGTGGTCGCGTGGATTTTTCTCCGGGTCCTCCGCTTTTCCCCTCCGCATTAAGAAACATGCGTTTAGAGTATTTGGCGGCTAGAAATTTCCACGTGATAAGCCACACGATTTAGCTATCATCTGTGGCCAGGTCGCTTCTGAAAAAGAGCTATAGAACTCAGTGGGCCTTGCCTGGGAAAATAAGAAAAATTGTTTAGTTTTAGTTTAGTATCCCACCACGCTGGTCACTGCCGGTTAGTGGAGGGGTAACTAAGGCATAGTTCAGATATCACTTGTCAACATCTTAGCGGTGGTCAGGATTCAAACTCAGGGCAATGGAATTACAGCGCAATGTGTTCATCACTAGTGCTACTGCTCCCACAGTTAATCATGCATTGTTCACGTGATCATTATTACAACTACTATTGCCGGTTTGGTGACCTGTCAAAAGTCGATGGATAGACTCAGTATTTTTAATATCAAGGTTTATTTAAAAGTGTCTACCACATGGAAGTTCATTGATAATTCGTGCAAGTGAATTATTTCTCACCAAAACCGGTTTGGCAGTGTTTATTATTCCGAAGTCGAACAAAATGTAAAGCATTATAGAATGCATTATGCAATTCATTATATAGTCGTATATATGTTTTTAAGAAACATGTCTTGCAACAGCTAGGAAAGTGTTTTGACAAATAGCATGAAAACATTCCTCCATTGCCAAGAATTTATACTCGAGCAAGATACTGGGTTGTTCATTGTTTTCCTGCACAACACATAGTCACCAACTGAGAAAAACAAAACCTTATCTGGGCATCACGCTACAATTATTTTACCAGCAGTGCAAACTTATATAATGCTCTACGATAGTTGCTTTTTTTGTTTAAAGCAAATATAGAACGATAAACACGACTGCCTTTAACTATGACACTCCTCCAATTAAATATTAATTTTGGGATCTGCCATTTGTTCTTCAATATGACATAGATATATGTGTGGCATCTAGGTTAAAACTACGAACATTTAAAATTAACTCCACAATGAGAGTGAAACAAAAAAAACATTCCTGAAGCAGGAAAGCCGAGAAAAGCCTCAAGGCAATTTTTTCTTTTCCAGTGGGTCCGGCACTGGGAAGTTTTGCCCATTTCTTTAAACAGTTTTTGCATATGTGGTAGGAAACAGGAGCACCCAGAGAAAAGGGACGGATATAAAGGGCGGATACTCAAAGGTCTCTACAGACTGGGTCACTAACAGAAGCCTGAATGTGCTCATGAGACCAATGAGGTCAAAACCAGTCCACAGTTTGTTTAAACAAATTATGTTGGGTGATGTTGGCCTGGTAACAGTCCCGTGGACTAAAATCCAATGTATTTGCATGCTGACACACAACAAGGAGGTTTCCTTATATAGGCATTACCCATAATGCTCCGCAACAATGCATATGGAGGCTGGCCCTTGCTGTACTTGCGCAAACGCGCGTGGCTAAATACCAGAGTGAACTTACGTCAAGGAAACTAATGCTGTGTTTAACTATTATTCTTGGGGTTTTTCGGTAAAGTCACGTAGGAAAAAAAATTAAAATTAAATTAATAAAAGTTAAATAAAAATAAAATAAAAATCACGATGTTTCGGAGGCAACACAAGCTTCTGTCTTCAGGAGGAACTGTCACAGCACGCTTGCTCTATCAAGTAAATGAGAAATTCCAAGAGATCCGACACCCGTATATATACTGGTTGAGGGGGGAGGAGCCAGGGCAGGCGCCTGGATAGGAGTTGTTTTTTTTGTTTAACTGTCCAACAGGGAAGGCCCCCACAGCTCTCGCATTCACCCCCTGAACCCATCGGCCGCAATGACGCGTGGAGCCCGCGGACAAACGGTACCTCTGACCAGATCGACGTCGATCAGGTCCGGCTTGACGTGCCCACTCTTCTTAGGCTTGTTTCGGAGGCCCTGCACATCGAGATGGAAACGCAATCACAGCTTGGGGCGTCCACGCAGCGTCAGACGCACGCTTCATGCAGTGCGTAGTGGTGTACAGCTTGCGAAAAAAAAACAGCGACCCCAAAATTACGTGCAGCTACGCCACCACCTGCCATTGCAATGTACAATGAGGGCTCAAATAAAACGTTGACATTAATGATAAGCATATATCTAAGAGGAAATTTTTAATATGAAAAAATAAGAATAGGTTTAACCCTTTACGGCAATAAAACAGGTGTTAAAATGTTCAAACACCAACTAGAAACCTTTAGCAGGGAATCATGTTTGCACATCTTAACACCTGTTCTATTGCCAGAAAGGGTAAAACCTATTCTTATTTTTTCATACATTGATAATGGCAACAAAAGTTCCCAGGAAGTTTTTAGTTTACTTTAAAATACAGTGGATGTTCAACTTGACATTTGTAAATACGTTTTGCCTAATTGTACTATGTACTTGATAGTTATGGGCCGAGCTTGTATTGAGGTCAAAATTTTTTATTAAGGCTTCAAAAACATTTAATTCTAGTTATATTGAGTAAATAACAAAATAACATTTGAGCCTCAGTAGCATCGAGAAATACTGCTGGCATTTAGACGATGAAGATAAGTCAAACATTTTTTTCCCCACTACAATTCAGCTTCAAAGAGTGGTGCCAAATTAAACTAAGCACGTGCCGCCTTGCACGCATCACAAGAGTCACCCAATGAACACAATGCCGTTGCGTCGTACAATTAGTACGCGGTTACGCATGCAAGAAGAAGCCACCAGCGAATGACGTTTACGAGGGCGGCCGGAGACGGGTCTACGATACACCACTTGAAGGCTCACAGTGCCCTCCGTACCCAGCAGCAATGTTCACAATGCCACCCAGTCGTTGCCCCCGCCCCCCCCAATGAAGTAATAGGGGATGCCCCCTCCACCCACCCCCCTCTGCGATTGGGTCTTAAGGTTAACGAGCCCAGGCTCTGCCTCTGGGAGAGCGGCCAACCTCAGCGTGGGGTGCGAGCGAGTTTGGCGTGGAGGTGGGTGGGAGATCTTTCCAGGGCAGCCCTCTCGTCAGATGCGGCCAAAAATGCCTTCATGTGGAGGGGACGGAGAAGGGCACTCGATCACCTTCATTAACCGCACACCGGCCACGCATGGTTGCGTGTTTGGAAAAGGCCGCTTGGCTCGTTTGGCTAATTAAGGCAGGATTTGGTTCCTACGCATAATATTATACCTCCTAAGTATAGTGTGTCTCCAGGTATGTCTACACAGACCACTGCATATGCGTAATGCGGTACGTGCAACGTGTACTGTGTAAGCAACAAATGTAATTTTGACACCGCTATGAAACCTATACATGCAGCATTGCGGATCAACATTTGCTATAGCCAATCTGGGTTGTCTTTCCGTAACAGTGCTGTGTTCAGTTCTGGAGTAATGGTGGATGTTAAATAACACTCATGTTCACATATTAAGCACACTGAATGCTGCAATGAATACTGATCTTACTCCAAAAGAAAACACATATTTGGCTCTTCACTGACTCGTGTTTTACCAATCAGCTGACAAGGCGCATTGCCCATGCATGTTCTCGTTGATGAAAAAGGATGGGTGAGAGAGGTAAATGAAAACCATGCCATTTCTTTCAGTCACAAATTAAAAACCAAATTACAACATGAAAGGGTTATCACATGTGTCAGATTAGTTTGCTGGTTTAAAACAAATATAGCAGCCTGAGGTTGTGCTTAGAAACAATTGGCTAATTGGCACACACAGTCACACGCTACAATACTCACCAATCTAACAAACTGTATGAAACAAAAAGGAATAAGAATAATGTGAACTAAGCAAGTAAAGGCACAGATACGCAAGAAATAAAAATGTAAATGTTACTCAGCACAGGCAACAAGTGGGATAAAAAGAAACACACAGGAGGAATTGTACACAAAGCACGAGCATTTTCTTGTTCAATCAATGCAGCACTCACTATTACAAAACTTCAACTGAAAAATGCAGTCTATTACAAAGAGTTATTTGGAGACGGAGTATAAATGGGCAATTTACACTGCGCAGGCTGCTCAAACGCAGACTGCATTTAAATGTTGCAATGCTTACACTTGGACGACAGCAGTACTACAAGACGCTGAAATGCGGTCGTACCATGATGGGCCAGAGCAGAATTCAGCACCACTGGCGGAGGATAATGTTTAGTGATAGCAGTTTCTATACATGGTAAAGAATAGTCGATTATGTGATTACATGCTTTTTAAAAAGGAAGTCATTGCATTATTAGTTTTTTTATTGTCCATTTAAATATGTTCGTACAATTCAAGCAATATCATCTCTGATGATGCCAATAACTAAAATATTAGATCCGAGTCCATCGACTACAGTGGACATGACATTTTTTTTTTACTTTGCTCAAGAGCTCTCAACACCTGGACCAGTATCGGTCTTGCATGTGCTCGGCAATAATGTTAAAGGTCATCGTTGTTGAGCTTGCTTGCGAGAGCAAGCTTCGCCAGGGAGAGGTTCGGGGCGGGCGGGGGGGCATTCTGTGCAACGTAAACACAGCACTATCATTTCAAAACTGGCCCAGCGAGATCGCCCCAAACTGCATCAAGCAGTTGGCTTCAGTGTCGGCAACTTTTCTTCCACGATCTGCACTGTCACCGTGCGCGTGGCATGGCGGGGGCATGCGCGATGAGAAACGAGGCATTTTCCAAGACTATTATGCGACCACTGCCTCTTTGACCACATGTGGCCCTTCCGTCCCGCCGGGAGGCATAAACCGCCATGAGCAATACGGGCTGCACAGCTCTAGAAATATGGGTTATGGCACCCGTGCTGTGCACAAGTGTCAGGCAACACTGGATGATTGTGCTTGAAAGTCGTGTAGTCGCTTGTCTGGTGTGTTAGTGTACATAAAAGGTTACATTAAAAATGTACGTTCTGATAGGCACACAAACCAATGCCCTCGTTTTGTTTGGATGACAGCTCGCCAGGACGTCAAAAGGACATTCTGTGCAATCAACAAACGGGTGTACAATGCATCCATTGATTGCGTACCTTGATTTCTCGTTGCTCTACAGATTTTTCCCATATTTGCTGGTCGTAAGCACCAATCTAGACAACACAACGCGCGACTGTTACGTTCATTCCGTTCGTGTGGACAGAAAATTATACTCGAGGGCAAAAAATTAAATTTAACACATGCACAGAGCCTTATTGTTATACGAGGAAAATGAACAAAGCACGTGGAAGTTTCCATGTCAATAACGGAGTTACGTTTAAAGCTTGATCTTAATTATTTATGAGTTTTTGTATTAACCAACCAGGTGGCTCAACTGTACAGCGAGCAGCTCGCAATCGGAGGGTCGATAGTTCACATCCCTTACTGGGGATTAACTCAGCTCATCATCCATCTGGAGTCAACAATATTAATACCATTTTTTTTTTTGGAAACTCAACAAAACTTTGTCCGATGGAAAGACTCGCCCTCACCACAGGAATGTCGAATTTCCACCACTGTCTGAGGACTGTACAAATGCAGACGATCACCGCCTTAAAGCTCATTCGAGCAGAAAACCACCGACTAATTGTGACTATTGACCCGGGATGAGTTATTTACATAACACCATGCAGTCATTGTTGTCTTAAAAAATGAGACTTCCTAGAGCTTACATTACCATTTGCTTTTCCCTTTCAAATTACATTTTATTATTTTCGAATCACATTTTCTGAGGGTGTATAAAATGTCTACTGTACATTTATCCCGGTCTAATGGCGAGGTGAGACCAACAGCAAATCACTTGGGATATCTGTGCAAGTGTGGGATCAGAATAAAAAATCTGTATATATCCTGGAGAAATCCGATGAGCTATGAAGCTTTTATTCACAGATGAATAGAGGGCGGTTCAGTCGAAACAACATGTCAATGTTCTTCTTGGTTCTTTCGGTAAAGTCACGTAGAATGGAAATAATAAAATAATAAAAATAAAACATAATAAAGTCATTCTCACGACGTCTGTCTTCCTGACAGACCTGCTCTCACCTGAGGACGGCTGCTTGCGTTGTGGCCGAAACGTCATGAGAATTACTTTATTATGTTTAATTTTATTATTTTATTATTTCCATTCTACGTGACTTTACCGAAAGAACCAAGAAGATGAATCCCTGCAGTCACGAAAGCTTTAAATCGAAACATGTCAATGCTTTTACTGAAGAAGTTCAGGACAAACAAGCAATTTACGGATAACTCCGGCAAGAAGATAAATCCGAACGTTAAAGTTTGAAAGACAATCCCCACTGTACTTCTCAAGTGACATTCCACAATGGAGGGCCAAGATGATGGTTTTACGCTCTTCTTCCCAGCAATCTCACTCCGGCGAGTATCGGTACCACGGGCAAGGTCAGGATAAAGGCACCTTCACAAGGGAAATCACGAAGGGGCCAGGAGACCGTTAATTATTCATGGATGTGTCACTGTATTGAATGTCCAAGCGTCTATGAACTGCCTTCCAATGCCTCTTACGAGTCAGCCAAGGATGTGACAATGGGACGCCCTGTTCACTCCACTGAAGGGCTTGGCACACCGCAACTACGTTCCATGGAAATTTGTGGAAGTGTTAAAAAATATTCAACATTCTGCCAAAGGCAATTATCATGTGTTGTGCGTGGCTGTGAATTTCTGTAATTTAGCCTTCTCTGTAAAACTGCTATGGTTCGAACAATAAACACATCACTCTTTAATGGTCTTCATTGCATTAAAAGAAACATTCATTTCATTAAAAGCATGCTGCACATTTCATTTGCAAAAAGGTTTTCTGTACCTACTGGGTATGCTAGTGTAACATTAAACAATGCATTAACATCCACAGTATAAATAAGTGTTATTTGCTGCAAAAAGCCATTCCAATTAAATTATACAGCAATTACTGCTTTGAATGTGGCTGGTGTTTTCAGTCAGGTCTGGAGTAAAAAGTCGTGGGTTAAATACAAATTAAAATAAAGACAGGCTGCACTTTCGCATTTCAAGTGCCCTGAGAATATATCCTGTTACCTCTGACGACAACATTCCATTTAGTTTAACACGTAGTAGGCTTTCGCGACCAATATCATCCATAACAGGTTTTTTTCGGGTCAGATCGCGTAAATACATAAATGTGCCGTTAAACCCGCCACCACCCGATATAGCCAATTAGTAAGGTTTGTCACGTAAACAGAACACGTCATTTTCTTGCCTTAGCATTTCCGAGTATCTGCTCGGCATTGCCCATTCATCTCAAGGTTAGACAGCTCATTTGAATGCCTCTGCAAAAATGCGACCAGGTAAGACGTAGGGGGGCTGGACAAAAATTGCGCTGGCTTTTTACCGCGCACATAGCTAAATCGCGATGCACCGTCACGGACACGTGAAACGCATCACAGGACCTCTGTGAAAGGAGGGTGTCACGTAGGGACATTGGCAGCCTCGACCGTGCTGCACTAGTAAATGATATGCGGAGTAGGTGTTTCTCTTCGAAGGGTTCAATAATTGATGGTCTCGTTAAGGGTATTTGCATTTCCACTTCCGATGCATAATAACATCTCTACAAAATTACATGTAATACAGGTGCTCTGTGCCCGGTTGGCAGAACTTCTTTCGCGTCGTACGTAGCCAACCGCGCTAAACGGAGGCGCAAGCTAGCTGTGTGTTTCACAGTGCCACGTGGCTCACGGCAGCAGAACTGATCGGTCGAGTTTCTAATGAAAATAAACATTAATCTGCGAGGCAAGCATGTTCTTACAAAGAATTTGGCTGGCGAGGCCCAAGCCTGTTTGAGCATGTCGTGCGTAGAACTAACATCCAATCACGCAAATTCTTGTACTGACTTACAAATACATTTCACAAGAAATACACTGTGTGAAATTATACTGAAACAATATTCAACATATGCTGCTGGCAATAATCTAATACAAATACATTCGTGAATTTAGACTAAGAGTGCCATCGTTTTTTATGTGAGGTCTATTGTAACTCCAGATGCCCAAAACTATGACAGGAAATGTTTTAGAAATCATTAGGCAGGAAAAGGAAATTTTCTGAGTTACACTGCAACACATCTGGGGTGCTAAGGCGGCGAGATGTTAACTACCTCGCCTGGTATACAGGAGGTCGTGGGTTCAATCCCTGACCCTGACGCTTGCTGTATATTTGGAGTTTGCGTCTCTCTCCATGGCGAGATATTAACTACCTCGCCTGGTATACAGGAAGTCGTGGGTTCGGTCCCTGACCCTGACGATTGCTGTATATTTGGAGTTTGCGTCTCTCTCCATGGCGAGATATTAACTACCTTGCCTGGTATACAGGAGATCGTGGGTTCGATCCCAACCCTGACACCTGAACATGTGGAGTTTGCATGTTCTCCTCATGGTCGAGTGGATTTTTCTCTCGGTCCTCCGTTTTTTTTAGAAACATGCATTTACAGTATTTGGCTAATATAAATTTCCACGTGATAAGCCACTTTGTTGAGCCATCATTTGTGGCAGCCAAGTCGCACTGAAAAAGAGCTACATAGCTCAGTGGGCCTTACCTAGTAAAATAAAATAAAAAGTTGATAGTTTTCGACATTTCAGGAGGCCATAAAGTTTCTACCCAACCACAAACTCAGTGTTGAGAAATCATCACACAAACTGAGAAACGGCACTAAAATGGACCGCTGGCAATTTATAGAAAGTGCCGTAGCACAAAAAATGACCACTCCCTCACGCAGAGATATACTTAGCATCGCTGGAGGAACTACTGAGCGTACATTCTTTATTTACAAGACAAAGCATTTCTATATAAAGGCTCAACAAAAACACCACCCACCAACAACAGTACCTCAAGAACACCTTCAGTGTCAACATCAGACAGTGGCAAATATATAACAAGAGGATAACTTCCACGCAACGCACTGCGCATAGAACAATAATGAAAAAGTCATATCCATAGCCGACGTGCAGCACTTTCAAAAACGTGTCCCTTAGATTACCGTGCTGGCTTCTCAGATTTCTGCATGCCGAGACCCAATCTTTTCAACTGGGAAACTCGTCCACGTGTGTATGTACGTATGTACGTTGAACTACTTTAACACCGGACGTAGCCAACTGTGCAAGCGTAAAAGTATGGGGGGGGCTTGTATCAAGCTGTTGACTGTTGTAGCGCTGAGCAAGTGGGGGTGGTGGTATCACACCACAACCATCCTAACCTTGAGATCTTAACGATGTGTGCGCGAGTAATTCTGACAACTCATGGGACTCAAACGTTACTCTATAGCGGTGATTAAACTCACATCTTCCCTCTTAAATTATGCATTATTAATACAATCGGTGGACTTTATATGATGAATCCAACCTTTGAATCATTGAACACATGGACGAGAGAACATGCGCAGGTTAGTGACATCTGTTAAGAAAAGTACGCTTGGTCAGGACACGCCGATTAAAAGGGATGATGACCGATGGTTCAATAATAATGATGGGGAGGTGACGGCCACTGAATGGAACGTGTCAGCAGAGAAGATGTCCACAAAAAAAAAGAGATGGAGCGATTAAATCAGCCCACGTGCAGAAGCGAGGTAGATTATTACATCGGAGGACCGTGAGAGATGGTGGCAGCTAGGGGAGGTCTTCTTCCAGCAATGGACCGATCGTGACTGACGACATTCTTTTCGATTTAAAGCTTTCGTGACTGCAGGGATTCATCTTCTTGGTTCTTTCGGTAAAGTCACGTAGAAGGGAAATAATAAAATAATAATAAAAATTTCTATTATTTAATTCTATTTTATTATGTTTTATTTTTTTATTATTTCCGTTCTACGTGACTTTACCGAAAGAACCAAGAAGATGACGACATTCTGTTTGACAATTGCAGGATCACCGCGCCACAAATCAAATGCAATTGTACAACCGTTGGCATTCGCCGCTCACCAACGTGCGTCCGCCTGCCCGTGGGTAGCAAGTTAACGGAGAGGGGCGCGGGTGACGCTCGGAGGATGCGAGTTCGCTCACCTTTTTCTGATACCAAGCAATGGCGTCTGCAGCTCTTGTTGCCATCTGAAGAAGCCCCCAGTCAGAACTGCCGCATTTTACACTGCGGGCACAGCGAGGGCTCGCAAAGTCAACATCCAAAACGCCGTCGCAGACCCATCCACGCACTCGCGCGCACACATACACACACTTATTAAAGAGAATATAACATGCAGAAAAATACCATTCACATATAGTTGTGCATTAAATATATACAGTATGTACATTTACCATTTTATAGCGCCGCCTACTATTCATACAAGATAAATTACGGCAAACTTAGCAATTGCGTAACGAATATAGCGCATAGGCATCGTGGACTGTATTTGATAACATATCGCATTAGTGTGCAGCGTGGCTCAATGCAATTACAGTAGTATTTATGAGTTATGTACGTCGCATTACTGCATTACTTCAATGCCTGAAGCATACGCACATTAAGTATGACTCTGGCAGCAGCAGCAGCAGAGATGACACATGCACACACAAGAAGACTTACGCAGAAGACCAGGCGCTGTGCGTTACGCATGGAGTGGCATTCGAGTCAGCGCGTGTCGCTGCACGGCTATATATATCAAGGCGACATGGCAACGCAGTGCGCTGTCATTGCCAAACCATTGGTTGACGCCTCCATTCATTAAGCACCGCGCCGTGGCATCAGTACCACCGTGTAGCGCATGACAGCGTAATCCTTAACACAATAAATTTTTAAGAAGTAGCTTATAGCCATCGTTGTAAAAATCAGACGATTGATTCAAATTCCATGCACACGTTACATACGTGTGCGTGTTCAGTAGAAACATTCGACGCACAAACTTCTTACCTCTGTTGTATCGCCTTCCAAATGTTCCAAGCTGTAATGAAAGCAGAGCGCAGCGAGCGGATCAGTGCGATGATACTCCGCGCGGGTGTTCGAGCCCTTGCTCAGCCCACAGTGCCGTCAGCGGGTGGTCGGGCACGCGAGACAATGCTGGAGCCAACCGCGACCCAGCTCACGCCATGATCCCAGTTGGCAACGCTAATAAGAACGGTCGTCCTGTGGAAAATGTCAGCCGTAAGAAACCGCGAGAAAACACGCGATGCAATCACATCGCCGCAGAAAACCTGAACCCCAAAACACACCAAATACGTGCATGCATCCTACGTGCGTGTGTGTTTGTGTGTACGTGTGTGTGCTGCCAAAACACCATGGCTCATTTTCCAAAGCGGCTACAGTGCTTTGTGAATGACAAACGCAAACTACTACGCAGTAAAATGCATGTGCATATCCAAGCCGGCTTTTTTCCCCAATGTATTTTTTTCCCCCCCACAAGTTAAAATCAAGCCCACAAGCTGCTGATGGCTCGCAAGAGCAAAACAACACTCGGTGAAGAGTTTATTTATTTTTCCTGTCGCTCAATCCAACAATGGCGAAAGGCATCCCTTTCCAATATCGATTTTGGGGATTTCCCCCCCATACTTTTGCACACTGGCCAGTGCTAGTTGGTAAATGGGTGGAGGGCGGGGGAATAGGAGGAGGTCATTCCTGACGCTATCTGTGGCTGGAAATTGAACACGGCTGGCTGTGTTTATTGTGAAACACGCTCACACAATTTAAATGCCGATCCCACACCCATCCTATTGCATCGTGTCCACAGAAAATATAAACTCATCACGGGGAGGAGATGTGGGGGGGAGGGGGTGTCTGAATTAGTTAGGGAAGAGGATCCACCGAAACAAAATTAAAACACCGCCTGCCACGGCCGTACACCCCTACTCCCCCCATTCGTTGCTCCACTCCGCTCCCTCGATTCCTTCCAGAATGTGGGCCACGGTGACCGTGTATTTTTGAGACGCTGCGTCCTGCGTTGCTGGTACGTGGTGACAACACCGCGGTGCTATTTTGGGGAAGGTGAACAGCAACCAGCGTCGTTTATAAGCGCGAGGCTTTGCGCCTCCGATAACAAAAACACACGCTGAGTGGATTGGGGGGTGGGGACTCAGGGTCAAACATTGTGGCACAGGGAAGTGGTTCATGTCCAAGTTTGGATAGAGTTTTCCAACACGGTACTGTACTTCAATATTCAAATATGCTCAAAATGTCCCCCCAATATATTGCTATAAAATAGATTTCTGTTGATATGATTGTGGTTATGGTTGTACTTTATTAATCCCTAGTCTCTGCCATTATATACAATGAAACAAGAAAGGGCACAAAAGACCAAACAGTGCAATGTAATCCAATACACTATTAGACATTATTGTAAAAAATTAATAAAAAGTCCATCCCATGTGTTAGTGAATTTTTTTATATTTTAGGCAGGAAATTCGTTTTCAAATTTAGATTTTTTTTTCTGGGGGGGGACCCCAGACCCCCTGGAAGATTTGGTCCCCCCCAATGTTGACTCCATGGCTACGTCCTTGCTGTACTTTAACAGCCATGGACGTATCTACTGCTGGATGAAGGCACCTCCAAAGCCATCGTCATTTCTCATGGTCCTCTGTGATGCAATTATTGTCAATTTAATACGGAGGCTTTCGCGGCCGATATTATCCATAATAAAGGGTTTTTTTGTGGGGTTAGATCGCGTAAATATGTGTCGCTAAACCACCACCACCCAATTAGTAAGGTTTGTCATCTAAACAGAACATGCCAATTCACTCCTAGCTCAGCACACAGGCGTGATTGAGAGTAAACGCACAACATTTACAATTCAAGTATCGTGACGTTTCGCTGGTTGATGACAAACAGCTTCATCAGCAACTACTGGACTTACAGTGAGGCAAAAACTAATCAATTAAATGCGGAAGCGTGGAGGCGGGGATGAGTTTAAACAATGTAATTATTATTAATTTAATTTATTATGCATGCTGTAAAGGTTTCCTGTCCTCTTTGGTTCTTTCGGTAAAGTCACGTAGAAAGAAAAGAAAATAAATGATAGAATACACGACGTTTCGATTGCAACACAAACATCCAGCTGTGAAAGAATGCAAGCTCGGAGGGAGACACACATAGAGAGAGAGAAAACACAGACACGGAGAGAAACACACACACAGAGAGACACACACACACAGAGACACAGAGAGAGAGAGACACACAGAGAGAGAGACACAGAGAGAGAGACACACACACAGACACACGAATATAGAGAGGGGGCAGATAAAGTCAACGGTGGCAGGGGGAGAGAAATTGGAAGTTTGAGAAACAAAGCTAGTAAACTTAGAAATGAAATGCAATGCAACACAGAGAGTCGGCTAACACAACAGTTAACACATTACCTGGTTGATTACGTTCTTCCAAAGATTGCTAAATTTGAAGTTAAGTCTGAGAAATTGGAAGTTTGAATAAATAGTAAACGGCACACACATACATACAATTTTGGGGGGTAGAAATGAAAACGTGTAAACCTAAATCTGCTCTTTGTAACTCATAAACTTGTGAGATATCCCTTACACTGCTGCCCTCGGATCTCTTCACGTGATGGTTTCATAATATGATAGTATTTATAAATACATCCTGATGTAGTAAGCGGAATTTTCTGTATAAGCAAACGCTGGGACAGAGTTAGGAGATGTAAAAAGGCAGGGAGGGCACTGCACGTAGACCCACCATCACCTTCTTCTTGCTGAACGCAAAAAAAAACAAGGGGATAGAACGATTTAGTGACTAAAATAGATTCTTACACTCATGATACGTGCATCAAACGTTCTGGGCGTGAGGATCTACGACATCAAATTCGTACACATGTCAATATTTACATCACTGCAGAGTCCACAACCTGTCACCAAATCGCCCGAAATGGGTTTGGGCTTCTCGTCACACACATCTCGGGAGAGCGAAGCGGCTTTAAGCGTGGACAGCGCTTCGTGAGTCCACTACCACAGATTGTTGTGGGCTGCCTTCGCTGCAAGGTTTGAGCATCAGTTTGCAGGGCAGGAAAAATCCATAATCTCGATTTAAAGCTTTCGTGACTGCAGGGATTCATCTTCTTTGTTCTTTCGGTAAAGTCACGTAGAATGGAAATAATAAAATAATAAAACATAATAAAATAATTCTCACGACGCTTCGGCCACAACGCAAGCAGCCGTCCTCTCAGGTGAAGAACAGGTCTGTCGAGAATCTGAACCTCTGTCTTCTTGACAGACCTGTTCTTCACCTGAGGACGGCTGCTTGCGTTGTGGCCGAAACGTCGTGAGAATTATTTTATGTTTTATTTTTATTATTTTATTATTTCCATTCTACGTGACTTTACCAAAAGAACCAAGAAGATGAATCCATAATCTCTTTGGTTCTTTCGGTAAAGTCACGTAGGTAGAAAAATAATAGATCACGACGTTTCGATCGCAACACAAGAAATCGTCATCAGGTGAGACAACCATGGCAAGAAAAAACTGCTGTGGTTGTTGTCCCACCTGATGACGATTGCCTACTTCTGCAGTTTTGTGGTTGTCCCACCTGATGACGATTGCTTGTGTTGCGATCGAAACGTCGTGATCTATTATTTTTCTACCCACGTGACTTTACCGAAAGAACCAAAGTGTATGGATTCCTGCAGTCACGAAAGCTTCAAATCAAGAAAAATACATTGTTGTACTGCACCTCCTGGAGACCGTGCTCCCGTGTCTATGCTTCCCACCTTCGCCCAACCCTGAAATGTCCAGCATGAGTGAAGTACGGTCAGATGACCTCCATGACTCACACGGCGTGGGAAAGACCTTATTCCGCAGAGGATTAACAGGAAGGCTGCTACACTTGTACAAATTTTTCACAGATTCACACCAATAACGATTCTGCATGCACCGCAAATTGAAAAAAATAACCGGATCGTGATTCAAACCCTTCACCCTGAATCGTGAAAATAGAATCGTGGAGGAAGTGAATAGATACATTGCTGCAAACAATGTTGACATTCGAATGGGAAGCATGCAGAATTACGCTCTAAATTCCATTTCATGAATAGAATCTAGTTTTATATTGCACAATTTATGCAATCGCATCACAACATGGTGCCCAATCCGCAAACACGATTGTTTTCGGCCAACGAATGAGTGTTTATGCATGCTGTGGGGGGGGGGGGGGGGGGGGCAACACTTTCCCACACAGATGGCACAGACGAGATTCGACCACATTTGCTTGTGCCACCTTCTGGCGAGCCAGCGTAAGGCGCCTGGAATGTGTCCACGAGAAGGGACTTGTCTCAGAGGTCGCAACCGCGTACCCGATACCCTACCCGATACCCTACTACCGGCTGGGTACGGGTACCCGTTTGCGACCCTGGTGCGGCCGGGTACAGGTAGGCCGTGAGTCACTGGTGAGTAACTGTTTGTCACTCATTTCCCAACGTCTTGTCTCTTCTCACAATTCAAGTTCCTAGAATCAACCCACCCGCGCCTGCAACATGGCTTCATCCCAGAGGTCGCAATCGGGTACCCGATACCCGTACCCTACCGTACCCGGCCGGGTATCGGGTAGGGTACGGGTACCCATTTGCGACCCTGGTGCGGCCGGGTACGGGTACGGGTGAGGAATCAAAACCCGTTTGCGACCTCTGACTCGTCTGCAACATTCGTTCGGGGCCACCAACCTTTCGCCTGGATGAAGAGAAGTGTGTCCCAGAAAGCCATCATCGTGCCCGTATAATTGCAAGATTTCACGAGTTGCAGTATGTCGACTAGTCCAGAGGGAGCTGTTACATGTGGTGTTACTGGTAGGAACCCACTGGTTCCACCAGCCCACAGGGGAGTATTGTGTCAGTCCGTCGTGCAGGGAGGGGCTGGGTGTGGAGGGTGGGGAGGGGCTGGGTGGGGAGGGTAGGGAGGGTAGGGAGGGGCTGGGTGGGGACGGTGGGGACGGTGGGGACGGTGGGGCTGGGTGGGGGTTGGAAGGGGTGGGGCTGGGTGGGGAGGGGCTGGTCACCCCTTATAAAACTCAACGTTTAACCTACTCACGCCGGCTTGTGCCCACCCTCACAGTCGGGCATATTTGCGGAATACACCACGCCGCCGTTGACCCTGGCCATTGACCGAGCAACCTAACGTTCCTACCAGCTCCCTCCGCAGGAATGTGTGTAACAGGTGACGATGTTGTCACTTTTAGCTTCACGCTTTCAGTGACCATTTCCTACCCTTGTCATTCATTCATACGATTAATCTCTGGTATACTGGAAACAACTGCAATGGACATTGCTAATGAGTAAGGACTGCTAGAAAACTGTAATTTATAGCTCAATTCCTAGATGTGCGTTATAATCAGGCTGATATGTACTCTAATATAGCCATAAAATGTAACTGCTGTTGCACATCTGCAATGGTTTATTAAAATTATATTTGAGATGACAGTCAATACATACTTCCGACCAAAATATTCTGTGACTAGACAAGAGAAGAAAAAAAATGTCCACTTCTTAAGTTAAAGCTAAGCAGCCTTGCAAGACTTCAAGGTATGTGCATCAAACATCTAAGACGTGTGATCAAAGTGGCTCTCACCTGGTTTTAAAAAAGGCTATCAGGTGATGCAGGTGGAAGTGCATTATAATTGGATGACCAAATGCATGAGACTGCCATCTATTAAGAGGCACTGGAATTGCAACTTCATGAATTCACGTGGAAATGACTGAAACACAGCACCGACCCAAAAAAAGCCACAATACTGCACAGGATGCTCACAATCTTGTTTGTCACTCGGTTAAATCAGCTTGCAATCAATTACCATGTGCTGTAACCTGGACTTATGAAGGCAATCTGAAAGCAGGGCTTCTCATTATATTCAAAGGATACAGATATATTTCAATCGCAAGTGGCTATACACCTGGTTAAACAAGGGACGCCGATACTGTGGACGAGTGGGTCATCACCTAATCAATAAACGGCCACTACACTCATCACCTGACCCCGGCCACTCTTGAAAATGCGACTACCCCGGTCTCTCTCTTGAGTTCTCGCCTGGCTAAGCACGCAATTAACTTCGCCTGGTTACATTCACACCCTTTTGATAAACCACGCAATAACCCATTGCTAAGGGGTGGTTGTAAAAAAATATAAGCATGCACAGGTGACATTCAAAGCCACGAGTTAATCGAGGATGCATCACCTCGTGAAAGGGGGGCACCGATCTCAGTGGGTAATCAATCTGTCACATGTAGCGCACCAATCTCAATGGTCAAAGGAAACGAAATTAATTGATGAACCCCGAGTTAAGGGACGCTAATCAACCGAACACCCGGCTAAATCAATAAGCACTTGTGCGATGCTGCATTGGTCAAGTGGTGCATGAGCACCTCACAACACATGTATATACATAATAAGGGATTACATTTGTTATTAAAGTTTCCTTTTACGGCAGCACTATTGACGAATGCTTGGTTAGCTTCTGCTGGTGGCTACGTCACGGCTACATCTGCCAGGCTCAGCAAGGCCCAGCCTGGCAAGGGGGCCCACTAACCATGCACACACAAGGGCTGCTTATAAATAAGCTTATATATAAGCTGCTACGTAAAGCAAGAGAGACGTTTCTGCAAAACCACATCATTTGTTATTTTTATCATTTTTTATATTTTTTATAATTTTTATTCACTTTATTTTCATTTTTTAAAAATGCTATCCACGTGACTTTACCGACAAAACCAACGAATACGAACCCCATCGTTGTACTCCACTTCTATGCTCTCGTATACTGTATAATATCGATGCCACCCCCCACCTGCCAAAACGCCTTCGCTCACCGACCCGGCACTGGATCGGCGTGCTTCAAATCTGCTCGACCTGCATAGCGTGGAGCGTAGCGTGGTGGGCGGGGGGCATCATCCAGCAGTGGACTGACCATGGCTTACACTGCTTAGCAGCAGCAGCGGCAGCGATGGATCTGTCACAGAGGCCGCAGTTGGCCAAGCCAAAGGGCCCTCTCCACACGCTCTCCACACGCTCTCCGCCTGCCCGCCCACCAACAATGCCAAACGCGACGTCAAACCCACAACAACATCGACACGCAACGACGCAGCAATGCGGGCAGGCAATTGCGCTATTAAACTCCGCGTTTAATGACCACCGAACGATGATAATGAACAATGTGAAAGATGTACAACATTAACAGCTGGAGCGTTATTCAGAGGCACTCACCACCAACAACGGGGGGGGGGTGTGTGGGGGGCCCTGACAGAGCGGAGCCGCCGAGCTCCACCGCTGCAGCCGCGGACCCCCGCGGGGCGGAGCCTACTTGGACTCGCCCACACCTCCGAAGCCGTCTCGGCCAATCAGCGTGCGCCTGCTGTTTGGGGTTGCGACGCAGCAGCCAATCGGAGGCTTCTGTTTTGTCTCTCGCGCGGAAGATTGTTGTTGGGTGGGCGGGGCTAGAGGGTGGGCGGGGCCAGAGGGTGGGCGGGGCTAGAAGGTGGGCGGGGCTAGAGGGTGGGCGGGGCCAGAGGGTGGGCGGGGCCAGAGGGTGGGCGGGGCCAGAGGGTGGGCGGGGCCAGATGGTGGGCGGGGCCAGAGGGTGGGCGGGGCCAGAGGGTGGGCGGGGCCAGAGGGCTCGGGGGGGGGGGGGGACTGTACCAAGTGTGGACGTTGATTGACATTTGCCTGCGGTTTGTTGTTTTTGTATTATTTTACAGCGGAGAAAATATTATTGGCTCAATATGCATCCTCGATAATGAGCATTAAATGTCGACTAATAATTGTAGCCGTAGTATATAATTTCTTAAAATTCACCTGCCGTGCGATAATTTACAACGCGGGCTGTCGAGGGGTTTAATATTTAGCATTGGTACATTCCGAGCGACTTGATTGTTTTTCCCAGTCTGCATAGGCAAGCCCCCCCCCCCCTCTCCCACCACACACGCGCACGGACCTATGGCGCGATTGGCCAATCACAGAGCGGGGGGCAACGGTCGCTGCCTATGCGCGCCAGCAAATACAAAAGGGTCCCGATTCGCATCGTCGATGCCACTTGGGTCAGATTGCCAACCGCGACGACGCGAGCAACCGGCGGCCATCTTACGTGAGGAGAAAGGGGGGGAGGGGAGGAATGGGGGGAGGGGGGGGGGAAATGGAGGGTGGGAGGGGGGGGGGGGGAATGGGGTGGGAGGGGGGGGGGGGAATGAGGGGGGAGGGGGGGAGGGGGGAGGGGGGGGGGAGGGGGGAGGGGGGGGGGGTGGAGGGGGGGGAGGGGTGGAGGGGGGGGGGGGGGGGGAGGGGGGGGAGGGGGGGGGGGGGGGGAAGGGGGGGAGGGGGGGGAGGGGGGGGGGGGGGGGGGAGGGGGGGGGGGGGAGGGGGGGGGGGGGGGGGGGGGGAGGGGGGGGAGGGGGGAGGGGGGGGGGGGAGGGGGGAGGGGGGGGGGAGGGGGGAGGGGGGGGGAGGGGGGAGGGGGGGGGGAGGGGGGAGGGGGGGGGGGAGGGGGGAGGGGGGGGGAGGGGGGGAGGGGGGGGGGGGTGGAGGGGGGGGGAGGGGGGGGGGAGGGGGGAGGGGGGGGGGGTGGAGGGGGGGAGGGGGGAGGGGGGGGGGGGGGAGGGGGGGGGAGGGGGGAGGGGGGGGAGGGGGGGGGGGGGAGGGGGGGGGGGAGGGGGGGGGGGGGAGGGTGGAGGGGGGGGGGAGGGGGAGGGGGGGGTGGGGGGGGGGGGGAGGGGGGGGGGAGGGGGGGAGGGGGGGGGGGGGGAGGGGAGGGGGAGGGAGGGGGGGGAGGGGGGGGGGGGGGAGGGGGGGGGAGGGGGGGGAGGGGGGGAGGGGGGGGGGGGGGGGGAGGGGGGGGGGAGGGGGGGGGGGGGGGGGGGGGAGGGGGGGGGGGGGGGGGGGGGGGGGGGGGGGGGGGGGGGGGGGGGGGGGGGGGGGGGGGGGGGGGAGGGGGAGGAGGGAGAGGGGGGGGAGGGGGGGGGGGGGGAGGGGGGGGGGGGGGGGGGGAGGGGGGGGGGGGTGGAGGGGGGTGGAGGGGGTGGGGAGGGGGTGAGGGGGGGGGGGGGAGGGGGGGGGATGGGGGGAGGGGGGGGGGGAGGGGGGGGGGGGGAGGTGGGGAGGGGGGGGGACGGGGGGGGGGGAGGGGAGGGGGGGGAGGGGGGGGGGAGGGGGGAGGGGGGGAGGGGGGAGGGGGGGGGGAGGGGGGAGGGGGGGAGGGTGGAGGGGGGGGGGGGGGGGAGTGGGGGGGGGGGGGAAGGGGGGGAGGGGGGGGGAGGGGGGGGAGGGGGGGGAGGGGGGGGGGGGGGAGGGGGGGGAGGGGGGGAGGGGGGGGAAGGGGGGAGGGGGGGGGGGGGGGAGGGGGGGGGGGGGGGGGGGGGGAGAGGGGGGGGAGGGGGGGGGGGGGAGGGGGGGGAGAGGGGGGGGGGGGGGAGGGGGGGGGAAGGGGGGGGGGGAGGGGGGGGGAGGGGGGGAGGGGGGATGGGGGGGAGGGGGAGGGGGGGGGGAGGGGGGAGGGGGGGGGGAGGGGGGGGGGGGGGAGGGGGGGAGGGGGGGGGGGGGGGGGGGGGGAGGGGGGGGAGGGGGGGGAGGGGGGGGGAGGGGGGAGAGGGGGGGGAGGGGGGAGGGGGGGAATGGGGGGGAGGGGGGGGAGGGGGGGGAGGGGGGGATGGGGGGAGGGAGGGGGGAATGGGGGGGAGGGAGGGGGAATGGGGGGGAGGGAGGGGGGAATGGGGGGGAGGGAGGGGGAATGGGGGGGAGGGAGGGGGGCAATGGGGGGAGGGAGGGGCATGGGGGAGGGAGGGGGAATGGGGGGGAGGGAGGGGGGAATGGGGGGGAGAGGGGGGAAGGGTGAGGGGAGGAGGGGTAGGGGGTGCATGACGACGTTCGTGAGCGAGCAGCTCTGTTTGGGGAGGGGGTCAATTTGCTTCTGCCCCTCACCAAGATGGCTGGCGCCTTGCTCGTGCGGCTTCCGGGTCGAGGAGGAGGAGGAGTGGAGTGGGGAAGGGGGAGGAGTGAAGACGACGCCTGGAAGTCTGCGTCTCTGCCGCCGATCGCTCCGGACATTTTGCGACCGTGTGGAGGCGGCGAGAGCCGCGATTATTATAGTTGTTGTTGTTGTTCGCGAGACGGGAGCTGTTTGTTGTCGTTGTGACCCACGACACGAGGTAAGTCTCGCGTATTGGCCGGGCTGCGCGTGGTTGAGAGACTCAGTGGCGGCGATGGCGGTGACGCTGTAAGACGCCGGACTTGTCGTTTGTGTTGCGACCAGGAGAAGCAGGTGAGGAGGAGGTGAAGGAGAAGGAAGGAGCGTGAGGGAAGGTCGAGAGAGGAGCCCTGCAGAACGACGCGGAGGAGGACATCGTCGGACCGGGACGCGGGAAGAGGCGGCGGCGGAGGCAGATTTGTAACGAGGTGTTGAAGAAAGAGGCGCAGATTGAACGGGGGAGGAAGACGTGGAAGGAAGAGGAGGAAGGAGGAGGAGGAAGGAAGAGGAGAGAGGGGAAGGAAGGAAGATAAGGAAGGAAGAGGACGCCAGGAAGGAGGAGGCGGGGAAAGGTGTCGGAGTTGTAGGAGGGGGACGTGAAAGCAGGAGGAGAAACAGGATTTGCAAGGAGGTCGTGTGAGTAGCAGGCAGTGAATGGTGGAATAGATCAACACTCCACCACCGCACTCCACCACCACACATCACCACACTCCACCACCACCACCGCACTCCACCACCACCACCACACACCACCACACACAACCACCACCACCGCACTCCACCACCACACTCCACCGCACACCACCACCACCACACTCCACCGCACACCACCACAACCACCACACAGAACCACCACCACCACAACCACCACACACAACCACCACCACCACACACAACCACCACACTCCACCACCACACTCCACCACCACCGCACTCCACCACCACCGCACTCCACCACCACCGCCACGATGCCGCTGGTGCACCGGGTCCTCTTCACGTGGCTCTTCACCATGTCCTTCCTGGTTCTCGCCGTGCTCAAGCTGGACGGCCGCGTCAGCTGGAACTGGTTCCTCGTGTTCGTGCCCCTCTGGATCTTCGACACGGCCCTTCTCGTCATGCTGGCCGTGCGAATCGTGAGCCACTGCCGCACTGGCCACGACCAGGCCGACGTGACACTGCGCAAGAAGGCGTGGTACCTGGTGGCCGTGCTGCTCAAGCTCGCGTTCCTGCTAGCCGTGTGCGTCTGGCTGCAGTCGCCGGCCTCCGCTCCGCTCTACTTCCTCTTCGTGCCCCTCTGGTTGCTGCTGCTGGGCGCTGCAGCAGACCTGGGCCACCACGTGTTCTGGGTGCTCGTCTAGTAGCAAGGCGGTGGTGGTGTGGGTGTTGAACTGGGATGGAGGCCACCACGTGTTCTGGGTGCTCGTCTAGTAGCAAGGTGGTGGTGGTGGGTGTTGAGCTGGGATGGAGGCCACCACGTGTTCTGGGTGCTCGTCTAGGAGCAAGGCTGCGGTGGGTGTTGTTGAGCTGGGATGGAGGTCACCACGTGTTCTGGGTGCTCGTCTAGGAGCAAGGTGGTGGTGGTGTGGGTGTTGAGCTGGGATGGAGGCCACCACGTGTTCTAGGTGCTCGTCTAGTAGCAAGGCTGCGGTGGGTGTTGTTGAGCTGGGATGGAGGCCACCACGTGTTCTGGGTGCTCGTCTAGTAGCAAGGCGGTGGTGGTGGGTGTTGAGCTGGGATGGAGGTGGAGAGAATTGCGAGGCAGTGTAAACACGCGTGCACGGGGATGATGTTAAGGCGAATGCATTTCGGGTGGTCACGCGCTAACAGTCAACTCGACCAGCAGCTATCTCGGTTGTTAATTCGACTGTCAACAAGAGACTCAAAACGACACTCCGCTACAACACGTGTGTGTTGTAGCACAACACCAAAAGCTAACAACCCACGCAAACCACTAACCACTCAACCAGCCAAAAACACAACGCACTCGATGAATACACTCGGGACAACACAATTCGGCTCAATCATCAACACACTCAAACCAACCCACATAACTATCTCACCCAATCAGCAATCCACCGAATTGCCAACCTATCCATTAACCAGCTGAATGGTGAATGCGGGCCATCTCGTCCGAAACTCCAACCTACCCAGCAGCGGCAGTGAAGACGATATCCGAAGACGGACATCAGCTCCCCAAACAGACATTCGTAAACCCACACACACACAGGAGCGTGGAACGAGACATTTGAAAACAACTTCGCTCCAAAACCATCATTTATCATAGACACTGCAGATTGTGCTGTATACGGAGGCGTTTTCTCCCGAACCAACGCTTCCATTTCGGCAAGCAGTCGCTTTGGTTGCCTCCCGGCTGCCATCTCCCGTCCTCTGGTCACCCAGCCATGAGCATGGGACTTGACATTTCGTGTGGAGGAAGGCTCTGCTTCCACCCGTGGGAATTGGAGAGGAATCATGTCTGCGAACAACGTTCCGTCATCGGGGACACGAGGGTAAATACACAATGTGGGGCTGTGTGTGCCTTCTGGCTGGGTTCGGATACTACACATCTGTGCATGGTGTTGTACGGTGGTGGGAAAAACTCCGCGTGTTAAAATGTAAATCCACTGCAGGCTCAATATCAACGATCAACAAATTGTGTTTTACTTCCAATAACGTAATTTTTCTCCACTGCGGAATCTGCCTTACTGTGCTTTTTTCATTCAATCCTGCCCTGGCCATCATTCTCCACTCCACAGTCATTCATATCCTGATTTAACGTTTCGAACCACACTTATATATATGCCTTTCGGTTGGTGCCCTGGTGTTTTTATTCCATCTCCACTCGATACGCTTTTTTTGTCTTATGTCCTCGTCATCTAAGTATAAACGTGGTTTCATATCGTCTTAAGGGAGGCAGCACGTACACAATTGTTGAAATTTGGATCTCCATTTGTACATTCGCTTTTACACCATTGATAATTTCTGCTCCGTTTGGATATTGAGGTGGTTTTGGGATTCCAGAACTACTGGTGGGGTCCAACTCCCCTCGTGGCTGATGGCATTAAGGCAGCTTCGAGTACTTATTTAAATTAATTCTCCTATGTTGGTGGCAACTGGAGAATGAATAGTTGGTAGTGCAGTCGTCTGGAATTATGTTTATATTAAACTGCTGTCAGTCAATTTCAGCTGTGCTATAGCAAAGCAGTCAGATTTATCATTCCTGGGATCATAGATATTCAGGTCCAGTTTGCGAACATTTAAACCATCAAATACATTATTTTGTAAGGTTTTGCATTGAAAAAGGTCCATCACACTTATACAATTTTCAATACAACTGTGGATGGGAAGGTTGACCTTAATGAAGATCTAAACAATTACGACCGTATAAACCAAAGCATTGCAGAATATTAGACCCCATTGAAATATACTACTGTAGCTCTGGATTTTTGTTCCTCCGAATTGACTTTGAAATGTTAACTTTTCCCCTTGGCCTTGTGTGATCGTGGTGTAGGTGGCTGGATGCCAACAAGCAGACATTACCACTGCCGACTTCCAGCACAGGCAGGCACCGAAGCCTGGGCTCGCACATCCACGTGGCACGAGACCACAACGGGTCTCGGATGTCTCCAGTCTGTCCAGGGCCAGCGGGCATGAGACACGAGAAAGACTGATGGTTTCGAGGAGGCGCGCCGGTAAACTTGCTAAGCGTGTGGTGGAAAGACTTGTTCAATCCAACTGGACTTGGCCCAGACGTGTAGATTTCCTGGACTGTGTTAGCTGGTAGTCTGCGCTGCCGGACAAGTGTTACAGAGCCTCCTTGATGGCAAGTTAGACATGAAAGTCATATGGCACTGCAAGGGCCATTTAAAGAACTGCAGTGCTCACACACCAATGCAGGCTTAATGCACACAAGCATTGGTCTAATCTACAGTCACATGTTTAAGGAATGATAGGACTGCTCTAGCTTAAAGGTGAAACCAATCGTTGGGCATGGTTTTGTTCACGTGGTGATCCTACCAGGGCACCGGTTTCTTTAAGGAACTTTACAATTATCTACTCATCTATGATGAGAATTGCTTGTATGCCATACACCTGCCGAGCTGTCATGTGCATGTTTGCATCTAAACATTGCAGAAGCACAGTATAAGTTTGTTTAGAGCTGTTATGGGGCTGAATGGTGCACCAGAATTTAAATTGAGACGAAGGCTTGTGGTATGGTAGAGGGGCATTTGTGCAATGATTTATGAAGTGTGTAGCGTTGAGTATTTGAATGTTGCGTTGTTTGTTAATCTTTGCAACCGTGGTACCTGTTGTATATTTGTTTTTGACAATGTATACTTGGCATTGTAATTCCATTTACATTCAAGCTCACTTGGTTAATAAAGCTAATACAAATTGTTGGTGTTTGGATTAAGTATTTTACATTTTAAATGTTTACATTTTGCATAAGTATAAGACAAGCTTTACTCATTGAAAAATTGCTGCAGTAGTAAGCTGCATGCATTCATTGGCTTTGGTGTAAAGAGCACCCTCAAATGGTGGTTTCATGCTATGGAAATGTCCATGCAGATGGGACAAAAAATGTATGTTGACAGGTGAGGCTCAGGATCAGCACGGGCAGAGACAAAGTCTGAACCATTCTGTAAAGTGACCGACAACCCTTAACCTTCACACCATTCCATTTTGCACACTTCATTTTTCAAACCGCCAAGTTTAAATTCGCCTAAAAAAATATCACTAACATGCAAAAGATAGAGAGATAAGTGTTGTTCAACAGCGACTTCAAATAACGCAAAACTAACGGCCGTTCATAGCGCTTAAATACAACGCAATTCCAGGTGTACATTGGAAACTAAGATTTATTTATGCAAAATAGATTGATACAAAAACTTAAGACAATACAAAGGGGAAACCAAAGTGGAGCTGTAGATTGAATGAGACATGAGTCACTGATGGGGCTGGTCTGCCTACAAAGCCAGCTGCAGAGCAAATGAAGCTAATGTGACTCGATAACTACTCGCCCCCAAGTGGGGGACCCCCCCACCCCACCCCACTAGGGGGCTACATCAGCACACAAAACTGGTGTTTTAAAAACGTTAACCTTCGAGACCGGCGATTGGAGGGGGAGGCCAAGTGCCACTCAATTAGTCGATCGCGCGCAACATTGTTGGCGTGCCCGAGGTCGGTGCAATAAAACTGAAAAGCAAGAGGGGGGGGCGGGGGGGAAAGACTGCAAATTTACACGCAAAGACCGTTTTGCACGCGCGGGTCCTGCTTACCCTCGAACTAGCCCTGAAAATTCCCACGTTTACGCACCGTAATACTAACGCTAGGATATTCTAGTGGACTACAAAAGCTCAGTTGTTACCAAAAAAACTAATGTTAAAAGAACTTTAAAAAAAAAACAGTAATTTTTTTTACATTTCATTGAAAAGGCTTTGTACATCGAAGCTTAAAATGTGGCATTGGGTTTTGCAGAAGCGGATGAAACAGATGGCAGCAATTAGCAAAAGACATGACACTATTTTGTTGAATTGTCTAAGTATAACTTTAAAAAAGTTACATCCATTCACAGACTCATGTTAAAGTTTGTATCGTGAGTGTACAACGTTGTTATCCGATAATTCACAACAGCTGCACCGACATTCAATAAAATTGCCACATTTCTAAAAGCCTAAGGTAACAAGATCTAATATTCCTTTAGGAAACACAGAGCATGCACTTAAATACATTAAGCCCCAGATCCATTTTTATCACAAGAAACCTGCCCTTCATAATTCTCTTCATAGGTTTACAAACTGAATTCATGCACTTTTTAATATATTCATATACGGCTTATATGCTGTAAACAGTTTTGTATAAATATACAGCTGCCAACCTTATTTTATGAGATTGTGAAAATCCCCAATAAATATGCAGTTTATAATCAATAGTATTGATAAAAAATCATTAACGAGATTTTACTGAGGTTGGCTGCGCTATGTACAAATGGGGTTGGCCGTTGTATCAGACTTGTGTGTTCACAGCACTGCAGGTGTACAAACAGCTGTCCAAAAACAAATCGATACAAGTTTGACTTTAAATAAATGGGAAAAATACTCGTTACACTTGGCAATCGAAACCTTGGTGGTTTGCCCATGGAAAATATGGTTTAGATTATGAAAACAAATGCAAAAAAATTCTACACATTAAAAAATTCATTTTTAAGCCGGTAAAAATTTACAAGTGCCGATTGTTGGACTTTTGTGTTAAAACAAACGCTTCCAAATGAAGTTTTAGAACAAGGGGAGGTGGGGGGCGGGGAACCACAAATCCAATAAGAATGAAAACTGGGGGCTTTCAATCCACTTGGCAAAGAGTTCTTCATCCGACTATCAATCATTTTGCCCTCCACTCAACAATGTCAACTTCAGCAACGCGTGTATTTATCATGGTCAGAGCGGCACCCGAAAGTATGGGCGACCTCCGCACAAGTCGGACCCCTCACATTCAGCTAAATATCCCAGGAGACTTGAAGATATGAGAAGCCAATGCACAAATTTAAAATTGAGAAAATAAAGTGATATTGTAGAGACGGGAGTGGCTAAGATTCTGGGAAAACAGCCAGCAAAGCCTGTCGGACCAATCACAAGCGAGTGCGAATACCATTTGAAAAGATTGGGCCAAACGTCGTGTAACACACCACTGTAGTTGCATTCTTTAGTTTACACTCTCGATCGGTATACTGCTACAAAAGTGTGCTGTTGCTTACCACTTACACCGATCCCCACTGGTTGTGGATGAAATATATGCCTGTGCCACCTTTAAAACGTGCACGCTTCTCCCTGTGGAGTGCACACGAAACTGTTCATTTGGATAACTTCAAAAGTACACATTCGGGCCTTAAAGTCTAAATGGCATTACATGAGACCGGGGAGTTCACTGCATGAAGGCTGGGGTGACGGTCTGCAGTCCACTTTGGTGTTAAATCTTAAAATGAAATTAAAACGGAATCCACCATCTTAACAGAATGCACACTGCGCAATTAACTCAACTGCTCTACAACAAAAGACTCGTGGCCACATGTTATTTTATACATCTATTGTTCGGCATATCGTTAAAAAGTCAAATTTGAGCTCCAATGAGCTACCCTGTATGAATACCATGAAGCTTTTTTTTTTATTTCAAACAGCAGCCACCCCAGCCATTCCTCATGTTCTGTGTCAAAGATCACTCAACCCTCGCGATCAGGACACAGCTGAGCAACAAGGCACTATGCTAAACAGTTATACTCGTGACTACCCAACTAACATCCTTTGGTCTCAAAGCAACACATGGAATGGGCCCCAATGTAGAAAAGCCGACACTGCTATATATAGCTTCTGGAACATTAAAGTACCACACCCACATCCGTTTGCCATCAGAGAACATGCAGAAGCCTTTCAATGACCAACGCCAGTTGAAATGTGCGTCAGCATCTCCTCCAACCTTAACCGTCCTTGGTTTTGCAGCAATTTATGAAATTAAATAATGAACATGCATGCTTTATGGCTGCGAATGGCTCATTATAGCTCAGTTTTACCGAAACCAACACGGCGTCTTAATTAAAGTCCGCCAGCTGTTCTTGCTGAGGGATTCCTCGGACAAGGGCATAAAAGCAATTGGAGGTTGTCAACATTTATTTTAACATGTTTTCTTCTTCACAGTGGGGTATCCCGACCTTAATAACGGTCAGGTTTGCTGTCCAGTGTTACCTTCGAATTCGTCCGACCATCTAAATGACCTTGAGTCATGGGCTGACCCAGAAGTTACCGTCACTCCGAAATCCGCCGTGGTATCTGCTCAGACCAATTAAAGAGTCCACCGTGGGAGTTGCAAGGTCCTGCCGTGTGCACCAAAACGTAAAGCCGCCAAAGGGCAATTTTTCTTCACAACACCAGAATGTGCGAGACTGATTTTTAAGGATTCGGATTTAAATATATTCCAGTTTTTTGGGCCAAAATAAGTCACAAAGTAATGGATATGTAGTCAACAACAATTCTATGAAATTTGGGCATAAGTCGACTTACATTAGCATAAAATATACAAAACGCATCCACATACGGCTACCATGTAAAAATGCACAAATGTATTTCTGCACTTAAATTGGAGCGTTAGCAAAACAAGATTAATGCTTTCTCTCACCAATACTTTTCCCGTGACAATTAATCTTATGCACTAACCTTATACTTTAAAAAGGTAATCAATTTCAAGGTTCTAAAACGTTCTAATGGAAGACACCACAATAATTTATTATTTCCTCGGAAATTACTCGTGGAATATTGGTCGCAGAATCGCCTTTTCTCGACAAAATTACCCTGCTCCGTTACACGCTATGGAGTAAAAACGAACGTGCAACCATTCTTTGTCCCTAACGAAGCTTTCAGTGATTAGTGCCTTCTCATAAAAGTAACAATCAACGCGTCTTGAAACACTGCAGAGCACTTTTCCCCCCTTGTTTGCTTGATTTGGTTTCATACAAAACAATCGCAACATATCAAACTGGCTCTTCATTTTTAACTACGACCCATTTAAAATGAGAACCAAACAGCATTTAGCGTGTGCAATGAGAAAAAAAAATAACAGTATTGCTATCCGGCATATAGGTTAATGGGTAACATTTTCACAAGCAAATGTTGGTGGAAAACGCAGCCCCAAACTCAAGATTATACGCATGGCTAGGTGGCACAATTCAGCATCAGCAGATCAGTTCCCGAAGTCGAAAGTTTGAGCCAATGCTTAAGTCCCAACGATGAAGCTTTGTTCTGCTTTGGAGACCACTGCCACAAACTGGCGGGGAGAATGGAAGGCTTCACGAGGTTGCGACACACCGCGGGATTCCCTGGGAAGCTGCTGTCCACGTTGCTGCATTGACCGCATATCGTTGAGCGACCCGTCTCACCAGGGTACCGGTAACGTTGGTGTCCCGCTAACGGTTGGGGTTCCATCAGGGCACGACCGCCACACACATTACTCATTGATGAAGTCCACTGCGTTAATATGAAACAGGCGAGCGGATGTGGAAGCCACACGTTATTTTTTTTGTTTTCTACCGCTCTACATTCTTACAGGGCCCTCCCCAAAAGTAATGTCGATAGGCCACTTCATGAAGGCAAACATTCTCGTCCGTGGTTTGAGCCAAAAATTATTGGACCAAGGAAACATTCAATTTTTGGACGTACTTAAAAAACATTTAAAAAATATTATAATACATTGAGATAATGAAGACTGTTCCCATGTTCAACGGCAAAGCTTGCAAAATTACTTGATGTATTATCTGCCAAGACCCTTTTAGGTACTTGAAAGTTACCATTTAGTTTAAGTAGGATTCTTGCAGACTCCAAACAAGTCTGCATGTCAAATTTGGATGTGATATTAACAAATTTGGAAAGAACACTGGCTTGGGGAAGTTTCATGACTGCAAACTGACAGACCAGACTATTAATTAGAACTAGCCCAACATTTACCCCAGATTCTGCAGCTGCTACACTTGCCAAATAAAAGCAAACCTGGCAAGTCAAAGAATAATGTTACGTAGCTCACACTAGCCAGACAATCATTTGGACAGATTGGACCGAATTCGTTTTTTTAAAAGAGCTAATTATGACTGAATAAAAGAATGAAAATAAGCAACTGAAAACGGAAAGGCTAAACATTAAAGAACTCACGTTAAGCAGACAAGAAAAATACCAGAATTGTAGCAACAGTTAAAGTGACTTGTAATTTAATCTGTCAATCTGGTTTGTACATGGTCAAAAAAAATCCGCAAAGTTGATTTGAGGCTAAAAATCAGTTATAGTACATTACATGCCACGCGGTCTTACACTATAGCTATGAGCATTCACAACCCACAAGTGAATTCAGTACAGTATTTTCAGCTGTTTGATGACCAATCACAAACCTATAAAATGTATTCTAAGGTCACTCTTTCTTCAGCTTTACGCAAAGAACTTCAATGTGCGCTGCAAAACAAGAAGCACTCTGGATTGAATAATACACAAAAATGGAAGACGGTAAAAATCAGAAGTGGCAGCACTCCCAGATCTCTGGAGGGGGGGGGGGGGCATGTTCCCAGAATGCCGTGCGTTCCTGTCACCCATCAACGTTGCTGTGTTTCCAAACACTCCAATTACAAATGCCTCTACCTCTCCCCCAGCTTCCGGGTTTTTTTTTTCCCCAGATGATTTTTGTTGTGGGTGTTTTAGTTTTTCTCCACCCCAAACTGGAGTAATTCCTATACAAATTATAAGAATGTCAAACAAAATCTGAGAGTGCTGGTTCGAGTGATAAAAGGCATATTTTTTTAGCTACATTAGCCTCTTTCCTTCGGTGATAGCACACGCTGCCGGGAAGTCAAAGCTTCGTGGTGTAGCCAGGCAATATTCTCCTTTTATCCTTCAATTAAAACAGGCTGGGCCACTGTGCACTAAATATTTACATGCACAACGGCCCGAGCCGACAGACCGCTACATGCACTCTCCGCCTAGATCAACTCAGCAAAGTCTTAAACGCTTTATAAAGCGTAGCGCATGAAAGTTTGGAAGTGAAAGCACTAGACGCTGGTTTGAATGGGAAGAGGCTAGTAGACTAAATATGGACTTAAAATGTTTAACACAAGCCATTCTACCATTGAAGCAAATAATGAAAACATTTTGGTTAAAGGCTTTTTTTCCGCTTTTTCTTTAATTATAAAACATGTATTACTCTACAGTTTTCCCGATAAATTCTGGTGGAATACCTTACAGAAGTAATGATTTTGGTTTCTTACCATTGTCGCCAACATTACAGATAGGTTAGGCATTGGTACATACTGAATCGTTCAAAGCTGTTAAATAATATTTTTTAAAAATAATCTGTTAATATGTTCAAAGTAAAAAAAATACAGTAATAAAAGGCCTATGACTTTCCTTAAGATGTCACTCTACTTGTGGCTAATAAAAAACACAGAAGTACTGAATAATTTTGTACTGTATTTATAAGTTCATAGTGTTTACGGATATCCTCTATGCTACAAAACAAGACTGCTTGTAAATTTCAACTGTCTTGCACCAGTGGATTTGAAATGAAAGTAAAAATTGACTGTGAATAAAATCTTTAATAAAACAGGCTCTGCTTAGTCAACAAAATCTCACACGAATGTTTAAGTGTGCGGTCATTCCACTCATGTGCAACACACGTCTTTTTTTGCAAGCACTGACGCAGAAGCAATACTAATAAAAGCATTAAATTTAACATTATAGTAAATATTAAATACAAAAAAAGAACCAAAAATAAAACACTACAGCAAGCAGGTCTGTTAAAAGTCTTGCGGTATTAATAGTGGGAATAAAAATTAAGACAAACCAAGGAACTTAAGTTAACGTACAGATATGAAGTGTTGAATTACCATTTACAATTTCCTTTTAATCTTCTGATGAACAGGATTATTAAAATGCCCTCATTTTGTATACACTTGAAAAAAGCAGAAGATACATCAAATATTAAGGACTAGCCTACTGCTTTTCAAAAGAATACTTATAAATACAGTGGACACAAGCAGGGCAATTTTGCTCCAAAAACCCCCTTCAGCACTCCATTCCACATATACAGGGATATTACAAAGAGGATGGTATGCCACCTCTCGCCCATCCACCTGCACACTGAAATCAGATATGATTTGTACTATTATTACAACGGAGGGAAAGTGAGCTGTATGTAAACGGAGGAGGGAAAGAACAGTTGCATTATTACCCAGGACGATTGCAGGGTAGAAGAAGATGCTTGTGTGGAGGCTGACGTGGTTCAATTACACTGGACAGTGGTGCAGCTGGCTCTTCCCCTTAACTGTTACATTTCCCTTGAATTTTTGTTCAAATTGAATTTTTTTTTTGTTAAATGGAGAAAAGAAAAACAGAAGTCATTTTACTATCCCGGGGGAACCTGCAGAAGATTTGCATGCACGCCCAGACACGAGACGTGTTTTTGTTATTGTTCAAATTAAGTCTCGCATCAAAAACGGGTGTCTTAACAGGGCATAATATGCCTTCGTACGAGGCGGTGGCCAGCACAAAGGACAGCGGAGGGACGTACTTTGGAAAATTAAGCGTGTAAAAAGGACGTGGAAGGCTTTGATGTACAAATTACTGCGAAAAGCAGGCAGCCCTGCTGGCTCACCAAAAGGTGTGGTGGAACCAATTCTGGCCTTCAGGAGACCTTGCACAAGCAGCAGCGCCAAGTGCACAAAACTGTAGAAGGAAATAAAGTGATGATTGTAGCGGTCGGGCACCGACGGCTGAGCGAGGTGGGGGTGGGGGTTCAAGCGTCGCAGGCAGCCAGGACGGAAGGCTGAGGCTGCTGCTCTGCTAGAGTTTCCCGCACGGCGTGCGAGCCGAGGGCCGCGCCCATCTCGGGGACGCTCACGCCCACGTTCACCGACGGTTCTTCGACGGGGGGGCGCGACGCAACACCGATGCCGCCGCCACCCGACGGGCCTCCCGTCGACCCTCCCCCCCCCTTGGCGCCCTTACTCGTCGTGGCCAAAGCGGCGGCCTCGGAAGTCACTTCCATCCTCTCGCCACTAGCCTTGCGCTCGCTCGTCGGGTCCGGCCTGAAGCCATTGGAGCCAGATTCGCAGCTCCGCACCGGCGCAAAATTCCCCGGCAGCGTGTTGCCCGAGGAGGAGTGCTGCTGCGTCTTCTCCGACGCCTTCCCCTTGCGGCCGCTCTCGGGGGGCGGACCCTCGGCGCTGCCGGGCCTGCGTTTTTCCGAGGGCTCCGCCGCTTCCCCCACGCTCTCCGTCTTCACCTCCTTCGAGTTGGCGACCTCCGCGCTGTTACTGTTGCTGGCGGCGGCAGCGGCGGCGCTGGCCGATTCGCCGACATTGGCGTGCTCGCTCTCGGGGTGGTACTGCCGCAGGCGCACGTGCCACGCCAGGCTGCACACGGCCGACACGGTACGGAACTGGTGCACCACGTTGCGAGGGATGAAGTAGATGTCGTTGTGGCAGAGCTGGACGCGCGCATAGCGGATGCCGTCGCGTCGCATCAGGTTCAGCTTGGCGTCGTCCACCCACTGTACGCACTGCAGGTTTTGGGGGGGGGGGAAGGGGGGGTGGCGACATCACGTCCCATGACCCATTGCAGATATCCTACAAGGAAACTGCACTGCAAGAAACAAAAAGCTCTTATACTGGTAGGAACCTCCTGGTTACACCAGCCCTCAGGGAATTATTGTGTCCGTCTGTCCGTCGTCAATCCAAAAATGGGAGGGGTGGGGCTGGTTGGAGAGGGGAGGGTGAGGAGGGGCTGGGTGGGGGGTGGGGAGGGGTGGGGCTGGGTGGGGAGGGGCTGGTCACCCCGTGGTGCCCTCATAAAACTCAACGTTTAACCTAGCACGTGTCGTCATTGCCCACACTCATCCCCGCCTCGACTCAATAGCTCGTCTCCACGCTCTCAACTGGCTTCCCATCGCCAGTTGGGTCACATACAAGACCGCCTGCCTCTGCCACAATGCCTTCATATCCGCCTGCCTGCCGTATCTTTCTTCATTATTGACAACTTGCAGCTCAGCACACGGCAGATGCCTGCGCAGCGCGACTCATGACCTCCTCTCGATACCAAGATCCAGGATGGTCACCGTGTCTACGCGCCGCTTCTCGGTGGCAGCCCCAACAGTCTGGAACGATATCCCTCTGCACATTCGCAGCATCACCTCAATCGCCTTCTTCAAGAGACACTTAAAAACTCACCTCTACAATCATGCTTTTGAGTGACTCTGAGCTTGGCTCCGCGCCTCTGAGTTGCGGCCACTACGTCTGCAAATTTGTGCGCGTTACAAATTGTACTATTATTATTATTACTCACACCGGCTTGTGCCCGCCCTCAGGTCGGCCATATTTGCGGAATACACCACGCCGCCATTGACCCTGGCCATTGACCGAGCAACCCAACCGTTCCTACCAGCTCCCTCCGCAGGAATGTGTTCTTGGCTATGTCCCAGGTTGTCCGAAATGGGTGTTAAGGTCCATTCATTTTGTGGTGTGGCATGGTGGTGCATTGGTTAGTCCACTGCACTATGAATCCAATCCAGCCACAGCTAACATCAGTGATGAGTGATATCTGAACGGGTCCCCAGCTCCCTCCCCTCACATCCTCTCCTCCAACACACACTCACCAGCGTGGTGTATGCAGTACGGTCAAACAACCCCCATGAGCGACACGGCGTGGGGAGGCCTTCATCCAGCTGTATCCATACGGGGTGCACATTTACACTGAACACTGGTGCACATGGGCGACAGTGGCTATGGCGAACGGGGCTTACATTTTGCGCTGTATATTTCATCTTTTTACTAGTTTCATTACAGCGATGTTGAACACGATGTCAATGCAGCCACAGGAATGATACGCTTAGCACTTAATAGTGATTTTACAAACCCCTGCCGGCAAAGCGCTAAGACCAGAGGTGTGCGTCACCCTCACCTCCGCGTTTCCCTGGCTCCAGTGGCTTGGCCACGTTGGAGAGGGGGTGGGGATTGATTGTACCTGTGACATGGGCGGCTCGTGCAGGTCAAGCTGCAGCCTCTGCACCACCTCCACAAAGTCACCCGCGTGGAATGCCACCACGTCCTTGGTGACGCGTGCCTCGTCGTCCCTGCGCAGACACGCGGCAAAAAGCACGCGGGTGAGAGAGGGCAGAGTCAAGGATACCCCGGGCAGAGAAATGACAGAACAGTAGGCATACAACATTTAACCCTTTTGAGAGGCGATGAACCGTCACAATTCTGGGGTCACGATTTTATTCAAGAACCATTTGGTTGTATGTACTGTGTTGTGTTCAATGTCTGTTCATCTCATACCGTCATATCTATACTGTCTTTGTAACGTCCGACTTGTCTGCACTGCACATTTACTTTGTACTGTGTATCGTCTTGTTTTGTAAGATTTACTGTATTCGTGGTCTTATTCTTTCCATTAGCCTAAATGCATATCTCCATAAAATCCACAATACAGCGTATAATTCATTCTTACACTCGCAATTAATTGCATGTATCACAAATGCAAGAACCTGCTTGCATTAACAGACTCTAGGAACAAATGCTCTTAGCGAGCACCTAAGAAGGCCGGCAAAGCACGCGAGGGGGTGGGTGGCCAGCACCATGCCTGGCAGCCTTCGTCTCCCTAGTGACATTGTTTACACACTGCACCAGGTACTCATTTGAGGCCGAGTCGATCTAGGGAAGTTCCAGGACCGGTTCAGATAATCGTCACTGGTGTTGGCCGCGAGCGGGTATTCAACTCGGGTCGTCGAGTTTGTAGCGCAGCGTGCTAACCGTTACACTACCGCTCCCCATAACAAAACACGACACACACACATTCTTCACGAAAACTGAACGACTGATAAACTAGGGGTGCTGTGAGGAGCCTGCTTAAAGCACCTTTCTCCAAATCGCACGGCCTTGAGCACACCCACAGCCGCCGTTGTCTGCCGGTCGAAGCCCTGGCCAATGTGGTCGGCGTGCGCGCGCGTCCGGTCCTCGAAGAGGACCTCGCGCGGCTCCGACAGGCGCGGAAGGTAGTGCAGGTTCTTCACCTCGCTCCTGCAGTGGGGGGTGCCGAAACACACGTACACACACACAGAGCCACGTGGTGAAACGACCGGTGGAGTGACACGCGGGGCTTTAACGAGCGCAACAGACAAGAGGTCGTTACGCAGCTTGTAAGAGACAGCGGTATTAAATGTAATAGGGGTGTAACTACGATGCCAAGGTGTGACGTAATGGTCCTTTGGCCAAATGTCTCAGTATTTCTAGATTTGAAGCTTTCGTGACTGCAAGGATTCATATTCTTAGGTTTTTTCGGTAAAGTCACGTAGGTAAAACATTAAAATTAATAAAAGTAAAATAAAATAAAAATCACGACGTTTCGGAGGCAACACAAGCTTCCGTCTTCAGATGGAACCGTCACAGCCACGACAGCTTGATACAGCTGTCTCAGTATGTGCTCAAGTTCGTCAGATCTTGGACACCAAGCAAGGCTGGGCCTGAATACTGCTTGAATGGGTGACCACTTTTGCACACGTAGTTGTGATGAGGATGAAGGAGCTACATTGCGCACAGCAGGAGCAAAGTATAAAAATGCACTTCACCGCTCCGCACTTTCACCAAACTGCATGGCGAGGTTCGGTCAAATAACCACCCACAAGCCACACTGCATGGAAAAGCCCTCATTAAGCAGTGGATTGACAAAATGTACTTGTGCGTCATGCATAAAACACGTGACGTAACGGACGCCTGAATGTGGAGAAAGTTACAGATATTGTGAAGTTCTTGTGCCAGGATAAATGCGTGCGGGGGTACATACGAAAGAGCGTGCACGGCACATGGAGAGTGCAAAGGTTGGCTAGGATGTGCCGAGGAGACGACACTCACCGACGCTTCTTGCAGGGCGACTTGGGCATGTCGGCCGTAGGTATCATCTGCTCGCCCGGCCGCACCCAGAGGATGGGGCCGTCATCGCTCTCCATGCGAGACTCCAACCGCAGGCTCGAAATGCTGCCCCATGGCAGAGTCAGCTGTGGAAGAGCCATAGGGTCGAGGGACAAATACGGATATCTCCCGTTTAGCCCCTTTTCGAAAAACAAACAAGCGGTTGTGGGGAGCACACGACACACGAAGGGGGCGCGCGGAGGCAGGGCAAGCTCCAGTTAAGGTTGGGATACCCATTGCCACTGCCACTAGTATGCATGATAAAAAATTGCACCCAGGTTGTTAGAATCGTAGCACAGTGCTGAAACCACTAAGTAAGCACTCCCCAGGAGTTAAAATGCACTCACACCACTCGTAAAAGAGCGAAGCTACGGAAAATCTAGTTGCATGCCAAGAGATGCCAAGCATTACATTAACATTAATTGAGTGTACATCAGCAGGACAATGTAGATTCGTGATTTTCTGAGTCCATGTACATATTTGTAATATGTAGACTAAATTTAACTTTACTTATAATTATCAACACTATGTAATCGAAAATTAGGTACTGGGCCTATATTTAAAACGAGTATCATTGCTGGTTGGAATGTGACATTACACAGAATTCAATGCCCTCTCGGGATCATTATCGACCATGACCTATCCGCTGCTGGATGAACGCTATACCAAACCTTCTCTTAGTCTTGCCATGAATTTAACCATTTAGCACCTGTACAAGAGCCGGTGTCATCTCACCTCGCACACACTCCCGTATTGGGCGTGTTCGGTCACAATTAAATCTCGTGTAGAGTCCTTCCCAAGCCCACTTACTTTTCACCAGTCAATACGACGTCTATAAATTGTGTATCTTTTGAACATCTCTTCTGTGCAGACAGCGGCTACCACTGCAGGAAGATGCTTGTAACCCGTCTGGATTATCTATACCTCTGCGGGCACTAATACAGACGTAAAAACAGCCTGTTCAAAACCCACTGTGTTATGACCAAATCTGTCATCAGATCTCGAAAGCTACGAAGCAAGTTTGAGTCTGGACACTTCTTTGGATGGGCAAGTAACATGCATAATAGGTTGTGAGAGTACTCTGCGGGACTGGTGTGCACCAAATAACAGAGCAGCAACATCAATTGCTGTACTGTGTACTACGCTCCACACTCTACTCAACCTGCACTGACCAGGATGGTAAAGTACGGCCAAATAACGCCCACGCGCCTCTCATCCACGAATAAAACGTACAAAACCATGAAATATTAGTGTTGAAAGCAATGTTGTTCTCTTATAGATACATTTCACTCTGCTGTGTTGTTCGAAAAACACTCAAGAGACGCAACGACAAACAGAGCTGAATCAGGTCGGCATCCTTCTCCACACAAAAATCCTGAACCTAAACAGGCAATGTGTACAAACTTAGCATTTCGCAGTGCTTATCCGAACCAACATGTCAGGAAAAGGTCAAGCCGTCAAACATAATAATATCAATAACAATGCTACCTTTAGCAAATAAACCTTACATTTTTACCATCAAATCATTTTAATTCAACACACCGTGACTGCACTGCATCGCCCAACAGAATTGGCATGCTGTATTACACTCCTGCCACAACAAAATGGATATTTAAATTCCGGGTGGCACCTGTGCCCTTTCGCCAAACGTAATCAACAGAACTGACGGAGAATGAATGAGTCAATGAATGCATAAATGGCAGGTGCCAGCATGGTCAAAATATTAAGTGGATTTAGGTGGGAGAGGTGGTGCTGTAAAGCTAGATAGCTCTGTTGTAAGTAGACATGTAATGACCCCACCCCACACTCCTCATTTCCGTGTTTTGAAGAACGATCATGAATTGGGGTCGCAATTCGATTCAAGAAATATTCTCTCATCATTTTTACAGCACCCTGGATTTTTTAAATCATATTTTCATCTTATTTTGTACGGTATTAGGTTATGCCAAAATCCTAAGTAAAATTACGACACAATTAGGATAAACTTTGCATAAACTGTAAATAATTAATCCTCGCACAAGATTCACACGCAAGATATTGAAGCACGTGTCATGAAAAAAACTTTCATTTTAGATCTACGCACGCAGAGTAGCGACTCGCACAATTTTGAAGACACACCCCCACCCCCCCCCTTGCAAAAGCAATGGCAAACACGAGGGTCCTGTTCAGCACTACGGACTTCTGCCCTTCAGTCACCTTGAGGAAGGGCGACTCCTCCAGCATGTCGAGAAACTCGGGGAAGTAGTCGCCCACCTCCTCGTCCACCACGCCCACCAAGCTGATCTGCCTCATGGCGCCGGCACGGTACGTGCCGTTGCAGTACGTCCGCTGCACCTGCACACGCGCACACACACACACGACAGTATGGAAATGCGCGGCCCACGCAAGTTCCGTGCCACAGCCAGGAGTTAAAGCCGTGGGGGCGGAAGTCACCGAATGGTGAAGTGAGTGGAGGGCAGCGGTGGGGGCTTAAGGGGAGTGAAGCAGGTGCCTCAAGTGCTTGGCGCGGAGAATTACAAAAAAAAAAATCCCTTTCCAGAAAATTGCCACTGCGGAGACATGTTTTTTACCCCCCGTGAATGAAAACAAATAGAAATGAATAAGTGCTCGATACTTCACGCACGAGAAAACACGACGGAGCTAAATAAAACAATCACGCCGCATATGCCGCAAAGCAAATTCTATCTCGAACTAATTTGGGAATCGTCACCGCTTGGCTTGGATGGGGCTTTCAGTACGATGCCAATAGCTGACCACAGATGCCCTGGTCGTTGTTGCCCCTTAAACCTGGCCGACCTACCGTCTGCATCACTCCGACCTGCCTCTCTCATCAAAGCATGCCGGCATTGCAATGCACACGTGTGTTAATCTCCCGTGTGTTAACCGCCACTTCCTCCCTGCTAACGTAACGCCATGCAGGTGAACTATTGACTATTTGACCAGTGTTCTCTTGCGCAGTTAATTAACGCATTATTTCTGGCTCAATTCAACGTCTAATTATAACAACAATGACATCGGTTTCATCTAAGAAACTATTCCAAGTATAAATGTGGGTCATATGCGAATGACCTAGTAAATTGCATGCTTGCTTTCTATTTTGGCACTTAGCAGCAGTTCTTGGCAGCCAAACTAAAATCAATGCCTTCTGGAAAGTCAGGTGACAATTTACGAGCCCTTCATTCAAATCGCAACATTTCGTTCAACAATCATTGCCGATACATCCCCTAACATTGTACGATTTTACCAAAAATGTATCGCAATCGCATTCTTCAAAGTTACAGCTGATCAGAGGACAAGACAGCTGCTGCAATATCTGTTAAAGATGAAAGTGCCCTTGCTCAAATGCATACCAACATGTAAATGCCACTACAAGGACACAGGCTGCCCACTGTTTCTGTGCGAACAGGCCTTCACGTAACATTTAATAATTCAACATTGGGAGACAAAGACCACCCCCGCCCCCTCCGCACGGCTTATGGGTGGCCATGCAAAGTAAATGAGCCGCTTCGCACGAAATGGCAAGGGGCGGCCCTGGTTGGTGTGCGGTAAACAGCAGGTGCCTGTAGGCTGGCTGCTCAGCATGCTGCACGCCACATACAGTCGCCAGGATTAGCGCGTCACAGCCAGGCTTAGCGGAGAAGCAGCCGGCGCTCAAGGCGCCGAGCCAAGACGCCCTTAACCTCTTCACCCGACGGACAGTGGTTAAGGATGTTAAATCCCACATTGGTATTAGGCAGGTTAGCCGGAGACGCCTAACCAAAAAGAGTTACGACTGTGCAAAGGATTCGCCAATTACAGGCCCATTCCGTGCACCCAAAGCGATAGCCATTTATTTTATTAGTAGAAAATAAACACACAATGCTCCCTAGAAAGGTGTTACTGCTCAAAGTTAGGTAATGCGTTTGTTTTGACAACACCGATTTGTGTTTGTAGCACACATTGCTCAAAGACCAAAAGGGAAATTACACAAGGTGGTTTTACTGGAGCCCAGGAGAGTGCTCGCGTATAGTTGCCACGCTTCACCTCTAAACGAGCACGCAGATAATTGGGTCGTACAGGATAAACCTACAGCCATTCACGCATCAAGTGGCCCTCATTAGCATGGGTTCTCCTTCTACACGGCTTGACACAATTGAGAAAAACCGTTCTGTTTGCAAAATCAGCGGTCGTCACGGGAAACACGGTCGCCTTGCAAGGAAAGCTCTTTAAAAAGCGGGTGTTGCTGCATTTGTTCACTGGCCTTTTGAACGTCAGAGAAAAACTGGAAAGCATTATTACGCGTGGCCTACGATCGGACATCTGTCGCTTTCGCCAAACGCACATTTGCACAAGGTCTGTGAAAATGGCTGGAAAAAAAGTAGCGCAGAACAGAAGCCACGGTCAAAGTCTGCAGACTCCATGCATCCTCAACCATGGCCATAAAAAGGTTGCCTTCTGAATGCAGTTTTGGCGTGCAGAGCATGAAGAAACAAATGTACGCCTGTTACAGTGACCTAATAGCTTTGTTTTGCCACACTGCCACATTATTACCAATGAATGCGCACACACACAGCTGATGTGGCGCGTGCTTAACGGTTGCTAGTTTATGTACATCTGGGCACGTAGTGAATGAAGGTAGTTAATTAAAACATAATACAATTAAAGGAAGACTATTATACAATGACAAACTACGCCAGTTTCGGCGACATGCATGGCATTACGCAATTCCACTGGGGAATGGCAAGGCAGGTGTGCGGCGGCACCCACGTGGATCCGCACGCTGCGCAATCGTTCAGAACAATTGCCGGCAGTTGCACCAAGCATTTTACTTTCAATGTTTTTTCAAAATGTCTACTCTAAATGCTCTGCTCCAGTAGACAACACGAGTGCTGCAATACTGTAGACTGAGCAAGTGTTTTTTTTAAAGATGGATCTCAACAGCCAAGTGCACGACAGGAGCCTGCACAGTGCCTGGGATGGGTGACCACCATGCACAGACAGGTTGCCATAGGGTTCGTGGCACGCTCTATTAAGCAGCAAAAGGTCGTGTGCCAAAGTCCACTGCCGTACTCTACTATATACTTCGATACGCTACGGTTCTACTTCACAATCCTGCAGTGGCGTGAAGCATGAAAACAAAATAACTCAGACCCGCACGGCACGGGAAGGCCTTCATCCAGCAGTGGATTGACAAAAGGGCTGTATATGGATAGACATATTTAAGCCGTGCATCCAGGGCTGTCCAACACAAGTGTATCTTCATGAATGAGAAAACAGCATTTCGAGTTAAAATCAACACCAATATGTTTCAGTAAGTCAATTCAGCAATGCCCCTAACGGTGCTACGATGCAGTGCCCGACTGTGATAGTCTACTTTCTCTTTAAATAAAGCTCTCACATCTGCCACATCTCAGCCTCCTGAAGTGCAACAAGTTAACTGGCAACAAGAATCATGAGGTGGACATGCTGCACTGGTTGTAAATGATGGGCCAAGACCAAGATATGTATCTATAACAGCCGTTGATGTTTTGGGTTGCAACCTAACCACAAACTTAATTGTTCATAAAAAAAACTAGCAAAAGCCAGCACACCAATAACCAAAATGCCACCCGGGGTGATAAAACAGCCAGACGGAGGTCCGGCAAGACTTCAGAAGTAAATCTTGGACCACGATATCAAAAACCTAAGTTGTTGAACTACCACCGCTCAACAGCAATGCACATTGCGCCCGAGTGTCTGGATGCCTTGGCACCAGATACCCCACTGGGAACAACAGGTTAGGCTGCAACGACAGCAGCCACAGGTAGGTGCTGGCCAGGGTCAGGACATCAGACAACCAGTTGGGAGGCAATCAAGATAACCCGGGCATTCTCCCTGGCCACGTTCTCAAGATCCTTCGGAATGGAAAAAAGGTGGTGGTGGGGGGGGCAGAACACATAGCCCAACTTGCAGAATGTCAGAGTTTGCTGCTGTTGGTGCACCGGCTTGCCAAAACGGGGACAAAGTGGGGCACCTTGGCATTTCCTGGTGGTGTGAACCAGTCTGTTGATGGTTCGATGAACCCTGGGGCAAGGACTTGACCAAAATTTTATGCAAACTTCAAATCGGCCAGATCTCTTCATTGATTACAGTGTATTGCCAGCCAGAAACCAAGCCACCAATCAATCAATCCATCTTTATTTTACGTGCCATACATCGCCCTCAAAGTAGGCATCGCTGCAAGTTACAATGGAACGGTTACAGGGGGCATACAAACAAACTGGAATGAGAAAAGAAATTCGCCAAACCCTCAACGGCTGGCACCAACTGAGCGAAGTAAATTGCAACCTATTATTTTTTTCATACATTGATACTGGCAAAAAAGGTCCCATGATATAAATTGCAACCGCACGCAAAATAAAGCGCAACAGTGCACAATGAACAACATAAGAAAAGGTAATTCGTAAATAAAATAATTGAAAAGTAAAGAGACAGCTTTTATGTAACATTTTCGATTTTGTGGGAAAGCAAGTCTGAGTTAGGTGCGTCTTGTACAGACCACGGAATTGAGAGGCACTCGGCGCATTTCGGATGTCCACTGGCAGGCAGCGCGGTGTTCCAGGTTTTTTGGACTGCACTTGAGAAGGATCCGTCCCCCCCAGTGCCGGGTGAACAATCCTGAGCTGGGCAAGTCTCGCCATTCCAGTGGAACGGAGTGTGGATGTGCCCGAGGATTGGAGAGAGATGCGACTTTGCAGGTAGATGGGGGCCAAGCCATGCATTGCTTTGTAGGTTAGAAGAGAAACCTTCAATTGGATGCGGACGTGAACCGGTACAAGCTGTGGTGAGAAGGCGTAATGTGTTTAAAACGGATAATCCGCCGGATCATCCGGGCAACTGCGTTCTGGAAACTCTGCACCAATCCAAGTGGTAGCCCTGCGTAGAGGGCGTTCCCATCATCTAGGCATGTTTAGACAAAGCGTGTTCACCATCACTATTAGAGGTGGTGTTGGTCACAACAAAGGGCCACGTCTTTACCCACGACAACATCCACCAACTGAGCCAGAGCCAAACGTCTCGAGCCGCAATTCCATCGCGTTGATGCTGGAGCTGCGATTCTTTGGCAACCGGCAAACCCTGAACTGCTACCCTGCCAGAACATTGCCCCCGAGCTGAGCAGGCTGGCATCGACCTTGACTATCAGGTCCTCCTTGAAGAACCCCAAGTGTTTCCCCACTGACAAATTGGCTGCCTGGGTCCACCAACGAAGGTCTCTTGAAGCGTTGGGACAAAAGAATCACGAACCAACCCATGCGGCCACTGACTGGAACTGGATTATACTGCCTAAGAGATACCACCGAAGGGCCACCGCAGCTTCTACAGAAGCTAACCTGCTGCTGCCAGCCAGCCAGCTTGGTAGCCTCGAAATGCATGTGGACGATTTAATCTCTAGTCGTGGAGGTCCAAACCACAACTGTGTTGAGCACTGCCCCAAACGTGTTAAAACGTCGAGCAGGGGCGAGTACAAACCGGCGTAGAGACGCACGTCCACCAGGATCCCCACCAACCGATACAATGCTCCTTTTGTGTCTGCCTGTATCAAAATGACTTCAAAATATTGCTCAGATGTTGCACGGACCACCCAGGGGACATGATCACACCATGAGCACTTGAAAAAGGCGCAAGAGATAAGGGAGGCCAAAAGGAAAGAGTAAACTTTCAGTGATAGCCAATCATGCAAAGCAGCAGGCAGCAAAGCTGCCACATCACAATTGGGACGTGCAAGAATGTGTCCTTGAGGCCGATGCAGGTGACCCAAATGCAATACCTTGGCCATGGATGCCAGCGACTCCATTTTTAATTCGCGGGAGCAAATGTGCTTCTTCAGCCGTTGCAGATCAAACATGGTCTGGTAAAGCCTCGATACGTACAAATAAATACATTTAATTTCTTTCACACCACGCGTAGACAACCGTGCTAATCGGAGGTGCTAATTATGGTCACCGCATCCTTGGTGACCGTAAAGAACTGGCGTAGAAAGCAGAGTGCCTTTCATTCCAGGGAACTCGCAGAATAGCATTTACATCTGCTGGTCTTGCCATTGCATCGCGAAAGGATCTTGAGGAGCTTGAGAGTCTACCCACAAACCGTCGGGTTCCTGGCCCACAAATTATGGCACGTATACATGTGCCACTCTGTATGAGGCCCAATGATTCTGGCACATTAGCCTCCAAACAAACACCTGATGAGGTGGGGCAATCGTCTCGCCAACCGGGCTGGCACGGGAACCGCTGTAACCCCGGTGCCCAACCTCCTCACACTGCTTTGCAGGTGGAGGAATGGGTGGGTGCCCGTCACCTCCTCTCGTAGACTTTCCTCATCCCTTGTATTGATACCTAAAAAGAAAAACCTCCACTCCCTGAGGGAAGTCGGTCTACATTACCGAGAAGAGAAGGCTGTTTGGGAGATAACCCTGGCCCTTACGACGAGACCAAAAAGGGCCGTTGAGAAAAATCTCATCCTTCTGCTCCTGCTCAAAAACTTCAAAACGCACCTCAAAAGGCAAACTGGGTTAACGACGTTATTGTTTCCGCAGTGCAAGGCTTTTGCTGTCAAAAAGGGACCTCCTAGCCACGAAGAAGTCGAGGCCCGTGTCTGTGACAAAGGCCACCAAAAAGCATAAATATTCATAAGCTGTCTGCAGAGCTGTGCGGTCATGTGCCTTGTAATCGAATTTACCCAGAGCATTGTGACCCAGCTTTGCCACATCGTCCACGCAGGCACTGGTCTGCAAGGACAGAGGCAATGCCGCAAAGGTCTTTCTCGCCTCTCGATTAGCAGTCCTGTCGAAGGGATAAGGCAAGACCAGTGACGGATCTTCAGCTGCGGTCCATTGGCGAGGGATAATACGCCAAGCCTTAGGCAAGTCCACAAGCGGCAATCGGAGCTTTTCCCGCTGATCCTCTGGGACCGAGCAACGGCAATCCAACGTTTTGGCCACCCGGAAGCCTTTAACTGGCTTGGCCCACTCGTGGTATTGACTGGTCGTGGGGTAATTCTGCCAACGCCGAAGGCTTGAAACTTTGGAAAGGGGAAGGCTTCTTGTCCGTATCCATTTTCTCGACGATATCCTCCACCAACACATCGAGATTTGGGGTCACTTGTTTGACAACAGCAATGCTATACCCGAGGAAGAACTCCAAGTCACCGTGGAGGTACTGGTGCGGCTAAAACAGAAATAGCGCGACGAGTGCGAGTCAGTCATCTTGAGCTCGACCCCAAACTTTGTTGCAAAGAACTACATGTCGAGGCCATACCTGAATCGATGAGCGTAAACCACAAGCTCACCCTGCCCATTTCCAGTTTGGCCGATGTGCTGCAGAGAAATCCACAACCATCTTGGGAAGAGACAACCCTCGTCACAAGCTAAAACCTCCAAACACCAACACCGCTAATTTACACTAAAGTGCAGGAGCCAAACGGAGCTCTGGACACAAGCCCAGAAATTGAAAAACAGAGAAATATATTTATATTTGGGAGGTGCTGTTGTGAGAATAGGCTCAAAGGGAAATAATTTGAGTGGAGCAGTGGCCGTCGGATGAATAAATGTGGACAAAATTCAGCGACATTATTTATTTATATACACCAGGAGAGAACCTTTGCTCTGCAATGGAAAACAAGAGACGGCTGTATTTTTCACACTCTTCTCACAATCCTATTATACTCGGAGCACTCAAAGTAACATGCTATTAATAGAATAAAATGCCAAGATACACGTATATTGGAGGTGATTTATAAAAATATTCTGGCAAAAGAATGACATTAATAGGAGCACAAATTGAAAAGTTCAAGCACTTTTAAATTAACCAAGTCAGGCGTCTGTATTCGTTACTCTATCAGGCCTTCTGAAGTTCTTCAGCCTTTCCAATTCAATTCAATGTTTGTTATTCAGAAAACCCCGTTTCTAGTCTGTTACCCAGCTACTTTTGGTGGCAACAGCCCACAGCCACTCACAATAGAGTTATTGTTGGGGTGGATAAGAACCCAGCTAGCAGCCAGCCAGAAAACTCGAGGCACAAACTATTTTAATAGCATATATATCCAATTACCATTTTTTATCTTCCGCAGTGCACTACAGTCTCTAATAGTGCTCCCTAAATTATCTTAGTCTGGTCTTAATTCATACCATTTCATTTTATCTCATCAGTCGGTCATGCTTAACTCTTCGGTGACAAGCCATAGTCATCGTCATGCTGGAGGATTATCATCCACTCGTAGCAATCATTGGCCAACATAAAAAAAAAAACTTTCATATTTTCGCCACTAATTTCATTTAAAAAATATACAGCCCAGCAGCCATGGGAGCTTTTCACTAGGAGATACCCGCAAACCTTCACCGTCCAAAGTGCCAGACCACAGGCGGAGACGGCAGCGCCAAGCTCGTTCCTCGTACAGTGGTTCCCCGGTTACGTGGGTTTCAGGGGGGGGGGGGGGGTGGAGACTCGAGTTAAAGACCTCCCCCACAGTATAGCCGAGGACAAGGTCGTATTACCAAATAAAGTATGTACAGAACGCATCTGAACGAACCATGTGCGTAGTGTCATCCACTGTCTCTCGTTCCTGCAGAGCCTAGGTTGTCTTCTTGTCGAGTCCTGGAGTTTCATCCAACTTGTCAAAGAACGAACGAAGCCGTCCTTCTGCATATCGTACCCTCCGAGATACTAAACTCCCTTTTAACTTGGGCTTTTGAAACCCCACTTTTTACTCTTTCAATAATTATTAGCTTTTCCTTCACAGTACGAAACTTCACTTTTTTTAACTTTCGCTATTAATCATAACACTAAGATGCCACTAAAGTGTCGAGAAAGACAAAGCAGACTACAGTGGGAGGGGGAAGGTCCCTCGCTGGGCACATCCAATGTAGAATGTAGGGGGAGGAAGAACTGCGGTACATCTGAATGCACGGTGTAAGCCACGGCGTTACAACTGGGGAGAGCTTTAATAACAACAAATATAAAACGTCCCACACACCCACCTGCGTGCTGAAACTCTCCATGGTGGTCGTCTCAATGTCCTTCTTGCCTAGCACCTCCACCTTGACGGAAGTGCCCGGGAAGCTGAAGGCAAAGTAGTCGAGGAAGTCGGGCAGGTACGCCGCGGCGCCGTGCACGATGGCGATGGCGTAGCGTGCGCAGCCCTGCTTCTCCTCCTTGAACGCCAACGAGGTGAACTCGCGCGCAAACCTCTCCAGCGCCGCTGGCGACAGCCGCTCCAGCTCGTGCCAGTACGCGTGCAGCACGCTAGCACCACCATTGGGCTGTGCCTCGCTGTACACGAAGCGCGCAAACTCGGGCGACGTGTCCGGCACGCGGTGCTGCTGCTGCTGCTGCTTGCGGATCAGCTGATCCCTGTTGGTGCAGAACGGTGGGAAGCTGTTGAGCAGCTCGCCCGCTCGGGCCGGCTTGCCCTCGTTGGGACAGTTCTCTTTCTTCACCGGCGTCGAGCATTGGCCAGGCACGCCCTTCGGCTCCTCTTTTACTGGCACCGTGGGTTGGGGTCCTTGCCGATCCGGAAGCGTGCGCACATCGGCTTCTGGGATCTGGGGAACAATGCTGCTGCTGTTGTTGTTGTTGTTGATGATCAGCGCTTCCCGGAACTCTAGGCCCGAGCACATGGTCTGCACGCCGCGGTGGTAGCGCTTGGGCCGCTTGTGTTTGCGACGCTCCTCCTCATCTTCTTGACCATCACGGTGCTTCTTTTTCTTTTTTTTCTTGGCCTTCTTGTGGTGGTGGTGGTGATGCTCCTCCAGCATGGGGCTGGGCTTCTTCTCGCCCCTCAATTCTCCTGCAACAAAAAGCGTACACCGCTCAGGTATCTGTGCAATCAATGGTAAAAACAATATATTTCCCGATAATTGGCGTCATCTGGTCCAACACCATGGTGAGACTAGGTTCTAAGAAAAGCTGTCTCGGGTGTGGACCAATCAATTTCAAGGACAGTGCATACATTATCAGAGTTGACTCCTTGTAAAAAAGGTGTCAATTTTGTTGCCAGATAAAAGGGTAAAAAAAACAATTATATTTTGCTACTGGAAAAGGAGGTTCCAATGGAATATATTTCCCAATAAATTCCAACATTTCATACAGCGCAGACAAATAATGATGTGAAACATACAACTTTAGCATTCAAATAACAACACAGGCTGGGTTATCCAATTAAGTAATCCATTACTACAGATTCTCGGTTCAAAGACTCAGTTGGATATCAAAAAACAATCGGAAACCAGTCTCACCTCTGTGCCCACGTGAACCGTGAGACAGGAGGTGATGGGCAGGGTTTAGGGACGTCGTCAGCACCATTACGCTAGGTGTAGATTGTACGGGGGTTTCCTGCCTTCAGGATGCAGGATGTGGAGGCAGCGGCCATTTTAGAGGGGCCAGAGTAATCGAGGACAAAACGGCAGTCGATTACAATTCAGTCGGTGTGTATAATAAAAGTACTATCTATCCCATGTCTTAATAAAACAGTGACCGGTTACGAATAAAAACGGTGCATAAAGATTCTACAAATTATGACCTCCCGATTCTGATCTTACCTTTCAAACCCCTCAATTTCCATACAAGAACGGTCTTCCCATCAGAAACCCCTGAGCTATATTGTCCTACAATCTTCAATCATCGGCCCCGATGTTCTTCTCAATCTCCCCTTCCTCTTGGCAAAATCATCTCCAGTGTTTATTTCGATAATTATTTCTGTGCCAATGACACCCAGCTCTCCATCACCAATGACCATGAACCAAACCTCACCATTTTCGCTCGCATGATGCCTGGAGGAGGTGTCATATTGGGATAGTTCCATCATCTAAGCAATGTTTTTCCTTCCATACGTGAAGCACTACACATCGGCAAAAAGCCAACTCTCAATACACACTTGCGCTTGAGTGTGCACCTCAAATGGTGTACCTCACCACTGACAGAGTGTGCAACCACCTTCAGTTTCTTTGGTGACGAGTTATCATTCTTTTCTCACACATCAACCCTACAGGAGCCGATACCTGCATTTGCGTAACATCTTCCGCATCTGCCATTTCCTTTCCACAGCTACTGCGCAGACCCTTTTATCACATCGTGACTTGATTATCATCTCTCCTTTATGGCCTCCCCAATGCCTTATCTCAAAACTTAAGATGATTGAAAATGCCATTGCCAGAGTCCTAACTTGCACCCGTAAACAGGCCTAACATCACCATAATACCCCAATACAATCCTGGATTCATTTCAAGATCACTTGCCGTCCTCAAGATCCTTCCTAGACTGGCACCTTACCTACCCTTTAAACCCCCTCTCATCTTACACTCCATACCCTGAAAAACACACATTCTACTCCAGCAACCAACACTTGCAATTGAAGCCCTCAGTCAACCTTTACTTGGTGGAAGGTCACTAACTCTTCTAAACCACAGTGATCTGTAACAACCTTTCCTCAGCTATCCGTACTGCCGATTCCCTTCCCCCTGTTCAAATCAAGACTCAAGACTTTCGTTTTTTTTCCTTCTCTGCATACAACCGAAATTCCTGGATAAAATAAATATGCCAACCGTTTCCGTGCAGCATCTTGAAACGTGGTTGCATTTTTAGACACTATAGAAATTCAAATGGTATTGCATTATTTCTGGAATGTCTTACAGGCAATGTAATGTAAAAAAGTTGCTTATGTTAAATTACACAAAATGCAAGAGAAAAACAAGAAAAATCACGCGCGAGCGCAAATTCTTTAACGCTTTCCAAAATTCCCTTGTGCTCGGTAATTATCAAAAAAATATGACTGCATGACATTGCTCATAAAAACGGACGTGGAGAGATGAAAAAAGAAAACAGAAAGCGTGCAAAGAATGGAAAATGTTCCGAAGGTATGGAGAGATGCAATATTGGAATTACACCAAGACCGAATGCAGTACACACGGATCTGTCAACAAAAACAAAGAGAACACATCGTTGTCAACTTAGATTATTGCTCGTGACGAGTGATTTGAGCCTACCGAGATTATTTGCCCAGGGGAGGCATGGGGATGTGAACAAGGAAACCAGGTGAAGTATCTCCGTTTCCTGGAGAATAAGGTTAGCTGCATTTACGTAAAAAAAAAATTACAATGCAAATTCAAACAAGATGGTCTCATGCAATGACACCATCAGGGAGGTGGCACATTGAGTGATGTCATTATTAATTGATCTATTAATTTTAAAACATAAGCGCAGTTGAGGCCGTGCTACCCTGGGCAAGAGGCAAAGCATGCCTCGCCTGGTTTCACTCCCCGGGTTCTAAATGCCTCCCCAGCAAAGGGAATCTAGGGTAAGACCAGCTTGAGCCCAAGTCAACGATCATCATCAGCTATGGCGTGTCACATCATCGTAATAGGCCAAGGAGTGGATGTAATTCGTGATGAGGTGGGTTTTTTTGCAGAGTTTTGGTCAACCCATTTATACATTTGTCCAGTCTGCAACAGTTTACAAGTTCGTCATGGCAATACAATTTTATAAGCATTCAATTTACCTACCATTATATCTCTGCAATGATTATCGTGACCCTCTCCCAATGTTCAAACAAAGTGTTAATTCTCGCGCGTTAATGCATTTAAACGTAACTAAAAAGTGTTTTAAAAAAGTTAGACGTAGTTAATAGATGAGGAGCATTGGTTGAACTTGAAAAAAAAATTCTGAAAGTCACACATGCAAACTTATGGATTACAAATGAACCAGGAAAACATAACAAACGTGAACAAAAAGTAATCAAATGCCCTGTAACTACATTGCGGTCATGTCGCCATGAAAAATGTGCGAACGAACGGCCGATAACAAGCTGCAAGCACTGCAAGTTCACCGTAACATCCTATTAGTATTTCCAATGCAAAGACAAAGATCCCCCGTATAGCCTTCGCAGACTGTTGGGGGGCTGTTAACGAGCACCTATAAAGACTGGCACGGCACACGAGGGGGTGGGTGGCCAGCACCACGCCCGGCCTCCTTTGTCTCCCCAGTGGCGATATTTACTACACACCGCACCAGATACACATTTGAGGCCGAGTCGACCTAGGAGAGGCCCAGGACCGGTTCAGATAATCGTCACCGGTGCTGGCCGTGAGCGGGAATCGAACTCGGTTCGCAGCGTTCTTAGTGCAGCGCGCTAACAGCTGCACTACCGCTTTACAATCAAAATCCCACAGCAGCAGTAAGACCAAACCAAAAAGGGAGGAGGGATATTACAAAAACATAGTTATATAAACCCAATATAAAATTCACAAGATGCCAAAAAAGTCAGTATTTCAGCATGAAGATATGCTTGGAGTAAACGAGATTTGACAAAAAAAAAACTATAAACACACACACTTGTGTAAGATGTTCAAATTAAATGTAATAGTAACACCCATTCGGAAAAATGAAATCCTTTTAATTTAAACATGAAAAAATCCTCGTTATGCAATGGAGAAATAATACCCTCGAGTATAATAAAGACAATTAACGAACTGTAATTCAAGCCGCGATATTTCTTAACAGCTTTCACCGACCCACGGATGCAACCAATACCCCCCCACCCCCCATACGCTCTTTTACACCACACAGACACAATGAATAAAACCCTGCGTTAGCCACAATCGTAGACATTACAGATGGGGCTTGGTAGCAACTGACGGTCACGTAGCACAAAACGCTTGGCTCGAAGGGACCCCCCCCCCCCCCCCCCACAGCGATAAACAGCCAACTGCTCTCAAAATCCAAACAACAATGAGACACCGCGAGTCCTCAGTGTTACGGTCTGCCCCGCTTGTCAACGTGAAGGAAGGTAGTGGAGAAGGCTCGGACGCAGCAGCAACAGCAACTCAGAAATTGTCACACACACGTGTGTGTATGTATACGATCTGACCGTGAAAAACGCCAGGTCGCTCTTTTCCCGGCAAGATGTTGGCATTTTTCGCACGCAAAACGTGACCCACTCGCGTAAAAAAATATATATTCTCAGGGCAAACTGTTCACGTAAACAAGCGCATACGTCGTGGTGGGAGGGGGGGGGGCTTTGACAGACCGTAAAATGGTACGTATTGTACGTACCAGCACATTAAAACGTTGTTCACTTTCAAAGTTTAAACGGTGTCTACGACGTTACTTTTTTTAATGGCCTCAACAACGACCACACCGAGAGGAGACGGGCAGACGTATTAAAACACGGCATCTAGACAACACATGCAAGGCGGCCACGTCTAGGCGTTAAACATGTTGTGTCAGCCGAATGGGATGGACATCACCACTCCTACAACATCAGCACGGTTGTTAGGCATTAAGGGACTTCACGTCTGATTTCAGTCGCAAAATGTAGACGTACCTTTTCTTGAATTAATGCCTTCTCACCAGGACTTTTAATATCAATGTAGCCAAATATACCGTTAGAGTATAATCGGATAAATATTCACAAGCGATGAAAAACACATTCATGTGGAGGGAGCTGGTAGGAACGTTGGGTTGCTCGGTCAATGGCCAGGGTCAACGGCAGCGTGGTGTATTCCGCAAATATGCCCGACTGTGAGGGCGGGCACAAGCCCGCGTGAGTAGGTTAAACGTTGAGTTTTATAAGGGCACCACGGGGTGACCAGACCCTCCCCTCCCAGCCCCACCCCTCCCCACCCAGCCCCTCCCCACCCCTCCCCCACCCAGCCCGTCACCTCCCCACCCCAACCACCCAGCCCCTCCCCAACCACCCAGCCCCTCCCCACCCAGCCCCTCCCCACCCACCCCCTCCCCACCCAGCCCTTCCCCACCCAGCACATCCCTGCACGACGGACACAATAATCCCCT